TACTGTTGCGCGGTTTTTGATTAATGTTAGTTGCTCTATAAATCTTTGTACATGCTTTGTTTACAGTGGAAATTATCATCAAGGACTAAGAAATATTTTCAATGGAGCCTTTCCTGAATTCAGAGGAAATCAACTTACCATTAACAGGTTCGTAATCCACAACATACTTTCATTCCATTAAGATGACTTTATAAGCTAACCTTTTGTGTCTTTTGTGGATCATTGTCCTTCAGTGTGTCATAGGTCCTGCTCAGACCCAGTGAATTTTAGTTGTTAAATGAAATGAATTGTTGTTTTTGACACCAATCTGTTTCTCAGTTTTTGGTGAGACGGCTAAGAAAACAGGGAAAATCGATCCTTATTACCGGAACTACGTTGACCATGAACTGTATATCATTATCATCATCATCATCATCATCATCATCGCTCGTTGCGCCAGGAGGCGGATAAGGCCGTTACATTGTCCGCTCAACTCCCGCCCCCCCCCCCCGTCGCGTGCCGCCGCTCTGGCCACATTCCAACTCTTCTGCCCTACCTTACCTCTCTCTCTTTCGACAGTCCTTCCCCAAGTGGTCTTTGGTCTCCCTCTCGTCCTTCGACTCTCTGGTGTCCGCCCCAATGCCGTAAAACAGTCGTTCATATCCTCTCTCCTGATTACTTGTCCTAACCTTTCCGCCTTCTTCGCACGTCGCGACTAATTTCATTGATCTCTGCAGTTTCAACTACTCTCTTGTTTGTCATTCTTTGCTGCCATCTAATCCTCAGAATCCGTCTTAGGCATTTACATTGGAAACTGTTCAGTTTTCTTTAATCGTTCTTTGTGATTTTCCATGTTTCACAACCATATAGTAGGACCGGTCTGACTAAAGTCTTGATCTTGGTATCTTGGCAGGAATATCAAAACGCTGACCATGAAGTAACGAGTATTATTGTAGTTTTCGAAACAGACACTGTTGGAGAACATCTGGGGGAATTAAAATAAAAGGTTCGATAAATATATATATATATAATATATATAATATAAACTAAAATATATATATATATATAAATATTATGAGAGGGAAAAAGGGACGCAACTACATTTCCCTACAAGCCTGTTTCGTGAATCGCTTCACTCTTCAGGGGTTCAGTGAAGCGATTCACGAAACAGGCTTGTCGGGAAATGTAGTTGCGTCCCTTTTTCCCTCTCATCATATTTATTCTGCTCTGCTTCAACGTATTGAGCACTGTTCCATATATATATATATATATATATATATATATATATATATATATATATATATATATATATATATTTATTTATTTATATTTATATTTTTTAATCTTCAAGAGTCAACGTTTTCCCCTTTTCGCGTCGCTTAATCCACACGGGCTAATAGTAAGTCGAGAGTAGACTGGACTCTAGCGTCGCCTTCCACCATTTTTCTTAAGTCAGCTACAGTCTGCGTGTTCTCAACTCCCTGGGGGATTTATTCCGTGTTTATTTCTCCTTCGATATCGAATAGATGAGGCCGGATCCTTATCTGGTTCATTTGATGACAGAAATGCTTTTGAATGCCACGCTGGTAAAACGAAAAACGCTTCGCTCTAGCATTGATTTATATCTACCTTAGGAAACCCACGCGTCTCAGAATGTTTATTTGCATTAGTTAAAATAACATTTTCCTTGTTCCACAAGAGGCTTAGCAGATATAATTTTCATGAGATTAAATCATATTGATAAATTTTTGCGGAGAGAAATGTTTAGACAACGTTTTATAAATAAATTCTATAAGAAATTTGACGTAAGAAAAATCTGTATAAGGAAAAATTTCGTTCTTACTCACGGTGTTCGACTGTGATCGAACTGCTTGGTATGTTTGGAATATATTACATTTTTAACTTTTTTCCTAAATAAGAATTAATGACGACTCTCTGGAGGGCGTGGAGGTGACATAACAACGGAAGCAGCCACGCAGCCATTTAAGGTCAAATTTAAGGTGTCGCATATCACAACAGACAGAGATAATATGAGAGGTTGGGCAGTTGACAACCGACTCTCCCAAATCATTGCACGAAACGGTTGGCAGAGTCAGGAGCATATTTCACGATCTTTCGAATCGCGCCATTTATCATTCTTGTTCATTTAGAGGTTTGAATAAGATGAAATACATCCAGAGTTTTTTGATATTACTTTTCCTCCATTGCAACTTCGGATACGAAGGTAAGATTATATTATTTTTGTAGACGTTGGTGATATTCCTAAACGAAATCAATATTTTTTTTTAAGAATAGCGTATAACAACTAGGAATGTTTAGAGTGTTTTACAATATGGAATGGTCTTGTGATTAAGTAAAAAAAGCGTCTCTTTGAAAGAACACTTGGTGAACTAATGCCCATGGTTATCGTCAGATTTACGAATTAAGTTGTCGTTTCTGATGACATTTTATACAGCATTAACTCTCTTAATTCTAAATGATATTGGTACATGGCGAAGTTGCCTAAATAAGTCATCTCCACGTCATCTCCTTTAATTAAAAAATATTCTTGTTTCCCTATATATTTGCCATAGATAGCCTTCCTCTCACATATTATCAAGTGAAAAGTAAAATATAATTTTCTCAAAATAAGAAAAAAGAGAGAAGGGGACATATTTGAGGACACGATCAGTCTTTTTTTTGTATTCATAATTTCCCTCGTAAAACCGTTAATTAATTTTGTCAACTGTGACAACTACAAAAAAAGATACTTATTGAGTGTCAAAGTGTTTTCAAAGATAACTCAAAGATTCAAGTGGCTGCTGACTTCAGATTAAACAGATAACATGAGAAATAAGAGACCATACGATGGATTTGACAACGGTTAATATTCCACTGTGACTGTATCACAAGATTGGCTTCACGGTCCGGTCTATAACACTGCTACATATAAAATGAACAAAATTCGATATCAGGCGAATTAATTAAGTAAAATTCTCGAATCTTATTTTAAGATAAACCACAACTTTTAGAAATGTAAACTTAGTCTACGATAAACTAATGGACGTTCGTTGAGTGATACGATGACTTAACCATTTTTTGCTTATAATACTAGAAACACTGCCATTGTTTATTTATCTATTTATTTGTTTTTTTATTTATTTTCGGCAATCAAAGAATTATATCGTAAGCACTCCACCAAAGATGTGCGTGATTCTCACCGTCACGCACAAGCGGGAAACAAGACTTCTTATCGATCGCATATTATGGCATAAGTACACTTCATACAAGGAATTCTTACTTTCGTTTATGATATAAGTACACTTTGGAAACAGGATTAGAATATATAGACAATTATCGTATCTGCATTCATCCAATAACGTACTCGATGTCGAATTTATGTAGTTTGCATCACACAATCCCCGAATTAGTGCAAGATTAATAACGTTTAATAATAGTTAATTACATTAATGGTTTATTCATAATATCTCCATCAAATGAACATGGCTCTTAACCTGTAAATATTTTTTATAACTATAGTAATGATATCCTACCTGTAAAAACATGATTTGCATGTAGTCATAAAATTTTAAAAAATTTTTAAAAAATGATAACAAGTACGAAATGACAAATTGATCGCTGATAAACTTATGGATATGAGGTTTTAATCCTTCGGAGAATCATAAGGATTGATAAAAGAGTTCATATCTAAATGATTCCGACATTATCCAACCTATTGCAACGATCTTCAAGCCACTGAGCATCGTGGAGAAAACAATAACAGGTGAGGTTGTGCCTTCAAATTTAACGTGATCGCATTTATTATACGCAAACCAGAAAGAATTTCAGTCATCGAATGGCCCATAACCTCAAACCAGTGATGTTTGAGATGTCAAAAGTGAGAGGATACTGAGATATAAAATTGTGGTACTCTAACCACTTGAAACGTCCTGTGAATTTCTTTTTCTCTTTTTCTTTGTATTTTTTTCTGTGCAGACCAGCAGCAAATTAAATATGAAACACTTGGGTGTTTTAAAGACAGCCCAAAAAGAATTTAGTTAATTTCTATCAAAATATCAAAGTAGAAGAAAAAAACTCTTGAGGCACGATTTTGTCGCCACGGTTACTTGGAGGTAAATAATACTTGCTGATCACTTCTGAGCTGGCCAATCAGCGCATGAAAAATAAAACTTTGGGACTGTGTGATAAATACTAGACCACACTGGTGAAAGGGCAAAATTATTAGGTAAAACTATTGGGATTGATCAATGTTTCGCTCCGTTTTATATTTTTAAATGGCGGTTCCATATTCTCTACCTGATCCACAGGTACGTAGCAAGGTGTGAGAAGTTGAAGGCTTGGAGTTCGTGTAGTAACATTGGAGAATAGTTTATGTTCATAGTAGTGGCGACAAATTTTGACATAATCTCACAATTTGTGTTGTTTTTTACTTCCAAGAACCTACAACTAAAGTACCAACTACAGAACCTGTAACGATCGCTCTAGGTAGGTTTATTTTATGACTCAGTGTTCTTGCCCGTTGCTCGCAATATACTTCCAATTAAGAACCTTTCATTACATTTCATTTTCATTTTAATCATTTCATCTTGTTTCATTTCATCTCATAATTTTTTCAAAATCATTCATTCTTTATCATTCATTCATTTTTTTCTGCCATGGAGAGTTGATGATAATCCATAGATATTCCTGAAACCAAAAATCCAATCATCAAAGAACAAACATAAGTATAGAGGCTCTCCTTTTCCACAAACCGATGTAGGAAACGTTTAAACTAAAATTAAAATTTTCAGAGTTCGTTACCTACATTCAAAACTATTAAAATTTCCCGTAAGATAGAATCCGATCCATAAAATATACTCAAATTTGTTCACCTAAAATGTGTTGTTTCAACTGCAGAGTGTCAGAATTACATCACTTTAACTTCTATCAATCGATCTGCAACATTCAATGAGCCATTAGGCTTATGTGATGACAAATTGCAACCAGGATGGTATAAGTTCTCAGGACGTGCTGGGGATAGAATGCCGACTTCGTGTGTCCCTGTACGTCACTGTGGTACCCATGCCCCGGGATGGCTCAACGGTCCTCACCCTGCTGTGCATGAAGGGGCAGTGAGCCGTGACGTGTGCTTTCATTGGAGAAGTTGTTGTTCCTGGCGGAATTCTGTTTTGGTGCGTAACTGTGGGGCATTCTATGTCTATTTCCTTTCTCCGACAATGACATGTAACTTGGGCTACTGTGGCAATGGGAAAGGTACGGTGAACTAAGGACAGTTGATAGTATTTATCGACCACACCAATCGATGTAAAACCGACTGAACCTTGTCTCTTACTTTTTTCTTTGCTCCGTTATCTTCCTAAGGATTCTTATAACAACTTTACCTGGCTCAACAATACCAAACTACTGTATTTTTAATGCATTTTCTCCATAAAAAAAAGACTGTTCCAGCATTCTTCCCTTGCATTTCTTTGCTTTTAACGCCCTTCAGTCAAACGACTCCATAGCTACTCTGATTAATACATCTTTCGAAATTACCTAGTTCCAGAACCGACAACTCCGCCCAAAGTAACGACAGTTACGACAACTGAACCAGGTAAGATGGAATTTTTTAACATTCATTCAAAACTGAAAGCGTCACTTTGCCAGACTGAGTTAATCAGTTTCGTGAAGTCTAGCCTATGAAATGTGTTACTTCAATCGAAGACTTTTTTCTTCGTAAACCTGTCACTTCTCTTCGAGTGAAAAGAAACCTAAAAGATAAGCAAATGAAAGAGTTTTGGAGAAATGATCTAAGTTGAAGATTATTTGAAAAAGTAAGTCAAGAATTCACTAACAGCTTCGCACTCAATATCAAGTCGTCTTTTCACAGAAACTACAACATCCGCACCGACCACAAAACCAACAACGGGACTAAAAGGTAAACAGATGATAAAAGACTCCTATCGCTGTTATGATTATTGTTTTTGCCATTGTCGTGGCTGATGTTGTTGATTTTGCTATGATTGTTGTTGTTTTTCTTCTTCTTCGCGTAGCTTATTAATTGAACAAAGCATAAGAATGTTTACTGTTGAGTTCTACAGTAGTATTCGACTTTCACAGAAAAATTTGAAAGGAATTGTCAATATTAAGGCTTACAGATAAAATTGGCCGATAATTTAGCCAAAGCTATGCTTTTCACGTCAAGTCCTGTTTTTCCGCAGAAACTACGACATTTGCACCGACTACTATAACAACAACGGGACCGAAAGGTAAACAGATAATAAAAGACCGCTGTTATTGTTGTTGTTATTGTTGTTGTTGTTGTTTTTTTACCTTTTCTCCTTAGTCCTCTAATTATTCTTCGCGTAGCAAAATGATTGAAAATTAAGGTACACGAATCTTTTCGCTCTTACTTTTTACGCAGCATTAGGCTTCAAAAGACTAAATTAAAAATAAATCTACAAAATTGAGGCTTATTTGACATAACGATCCAAGAATTCCCTCAAAGGTTCACATTTTATGTCAAACGTCTCTTTACACAGAAACTACTACGTTTGCGTCGACCACTAAAACAACAGCGGGACAGAAAGGTAAACAGAAAACACAAGAATCTTGTTGTTGTTGTTGTTATTGTTTCCCTTCTTGTTCTTCTTTCCTTTCTTCAACCTCTCGTTGCGTAATAATTCAACAAGGAACGCCAAAGAATCTTTCCGTTAGCCTTAACCCCGGCATTGGGCTTTCAAAGGCTGAATTGCTTCGTACGTTTATCTAATGCTATTTTCAATCACGAATACTTGGTCCGACGAAGTTCCTGAAAAACATTGTCTACAATGGCACTTATGTCTTTTTTTAAATCCTATCATATTTCTGTTGAAAATGTGTTATTACATCCCCATTTTTACAGAAACAACCACCCGGCTGTCAACCACTGAAACTTCGGCTACTTCAGGTAATCTAAAAGAGACATCTTTCCTGAAGTGAACATCAGATGTAAACCATTTACACAGCGTTGATGTTGTTGATATTGTTGCAGTTGAAAAAGAGAGTATGGTCAGAATCATCATCCAGGACATTAAGGAATTTTCAACTTTGTTGAGCGTTGAAAGTAATCCACGATTACTTTGGTTTCGCTTTACTTCGCTTTTTGATTGGTTAAGAGAGTTCACGCCACCCTCTCAACCAATCAGAATCATAAATAAAAGCAATCGCAACTTGGTCACTAACTTGAAGGTCAACTGACACTTTTTCTACTTATTTTTTTCTCTTTTTTCGCTTCTTTAGCTCCGACAACTGGGACGACCTTGATGACAAGTTCTGGTCCAACTTTTCCAACAACTCCTTCAACCCCTTTAGGTACAGTTTACTTTTTTCGCTTGTTTCTTTGTTTACAACACCTGGTTTTTTATCTTTCATAAGAAAACTACACGTGGGTTTCGCTTTCAGTTATCACTGCGCATTTTGATTCGGGGTTTTTTTCAAAGACTTATTTTTTTTTTCTTATGTCAATAAGAGTGTCTAAACTACAAATCCCTGAACGAGTCTACCAGAGCTGTAACATATTCAAGCAAGAACCGTCAAGCACTATGTGACAACAGACTGCCAAAAGCCTGGTACAGATTTAGTGGAGGAGCCGGCGACAAGATGCCTGAGCGCTGTGTAGACAAATTTAGCTGTGGAACCCATGCTCCAGGCTGGTTGAGTAAAAGTCATCCTTCAGTAACAGAAGGGGTTGTTGACGCTACAGTTTGTTTTCACTGGGGATCAACCTGCTGTTTTTGGTCATCCCAAGTCAAAGTTCGGAATTGCGGAGGGTTCTATGTTTACCAGTTGAAACAGACTCCTGCCTGCAGTCTTCGTTACTGCGGAAACAGGCAAGGTAGAGAAACAATAACAGAGAAACGCTACGTATGGCTAACCGCAACGATAAAGCCCATTGAACCATAGGAATCAGTTCCATTTACCGGGGTGACTTAGATTATTGCTCCTACTAGATGGGGTTCATGGCAGTTTACTGCATCTAATTAACCTACGTATCTCGTGAAGTTTCCCCCTGAAAATTGTGTGGTACCTGACATTTATACCCTTGGTTGGAGGAAGGTTCCGTGGGAGTAAATCTTTATGCAAACGAATGTAACACAATTATTTAACCGAGGCTCAAAAGTGAACCCTTTCTTCTGGAGTCCTGGGCGCTAACCGCTAGCTAATCAAACTAATACGTCTCACATATTTCATAATTCACACAGGCTTTTAGAGGATATGATGCTGGCTCATTATAATAAACACTGATCTTTTGCTCAATTCATCTCCTCTCACTCATTTTGAATGATCCCTTAATCCGGAGTATTATTGTAGTATTGATAACTATATCCGACCTTCTTTGACTGTAATTTGGTGCTATTAACTGGGTTGATAACATAAATTTCCTACCATAGAGAGTTTCTGAAGCTGCTGTTTCGAGCGTTTTACCTTCGTCAGAGCTTAGAGTGTGTTAAGCGAAGTAGGCGGCGGGTTTTTTGGGCTAGCTATGAATCGTTCCCTTTCTTCAATTTTTCGTGTCACTGTTTTACTTTAGAGCCAATGACGAGTACGCCATATCCATCGACGACCAAAGCGCCTACAACCCCTTCACTTCCTCCTGGTAAGTTACCCTTTACACCCTAACATCAGAACGTATATTCTTCATACTCATCTTTATACATTTCTTAACCCTTTAACTCCCAAGATCTCATTGGTAATTCTCCTTACTGTCTGCCATATAGTTCTTGTGACACTAGTTTGGAGAATTTGGTATTGGATCAACTAGTAATCCCCTAATTAATTTTTTTCTTTATTCTCATGACTTGTCTGCTTGATAATGTATTAATATTGTAAGGAGAAATTCTGTCTTGGTCATTCTTGGGAGTTAAAGGGTTAAGGTGCTGACAATGAGAATTTGCTTTAAAATGAAGAGCTTCTTCAGTTGGTGATCATGTCCTTTATTCTCGTGACCTTAATGTTTGATTCAGGGGTGATATTGTGAGGAGAAACTAGATGCTAATCACTTTTAGGGTAAAGAGTTAACGCGAAGAATATCGTGTACGGTGACGTTTTGGCTATTGTACTGAGGTGTGTCCTTACAAATTGTTATCTTCACGCTTGACATTTGACTCTTTAACCCCTAAGGGTGATTGGCAACTAATTTCTCCTGGGCAGATCGCCCTTGAATCAAACATTAAGGGCTAAAGAAGCTCTTGATCGTTGCACAAATTCACCTTGACAGCTTTTTAGGAAAGATATGTTGAACAGTATGGAGAATATGCTTACTGATGTCAGGGTGTGAAGGGTTAAATTAATACGTTTCTTTGTCTGGTGTCTCGCCAGCGAGCGAAATACCAGAGAACCAACCGTTTGAACTTGAGAATTTATTCTGAAAATCACAGAACGTACACATATCTGTCCTTTCTCTTCTGTTCAAAGAATGTTCCAGATACAAGGTCATTAGTGATGCAGATCGTTCACAAACCTACGAATACAAGAACGTGCAAGACGCCAGGCCCATCTGTGACCGAAGGCTTCCCAAGGCCTGGTACCGATTCTCAGGATTGGCGGGAGACAAGATGTCAAACGAATGTGTCCCTCCTTATCACTGTGGGACCCATTCCCCCGGATGGCTGCTAGGAGCTCATCCAGAAGTGTCTGACGGAGTCGTAACAAGAACAGTGTGTTTCAGCTGGCGAAACAAATGCTGTAGATGGCGCAGTCAAATCTCAGTCAGAAATTGTGGTGATTTTTATGTGTACAAGTTACAAAGAGCACCGAAATGTAAACTCCGCTATTGTGGTGTTGGAAAACAAGGTACGACAACAACACCAGGGCCAACAACGAACCCGATTCCAACAACAATCGGTAAGTGTGATTTTGTACTGTGTTGTTTAATATTAAAGTATACAAAAAGCAGTTATACTTGTCCGTAACAAAACCGAATAAAAACACGTCACGGTGGCGTTTTTTTGTTTGTTTGATTGTTTGTTTTTGTTTGTTCTTACGAAGTAAGCGGATCAGCCGATGAGGGCAAAAGAAAATCACCGAGCAACCGACAAGAACTCGGAGTAAACTCTTTATTTACCGTATTTCTAGCGCGGATAAGTGGGAGTGCGCATGACCTATTAGGAAAGGCGCGACTGCTCTTTGTCTTTTAGGAAGGTCGGGCGTATTTTGTGGACCAATCACAGAGGGAAGTGAAGCAAGACGAATGTGGTGGCGGTTTGCTCTCGACCTGTATTGAAAATTGCTCCGTTGCTGCAAAATGACCAAGTTGCAGTTTTTTTTTTTCGAGTACTGCGTACTGGTTCCGTTATCAAGCAGAATAAACAAGGGGAAAAAAAGGAAAGCGCTTATTTCCAGTGTGCGCAAAAAGTTTTAAATAACTAAATATCATCACTCAAATACATAGGAAGCCAAAAAGCAGAAGTACACAACTTTAAATGAAAGTTTTATCTAAAATGCACGATAAAATAATAATACAGTTATCATCATTTACGAGCATAACTTTCTTGTGTTGTAAAACTGTGATGTGGTTTGATGGGCAGAATCTTTGAACATCTGAGCATCTTGATTGCTTAGATCAGCTTCTGCAAGTCCTGAATGAACAAAACGAGATATTCATGGTCTCAGTTAGAGGCGTGTATTGATCTGGCTGGGTTTAGCAATGCTGTATTGATATAAACAGTTTAAAAATAATTTTCAAACGAAATTACAGGGAACAGGAAAACGGAACTTGTTGAGTGTAACTTAAATTGCATGTTAACAATCGCGTTACGTCAAACTAAAAAAATCGTGAGTGATGTAAATCAGAACTCATTTTCTTTTCCTCCGAGCGTTAAGTCAAGAAATCCAAATGTCAATGACCGAAGTGCTTGGTTGCACCTTCAACAATTATTGTAAACACACCTGTGATCTTATTCAGGACGCTTACCATCTTTCAGCAGAAAGTACAAGTTCTTTTGCAGTTCGTGTATAGGAAAGCTATGTTTCTGACATCTGAACAGCGAGGGAGTAAAACCGCACATATGCGAGGTTTAAGATCGATACAATCTGAAAAAAAAGTTGCGTGGAATCATTCGCAAGCCTGCTTTTGTTTCGTTAAAGTTCTAACCTCGAGGCTTAGTTTTTACACTTGAACAACTAATGATGAACCAAAAAAGAAATGGAAACTAACTATTCTGAAACTTTTATAGATATTATCGTTTCAGTGAATGAGCGCAAGGCAACTCTTGATTTTCGCTCTTACTTGCTGCACACAGCGAACATACCATGTTTAATTTGTTTACCAGAAATTCGCGACCAATTTTCGGGGCCAATTTTCTCCTTGATAAACTAATCCAAGTATATTACAAAGTAATCTTATCTATACATTTAATTTTTTTTTACCAAGCAGAAAGTAATGATCTGATTGCTAGGCGAGATGACTAAAGCGTATCAGCTTTGGCAGTACGTTAATTGGGAAGAAATTAAACTTAAACGTTAACAAATTAAAAGCATTTGAAATGAAAAAAAAGAAAAGAGCGCACACTGTATTACTATATTTCTTATGGTTTGTTTTCCACATGTAATCCCACGTGCTAGGCACTTTCCATTAAAAAAAGAGAAAAAAATGAGAATTACCATAGTCATCGCTGAAATGTGCAGATTCCTTTTCCTGGATTTCAGCGTTTGAACTGACGTGCTTTGACATAAGAATTATTGCGAAAAGAACTCCAAAGAAAAATTGCATCTTAAACATATCTGAACAGCTAGGTGCAATACAACGGTCAGAATTAGAACTTGCAGTTGAACTGAAGAATAATGCTTTATTTCTTTTATAGTTCATAGGCTTCTCCTGGTTGAGATAATATGTACTTTGCGGTAAAGTTGTCTTGTTCACATCGGGCTTGGCAATTTAGATGAAAGAGATTCCGAACACGTGTGGCAGCTGGAAAATAATATTTAATTTTTTATCCAATTTCGCCATAATATCTTTTCTTGTATTTTTCTGAAGTTAATATGGCGTACTCAAACAATCGAACTATATTTTGAAACGATACTTCGCCATAACACAACAAATTTCTTACAAAGGTTTCACGGGTAACCTTGATGAGTTTGAGATCCCGCCGCCATATTGGTTATTCAAAACCTTATCAAATTTTACATTAGTTTAGGTTTTATGTCTATGATTAGATTTATAAAATATGTAAGACATGCGATTTTTCAATTTTGTACCACTCAACATGATCGAAACTCGATAAAAATTAACCGCAATCCTGGTGTCCCCCGTCTGCTGATTTGAATTGATAATTATCTACTCCTCTTTGGGGTGATATCAAAATTTGTTTAATGATTGAACCTAGCTTTCTTACAGGTTATGCGGTTTTTGAAACACACGGGAGAATCATATGTCAAACAAGGCTGATAAAGAGAGCAAATGCGGTTTTATTTTGCCTTTTATTTTTCCCTCCGTTTGTCCAGCATCTGCCGCAAATAAAGTATTTTGTTTGATTTGAATTTAGATTATAGGCGATATAATTTTAAAAATTAATTCTTTTCAACAACTGTCGATTTCAACACGTTTTGGTGAAACTGTTTTATAATCATAACGTCTCTTCGTGCGAGGAGGTGAAATTATACAGAATATATAAGGAAGATCTGCAAATCTCCTGTCGTGAACAAAAAGTTGCATGTAACTTGCGAGCAGGCCGTCATTATATATTAGCACCGCAGGACGCGCGTGTTTTTCCGTCCGCGGAAAGATTGAAGATTTAAGACGAATCGAGGAGAGGTTCGCAGCTGGTCTGGCACTAAAAATTTGCGCTAGATCTCATACCAGCTCGCGTAGCTTAAGGCTTCATACTTTAATTTTCTTCGGTTGAAGACACGCCCGTGTTGAAGCGCTGATAATGAGCCCATACTCAGAGGCTACATAGAGAACACGATCTGTGGAGCTGCCATGCGCAGCTCGGAGTAGAAAAGCGATACATTACTTTTCAAACTTGACTCTGCCTTTTGTGTTTTCTGTCATTGCTTATTTTATAAAAATTATCATTTTATTGATTTTCTATGTATTTACCTACGTACTTCTTTATTTACTTTTTCGTTTATTGATTTATTTACTTATCCATACTTTTTTGGCAGCTAAACACCCGTTTATCGTTATATGTATCCCGCAAAGAATACCATGCAGGGATGAGGCGTTCCCTTACAAATGTAATTACCACCGTCTCGATTCTGTCCAGAATGTGCTGAACAACTTTCAACTGCTCCACAAGCGAAGAGGTGCGGCAGAGAAGCGAGCCCAAGGTGAGTAATGAAGAAAGCTCCACTACTAAAGCTGAAGTTCTTTTAACTCCTCTTGACAATAACGTGGGAGATGCGGAAGTCGTAAGGTTACGCTTGTGATATCACGAAGGAAAAGAGAAAAAGGGAAAAAAACTTAAATAATTCATGTAACTTTTATTTCAGCTTACCCTCCTTTCATGGTGATGTGTTTAGTCGACTCTATGCACGTGTTTATTCCACGGAGACATCTGCCTCGCTCAGTGAATCCCTGGCAACTTCGCCTCGATGATGAGCGATGTGGAGTGGCACAAATGAACGATGAGCATGTCATGCTTCAAACACCGCTGGAAGGATGCGGAACAACTCGCAGGTACAATTGTATTTGTACAAGCAATAAAGAGGGGGTCAGAGTCTGTAATCAAAGCGATTTTACTGTTTTGACTAAGATGTAAGAAGTAGTTTTTATTAAGTAAATGGTCCGTCACTCGTTTTGTACTCGTGTACGTTCAAAAGTCATACTTTTATCCTTCAAAAGTATGGCGTTTTTGCCCAAAGCTCCACCTTGAAAAATTAATTTTTGAGAGCACTCTCTGACAATAGCCGGATGGTGACCACATTTCTCCTCAAAGTCGTATATATTTTCCACACCATAAGTACAAACTTAAAAATGGTGCTATCTGTTTTTTTCGTTTTGTAGAACCGACGACAAGTCAGTGTCATTCCACAACAAAGTCGTGGCTCAATCTGGAATGGGATTTTTGGATCTGCCGTTCCAATGCAGCTACGAAACTCTTGATTCGGCTAAGGACCTTAACCGCTTTGAACCATTCTTCAAGCAAGATGAGCCAGAGACGGGGCCAAATCAAGGTGATTAGTGGCGCTTCCACATAGGGAGGAGCAAACAGTGTGTTAAAAGCTCGTACGATTACAGCAGAGCAAGAGAATTTTTCTAAATATTTTTGTCCAGTTGGGTGAAGGCGGGCAATGCATGACCTAATACTTAGCGCTACGGAGCCACCCCCTCCCCACCCCTCAAAAAAAAGACAAAGAAAGAAAGTGACCCACATGCTCAGTAACATACAAGATGGTAGTAACTAGTTCAAGTTCACAAATATAACCTTTCTCTTCTACGCGCATATTTCCCTCTTCAGGACCCATTTCGAAATCCCTCGTAAGTACACGAGATCCTCCCCCACTGAGTCGCATTTGTTATGTATTAATTGACAAGTATTCACCGAAAAGGGGGTGAATAGTGGTGGATATTTACCGAACCTCAAAGCGGCAAGGTAAATATCCAGATTAAAATACACTGATGTGAACAGTACTGATATTCACTTCCGAACTAGCCAATCAGCATGCGCGAAAAACCCCAATTCACTGGTATGGTATTAACTAACAACAAATAATTGTTTTTTCAGGCCTCGACTCTACACCGATGAAAAAATGAAAATCCTGTTGTTATACAGAGTTACTGGAGTTACCCTTAAACATGTAAAGAGATTTTATGGATAACAATATTATAGAAAAAACTGTGAATAACTGACATCAGAGATTTCCCGCCATGTTAGATACGGGCATTCAAGTTATATGTATTATTTAGACATTTTTAAGTACTTTTAGTCGTGGTTTTTCGCCGAGTTTTGTTGCTACTGTAAGTAATATCATAAAGGACTATCATTCTCGTGTTGGTAGAAGTTTGTTTACCAATAAAGACAATAACAAAGTTGTACGGTTTCGTGTTTGTGAAAACCTTACAAACGTCTCCATCGCGGCACATGCTTAGTAAGAATTGCACTGTTTCAGTCTCTGAGTCAGTGGAGACGAAACTTCTTTATTCAATTTTTCCAAAAAATCTGCTGATAAGAAATGATTTTAAACTCACTATTCCTATTCCGACCATAACATTTCAGATTACTAGCACGACATTCTTCTAAATTTGGGGAGCTTTACTACAAATTCAAGTGAAAAAATATTAACGATTTAAATAAGAAACTATACCTTTTAAGTATTTATATTACCTGTATTCCTACCTCATTTTCTAAAATAGCAGAGTTACGCATCTATTCAATTTTATGTCGCATTAGTCCTAACAATTGTGGTAAAAATTCCAATTTTCAGGCCTCGACTCTATTCCAATTCTGCGTGGTCCAGTTACGCTTTCATTCTGATTAATTATACGGACGTGTAATTTTGGGATAACTGGATGATAGCAAGAGGTAGTGAGGGTATCTCTTGTCATAAAGGGATTTCATCCTCAAACACCTTAGGAATACAAAAAATACGTTTGGTAACAACACATAACAGGGATGAATAATAGTCGAGAGGATCTTTGGAGGTGATATCAAAGGTATCGATTGATATCCCGGGCGTCTGCTGCAATTTGGGGGTTCAGCTTACAATCACGAAGGTGAATGTTGATCGCAGGGATTCACAAATGACCGGAGAGAGAGAGAGTTGAATTGAATTGAATGAGAGTTGAATTGAAAATCATGGGGAAATATGATTTCCGGGGGTGTTAATAATGAACAGGGGAATCAAGTGATAATCTCGGGACCACGAGGCCAGTCGAGACTCGAGCACAGAACCAGTGTCTCTCTCGTGTGTTCACTTGTTCAATGTGTTCTCGATGTACTCGTCCACAGCCTCTTCCAGCGTGTCAAGGCCCATTGGTCCAGCCGACAGAAAAACGTGGTGATAATCTTTGATATCAAATTTATCACCTGAAATAAACAAAAAAGCATATACCGTTTAGGTGTTGTATTTAGGGGCGGGTATGTAACAAAGTGAGGAGCAGACATTTATCATATACGCTCAAAGGGATACGAGACCTACTTGAAGATAGGTACTAAATCGATTTATTGCGGTTACAGACTCAGCGCTCTCACTCCTAGGAGTAATCCCTCGATAAATTCTATTAACAGTTTTAATAGACTGCAAACCAGACCGGTGGTAAGAGATAAAGAAAAATTATGGATGCGGAAATTTCTATTAACACGCCTTCAAACTCTCACGATTAGGCTCGATTATTTACTGCTGTTCAGGAAATGTTCACGCGCTCCCTCTACTTCGATCCAGATAGTTAGCTCTCAGATCTTGAGAGCAATATGGTTCTCCGGGAGATTTACTATAGCTGAAGTTTCATACCCAGTTTCTGTTCTGCTTTCCTTCGCAGTTCCCTGATCTTGATTTCGCCCACTTTGTAAGCACACGCCTGCAACAAAGTATGCACAAATAATACAATAAGCGACTTACGAGCAAAGGAAAATGATATTGCTATACGTTTAACTAGAGTATCCTAGAACGTTGAAGACTCCAAAGGAAGGACAAGTTTTAGTTTTAAGCCTTCAGTTTATCTCAAATGTACAGAAAGATTATTTATGAGGCAGTGCTAGGAGATACGACATACCTGACCAGGCCATATGATGTATCGATCAATTTCTGTGTTCACATTATGAAAAGACATGGCAGTATTTTCCACCATAAAATCTACTGCCTGTTGTCGACTCCAGCTAAAATGTGAGAAAATCAAATGGTAGCGTTATCATGATGAAAACAGACTAGAAAACCACATCACCGACAGTAAATTAGCGCGATTTCCTGCGCGAGCTCATTGAAGTTTCTTCTCTTGCTTATTTGAACAACAATTTCCGACCAGCCAAAATATTTGAGCTACAACAGTGGCCAATTTATGTTATCAACTCGATGAGAATACTAAACTACCCTATTATACTCTCCCACCGACGCAACACCACAGTTTCTTTAGAAACTTACCCCTCTTATTTTACCTCCTGTTTGTGTATTTGTTTACTTGTTTCGTTCGTATTCATGCTCATTCATCCGTTGGTCCGTTCATTAAGTTTGCTTGCCTAATGCTCTGCTCGTCAGTCTCAACCGTTGGTCCATTTAACTTTCAAATTTTTTTTCCTTTCTTGATTTCTTACCCGAAGGCGTGCATTCCGGTATCGACGACTAACCGACACGCTCGGAGAATTTCGGCAGACAATCGGCCGAACCTTAAACAAATCATCAGAATGACGTCAGTTCCGAGTAACATTATTCTACATATTTTACATGAATTAGAATTCTTAATAGTTTAGTAGCTATGATTCAATGCTCTGAAGTAACGTTCATGCAGTGTGAGCATAATTCGCCTACTTCTCCAGGTAACATTATAATTACTGAACAATCACAGTCTACTTACAGGTCGTAGGGATCTTGGTACAAACCCATCTCCTCACCAAGAAACTCACAATACAAGCCCCAACCCTGAAAATCAAAAGCCGCAATTTCAGTTCAAAGATAAGATAATCATAAAGTTAAAAGCCGCGTTTGTCCGCCAAGATTTCGCGCCCTATACTTGAAACAGCGATTGATTGTTGTAAAATGACAATGAGCTTTGATGAAAGAGCTCTTTTCGATTGAGTGTCGTCAAACCAAAACCATTGTAATCCCAATGGCTAACCAGAAACAGGGAAAAGAGCCTCTGAGAACTCACAGGCAAGCTAACCAAAGCGCGGGAAACGCACGTAATCAAAGCGCGGGAAAACGCAGGTAACCAAAGCGTGGGAAGACGCAAGTAAACAAGTCGCGATTGGTTTTAGTGTTGCATCTGATTGGTTGAGAAAGTGACGCGAGTTTTCTGGACCAATTACAAAGAGAAATAAAGCAAAACCAAAGCAACCCGGGATTATATTCGACACTAAATTGAAAATTGCAGTAGGGGACAATAACAAGGTAAAGGAAAACCGGTTTCATCACTGCATATTAGATACCTCCATGTAAGCGGTGTGCATAGCAAAACGTGCTGGTACTTCATAGTACCTCCTGTCTTCCACATAACGCCTGAAAGATGGTTGTTCCTCCTGCTCCATTGCAAACGCGGTCTGAAACGAAAATATGCTTGTCAGTTGAGTCTCCACGAAATAAATAATAAATGCAAATTGGCTTACATATAAAATTACAAAATTTATGAAATTATGCAATTGCTCACAACTACAACTGTTAACAGCTTTAAAAAGCCCAACCCTCTAACCTATAATAATGACTAGAATATAATTTCTCCTTAAAATATCACTTCTGAATCACACATTAAGGTCAGGAGAATTAGGGAAATGATCACCAACTGAAGAAGCTCTTGATTGTTAAACGCATTCTCCTTGTCAACACCTTAGCAAATGTATGAAGAATGGTATGGAGAATATGCATACTGATGTCAAGGCGTAAACGGCTAAAAGAACTACTAAAAACATCTTGTATTACGCAGACGAGCGCTAAAATAGTTCAAGTGGAATATACGAAAACGACGAGTAGAAACACTCGAGGCATTTTTCTTTCTAGACATACAAACCATGACGTCGCTCATCTACCCCTTTCGCTCAAAAAAATAATATCCACACTCCAAACAGTCCGCCACGCATTTCTCAAAATTTTCTCTTAGCGAAGTTGGTCTTACATCAAACAATGTCTCGTAGATTGTATTTTTGTCTCTTCTCGTCACCTTTTCGCTTAAAGATGTATCGATATTGTAGGAAGAAAGTCCTTTTTGGTCACTCCTGGGAGTGAAAGGGTTAAAACATAGTTTAAAAAGGGAGTATAATAAACGCATGGATTTCTCAAAAACGTTTTCCCACTATTTTTAAGGTCCCTTGTGTCGCACATCACATCCCATTCTTGTACTTACTTGTAAGTGATGTCCTGGTACTGCCTCGTGTAGGGCAAGAGACACCATCTCATATTTAGGTCTGAAAGGGAACACGAAAAATATTCATACACCGATGCAAGCGAGAAGTCAGACGCGCGAGACGGAGGGAGCGTATCCGCTCTCCCGTGCGAGCGTATTATTTGAGATCTCAACAAGTGCCTGCTTTGCCATGCAAAAGGCCACGTTTCAGATGAATATTAGGGTAAGCCTTTTTTTTCTAAAAAGAATGGTCTTCGTTTCTCTAGTTTCACCAAGCTTCCCGGCACAAAAGTCGTGAACTACGACTCTATGTAACAGCTATTAAAGGAGCGTCTCACAATAACTAAACTCAAAACAGATGGCAGAGGACAGACCGCATTTTCTTAGAAACCTACCCGCTTAAAGCAGAAGAAACATGTACACAGCCACGTAGCAAAGATGTGCACAAAATGAAAAACAGTGAAAACAAAACTCGCACAACATTTATTCTTACCCCAAAATGAGAAAGCTTATGTTCATGTTTGTGGACATACTACCTTGTATGGTGTTTGTAAGTGTTCACCATAAACACCCCCGGCCTTGTACCATCTTCAGAAGGACCCAGATAGTAAGCAGCAGGGGCCACAGGGGCCGCATCAGCTGGTGTCTCAATAATCCTGCAAGTTATGAAAATCAACGGGCAGAATGCAATCACACAATTAATTACAAGCAAGAAATATAAAGGCGGTCGCGATAAGTAAGAGAAGGATAGCCTACTGACCTTTGGAAAACTAGCTTTTGTGAGTCTCAGAAATGAAAACTTCGACTTTCATACGCGAATTTTTCAAGATTAGAGATTTGTGAATGAGAACTCAAGGTAAAAACAAGCCGCCTGTAGCGCGGGAAAGCGCGAGCGACAGGGTAGCAATAGACTCACGTTTTGAATCTGACTGGTCGAGAGCGTGACATAGGTTTTCTGCACCAATCTTTTGATACCAAGTTGAAAATTACTCTGAATTAACGAAAAAACTTCTGTAAGTACCGGAAAGGCTTACTCAAATGGCATCTTTGGCATTTCTTTGAAGTAAACATTCAACTTTGGCTCGATAACCTTCGCACATAAATCTTTATAACCTTTCAGTAGTTCTTCCTGCAAGGAAAACGATGACAAAAAACAATGACTTTCAGTTAGTTTAGATTTTGTTCTTTTCTCCCCATTTTCAGAACCCACATAACATTACCTTCGTATCAAAATAAAAACGCTTCTCTGTTCTCAGCATATCGAGAAATTCTTTAAAGCTGCCTTGAAAACCCACTTCCTGGATAATCTAAGGAAAAAGAAAACGGCCTGAAATGTCAACTAAGAAGGAAACTTCTATTCTGCCAAACAAAAGCCAATAAATAATTCAAGCTTGAAACAACGGTAGATTAAAACAATTCCAACAAGGCAAAAATTATGACCGTAACTAAATCAAATGGTGTTGAAGGGGAACGGCATCTTAAACCGATCGACATCACTTAAAAATGTAGTCTCCTCGGTTCGCAGGCAATGGAAACCCCAAAACTATTTTTTGAGACATAGCTCGAAATATTTGTGTCGTAGGTGGAATTGTCGAATCTGGTATATTCCAACATTTATTTTATTCAAATAACTATCCTACAAACGTTTAGTTCGGTTTGGTTTCTTTTAAATTCTCATCAGTGTGGCGACACGAGCGGGGAAGCCCGCGGGTTTCGATCCCGTGAGGGAAGTGAGCGTGCGAGGGGTCTCCGTTGGGTCTACGAGGGGTTCTCGAGGGGTCTACGAGGTCTCCGAGGGGCTTACGAGGAGTTTACGAGGAGTCTACGAGAGGTTTCCGAGGGTTCTACGCGGGATCTACGAGGAGTCTACGAGAGATCTACGAGGGATCTGAGAGGGCTCGAATCTCGCGGGTTTCGCCGCACGAGACACGGGATTTTCTTACCTCATCCATTCTAGATCTTATTCTTTTAACTTCTTTTTGACCAAGATCGTGGACTTCCTTCGCTGACATGTCACATGCAATGTGGAACTTTAAGGCCTGGATAAGAAGTGTTGACAATAAACAATCAGGGCAATCTCTGGCAATTATATTTTTAGAGTAAGAACAGCCCGCAGCCCGCAGGAACGTAAGTAACGCGCGCGAAAAAGCATCACACAAGAGAGAAAGCCGACGGTCACGTAACTTTTCACTTTCTCGTATCGATGTAAGTGCCTTTGGGGGGGTGGGGTGGGGGATAGGAGGTTTTTTTTTTTTTTTTTCCCAAAAATCTTCTCCTTGAAGTACTGTCTTTTAACCCTCGCACGTCAAACACCTTTTTTTTTATTATTTACCTGTGTGTAAAAGTCACCTCCACCTGGAAAATGAGTGCATGAAATGGACTCCCTTGTATGAGGAAGATACTTCTGCAGAAAAAAAAACCCAAAAATTGGAAAAAAGTCTAGTTCAGTAAAACTCAACGGTACGTTTTGACTTTGTTGTTGTAATTGGTCAGTTTGGGTAGTCAGTAAAAGTCGGTCGTTCTGTTCGGGTCTACCATTGAATTATGTTTATTGAAAATGCAGTAATCCAAAATATATACCCACTATCTTAACAATAATTATGAAAAATCGCACTTGTAATGAGCTTGCACAAAATATATTCGTAAAATACTTTTCAATGATTTACTTACTTCCACATAATAATCATGAATCTTTTTAAAAGCTGGCTTGACTTTCTCCTCTATTAATTTCAGACCACGCCCTCTAAACAATTCCCTAGAAAACAGCTTAAGGGTAAATAACTCTACAAATGAATTTTAAGCAAATTTATGAACTATCAACAAGCATAATTATCGAATGAATGTTTTGTTCAGTTTAAATATCCTTAGAAACTAGTGACTGCACTACTTTAACAGCACACATTAGTAAATTGAATCAATTACCTCTCCTCCTCTGTAAATGTTTCTGGAAACCTCTTCAGTGGTTTAGAGAGATCATTATCATCTGTGAAGTCTGCATTCAACACTTTTTGGATTTGATCAGGCACATGAACCTAAAAACAACAAAAATGTACAAATAAATCAAAACACAACCTTCTACAACTATGCATGTACTATGAAATTTTTTGTTTCAGACATTTTCCCATTAGATTAGTTCTAATATAATAGAGAATTCATAACTTTCAAAGCTTTTTTTACTACTGCAAAAGTATTTTCTCCTCAAAGGTTTCAGAACATTACAGACACATCCATGTATTGCACATAATATTTTTTTTTATCATACATGTATTGCACACATATTTTTTCTGTGCTGATCAGAACATAGCTCTAGTAATTGTTACTTCAATAGTTGTTGTTCAAAAAAGAAAAAAAAAGTCTCACCACAGTTAGCCGTGGTGGTATATGGTGTGTCCTAACTCCCTCTTCAAGTAATCCAATTATTTCAGATACCTACAGCAATGATAAAATGTAGTTGAGTCCTTGAAAAAACTGAATTCATAGCAAAAGTATGGTGCTCAAAAATCTTTTGTTATTTGTAGCTAACAGTTGTACATGTACCTGAGTGGGGAAAGCTTCTAGTCTTGACAGGTACTTTTCATAGTCATCTTTTGTTTCAAACTTCATCCAAGAAATCAATCTTCCAAATTCTAGCTGAGGTCCTTCCAAATTTATCACAGGAAATAGGAAGCTGAAAAGGTTATGCAACAAAAGATGCAGTGGTTAGAGTTTTCTGGAACACATTTATACTCCTGACCAGAAAGAAGCACTGTGACAGTAAAGGGTCTGGTCCATGGACACAACATTGCAATGAGATGGTCATGAATCCAGCTCAACATATTCCAATGCATTGGCATCTGCATTACAACCTACAGAACAACCTTGTAATAAATTTCAACAGGTCTGCACAGAGCTGTTTCTCAGGTTCTGCTTGAGATAGGCCAGTACTCAGTAAAGGAAATATAGAGTGCTCTACACTTTCAGGCAATTACCTAAGGGAAGGTGAAGGTGCCTTGGATCTCTTGAGACTCCCACATTTCTTGCCAAATCCCAGCTACACCATTCCCATGGGTGGCAAATTAATGCAACCCAGCCATGATTACTCATTTCAGGCAACCATCAACATTCATGATTGGATCACTGGAAGAAAGATGGGAGGGTGGGATAAGGAATGCTTAAGAGCAGCAAACTGCTCAAGACTCCAGAAAACAATCCCTAAATAAACTGCTTGAGAACTCAAAGATTCTGCCAAAATGATTTGTAGTATTTCATATGAACATACTCCACTGATTGAAGTGAGTCTGCTAAAACTGTACATGTGAACATCAACCAACCTCTTGTGGCTACAGCCATCTAAATATGTCTGGATTTCTCTTTCAAGAAGTTTTAAATTCAAAGCATCAGTCTGGAAACAAATCAATATGCAACACAAACATTGGCTGAGACAAATGGCTTTAACATGAACAATTCTAAATGTAGAAACTTAACAGTATAATGAACAGAATGACATACATATTTATATAAATGAAGGAAAGTACCCTCCACACCACCCGCCTCAAAAACTTCCCTCACAAAACAGCCCCTAACATCAAAAGCAGAGAAAATGAAACATTCAGTATTACCTTTGGAAGCTCAGATTTCCCTAATGCACTCAAGTTTTTCAAAAACTCTTTGCAATCATCCTATGATTAAGAAAGAGATCAACATCTAAATATACTTTTTTAAATAGAGAAAAAAATAAAAAAGAAAAAAATTCAGTACCTAATAACTTTAAAAAGTATCGCCTAACAAAAAATACTAAGTAATCCACAAGCATTGAAATACATTCTATTTAAAAAAAAGAAAAAGGTCTCTTGACAGTGACTTTCACTTGTGTCTGAGATTATTCTATAGGAACTCTTTCAAAAAAGTCATGTACCCCATTCTAACCTTTCCTGGCCTAGATTCCTGAGCCTGTAATGATTGTTGACTGAAGCAAATATTCAATAATGCTAATTTCTCCTCAGATATAGCACTCATCTTTAACCTTTTAACTCCCATGAGTGATCAAGACAGAATTTCTCCTTACAATATCAATACAATATCATGCTGACAAGTGATGAGAATAAGGGAAAATATCAATTAGGGAATTATAAATTGATCCAATACCAAATTCTCCAAACTAACAACACAAGAACTTCAAGTAGACAGTAAGGAGAATTACTAATAAGATCTTGGGAGTTAAAGGGTTAACTGGTCATCTTCCTCCCAAGCAATTTCAGGTCTCCTTAGCAACTCCCTCATTATCATTTATAAGTAGTGGCCAGGCATGTTAAAATATTTGCGTGGGTCTGAACTTTCACAGAAGTGCAACATGTAAATTGTAGAGAGGCAATAATAAAGTGGAGGATCAAGGCAATCCAAGAAGTAGCTTCTCCAAGAAAGAGAGTAAGTCCTTCATTGGTCATTCCCCATCCTAGCAGGTCGTCCTGACAATTTCCCTCTTCTCTTTAGGTTATGGGCAAGAAATTCAAAAGGATTTTACCTTGAAAAGCAATGTCCTTGAGCAAGGCTGATAATCAAGACCTTTCAGTCCAGACTTCCATGATCATTATTTTACCATTTATAAGCTACCTGCCTTGGTTAGCAATTTGGTCAATATAATCCAGACTCAACAATAAGTCAGACTCAGAATTCACCATATTAACCAATAGCTTAATAACTTTATAACACACATTTCGAAATAACTGGTGTTCCCTGTAATCTGATTAGCTCTAATTAGTGTGATTTATTCACGAATTGCACCATTCTTTGCTTTAAATCACATCTTTTTCCCAGCCAATGAGGAGGCTACACTAAAAACAAAACAACTAATCAGATTTCAAGGCTTGTTTAAAGTAACCAATCAAATTGCAGGAAAATAAAAGACAAAGAGTATCATTGCAAATTTTGCAACTTTTGTTTCCAAAGCTCTTATTTTTTCTCACCAAAAAATGAATGAATTTAATTTCAAACCAGCTCAGTACTGCATCAATAAAATATTTGAACTGACCAATTCCTGTATTCAAGTGATTTCAAAATGGATGTAGTAAAGTGGTAATTGAACCCCGTCATGCAATTTTGGTCTGAAATCATATTTGTGATTTCAAATCAAATGAGCGCCGTGTGCTCGTTCAATTTTTAAATCACGCATATGATTTCAGCCCAAATTGCACTCCACTCAGTTCAATTACCATTATTAATCACTCAATAAATCACATCCTTTATTTATCAAATCATTTGTCCTGTTTATATGTTTTTGTTTCTTTTGTTATAGGAAAGAGGGGACGAGGGCAATGTCCTATCTGTAAACTGAATTGGGTAAAATTTCCACATAGCCCCATACTACTGTAAAACAAATCTCTTTTCCTAATGGCAATCTATTGTTTTTGTCATTGTTTTCTCTATCCAAGAACTGAATGCATAATGTAGTATGGTGTTGTGCAGAAATTTTACCCTGAATTGTAATGTTCCATTTGAACTGATTCAGTAATAAATGTGTGAAGTTCCAATAGACAGCTGTTCTTCAACAGCCTTAAATACTATTCTATTTCATGAGTGTTGTGATTGCTGTCCTATTTAGCTTTTGTAAATAGGTTTCAGATTCTCTCTGTTTGCGGAAGTGGAAATGAAGTTCAGTAAAATCCATTTTTTTAAACAAAATTAAGAGGCAATAAAATCGCGAAAATATTGAAGATAATCACACAGGTTTTACGCTTATTAGCTTCAATCTACACGCGATAAACGTAGTTTTTAAAAAATTATACTTCGACTCCAATCAATAATCGATTATTTATTCCATAAGTCGAAGGGAATTTTGTGCACCCGGAGAAGTGAAACTACTGTTGTTTGGACTTTTCAGCTTTCAGAAAATCATGTGATATTAACAACAACCGAATGCAGTACCTGTCTTTTGACATACGCCTCCAAACTGTGACAATCCAATTTGTTATCGTAAGTGTGCACGCCAATTTGAGTGGCGAATTCTGGGCTCTCTCGTAAACGCCACTCCCAAAATGATCTCAAAATACCCTCCACCTCAGCTGACATTGTTACATTAGCAGTAAATATAGAACTATTGATTGTTTGAAAAGTCTAAAGTACGAATAAAACGAAAAAGTACTGCAGAGGAGAGCAGATCATCGGTCAGAGGTTTTCCGTGACACGTACACCGGCAAAGTCCCCTGGGAAGTTGCTGTTTACCTGTATTCGACACAAGCCGGCGGTATTCAGTCACACAGTCACACAAGTGGAATATGGCTAACACTGATAACATAAATGAATGCATGACAAACGACAGTTTGAATGGGAAATCGAGCTCAGGAGAAAGTCTTAAATTTGTAAAGAAGCTGTACATACACGGAGGAAACATTTCCAATTGGAATAGAATCAAAAGGAAAACCACCCCAAGTTCTGCGGATGAAGTAAGTTTGATCATCGATGTTAGCGGTAACAATATAACGTGGCTCAGGAAAAGACAAGTTATAAATTATTCGTCTTCATGTTGCAAAAAGGCATTTTTTCACCTTTCGAAAGCTTGAAGTCCATTTTTCTCTCCCACACAAACGTAAAAAGTTTAAGAGTTTTTCTCGCTGAGTCACCCTCATTCAATGGGCGTTTCGCTTAAATCGTCCATCTGCACGAGAAACTTAGATGAACAAGTGAACTAATCCTCTATTAATGCACTAAACGATCGCGGTATTTATGTATTTTTTTCAAATTTGTTATTCTTGTATGGGCTCTGAATTGCAAAAAGTTATTTTCATCCTAAGCTCCTGATGATTTTTGTTTAGGTGTAGAGGATGAGGTCATGAAACATGAAATTCACCTGATCGTGACAAAGCAACTTCTGCCGACAAGCCCGGGGCTTTAAAACCAAATTAAAAAAAGATATTCTCGCCTTCATTTACTTTTCGAACAAAAGAATCAGTTTTTTGCTTTCGAGAAAGCGATAGTCAAATTTACTGTCGTTCCAAATTTATTCGACAAGTTTTCTGTTGAAATTGTTTTCGTATCTTAGCTCAGCTAAACAAGTCAAGGTGAACGTGATTTCCTGAGTCAGCCATGCAGAAACATGTAAGTGTTGACAACTGAGTTGAAAATGTAATGTAAGAGTTTAAAGGTGTTAGCCCTTCGTCAGAACGATTGGAGAAATTGTGTGTTGTGTGTGGGTTTATATGCAGAAAGTGGAACTACCCTATTGGTGGGAATATGGTGACGAGTAAACAAGAATGAATTAGGTGTATGAAAAGCGCTCATTGATAGCATGGGTTAATCCCCACGGTATCAACGAGTGCTTTTTCTTCACCTAATTTATTCTTGTTTACTCATCCCCATATTCCCACCAATAGGGCCATTTTCTACATAATTATAAACCCACACACAACCCACAATTCCTTCAGTCGCTCTGACAAAGGGCTAACGCTCGAAACGTCAGCCTTTAAACTCTTTGCAGAGGCCAGTTTACGTTTTCAACTCAGTTGTTAACACTAAATTACCTGCTATACTCTCCCACCAATGCAGCACCACACTTTCTTTAGAAACTTAACCCCTTTATTCACTTGCAGAAACATGTCAGCTTTAGTCAACATCAATGCAATTTTGAAAATAAATTGAAGAAATGATTAATGCGATCAACTAACAGTTTGCAAACACATGTGTAGGAATTCTTTAACTCTTGCTCCCCTTAACTTAAATTAAAAAGGGAAACATAATGCGAAATCTCAGCTTGATAATATCGCAATTTCTTGTATTAAGTTGTGTACTTAGTTGCCAAGCCTTTGATTTGGAGTGAGGCTGAAGTTGACCATGTTGACAGTGATAGAGCTTAGTATCTAGTTAGTACGATAAGGAAGTCATTTACTATTGAAAAGAAGCATGGTTTGTATCATAACTGCTCTGTTACAAAATTAACTGCATATTTTTCATCACAGCTTTCAGAGAGCATTGGAACAACGTTGAACAGTTTGCTTCCCACGAACAACAATGATCAGGAATTTGTTCCAGTAAGTTGAATTAAGTGTGTCCAGGTTGAGTTAACCTTTGTATTTTGTGCAAGTGTTTGATGTAGTGCCCCCCTTAAGGTATTACCCCTAACTTTGGAATAAGAATTTCAGGGTTTAGTCTGTAGATCATTATTTGGTTACCCTTTCACCCTGAGAAATTATGGTTACATTTTGATACAAAACTTTTCATTTTGCATTTTAGCAAAAGGCCTTAAGATGTATAAACAAAAAATTTGTGGAGAAAATAGAACGAGGAGAAAGGGAACATCTCAAAATTTCAGGTATGTCTAAGCATGTATGGAAGTTGTTTTGTTCCCAATGTAAGCACTGGGAGAAGAGGACAGATGATGGGCTTATAATGTAAACTCAATGACTGCAATTTTTTTTTCATCTGAGCTGTCACCCAGAAATAATAGATACCCTATACTATGTTTCTGTTTTGTCTTGAACTAACTCTGTTCATTTATTTCAATTGGAACAAAACTTATTAATATTCATGACAAGAACTCAGACATTTACATTTCTTTAACCTTGCTCGGAGAAATAAGTACATTGTTATCTTCTCAACTTTGTATTGCTTACAATACCTGTCATATAAAGGGAGTATTTAAGTTGTCTTAGTCATGCATTCACTGTATTCTGGTGTTGTAACATTTCAATCTTGTATTGTTACTTGCTCTTGAAAAAAAAAAAGATTTGCATTGTTTACATTTTTCTTCGTTAGTATACATGTTTTCATGGAAAAACACATGAAATTATTTCAAAAGTTTAAATAGCATGATGACTTAGAGTTTGAAATATGTAAAACTCTAAAACTTTCTGGGTGCTAATACCAATGATCACATGCATTCTTTGTGATACTTTCTTATTTTTGAACATCTTCTGGCTGATCGAATTTTAGATGTATCAGACTGGACATTTCAAAGAAGGGTATAAGATATGTCCCATGCTTCAATAATTTGGTAGCAACATTTTTGTAGCTTGATAGGAAACTGTAGAGCTCATGCCAATGAGCCAAAAAATGTAAACAAAGATTCCCTCACATGCTTATCTTTGGTTGAAGACCCATCATATTTCCAATGAAACTGATAGTGTATTTGCAAGCTTTAGTATCTTTTCAAATAGAACACTTGTCAAAAGTTTCAATCTCACAAAATTGAAGATATATTTTAAACCTTGGGAAATGATCAATATGATATCTTTATTGGTTTTGTCTCTTATTTTATCCATCAGTGAAGATATTTGCCATTGAACTAAACCCTGCCTTTGTCCAAGATGCATTATTTAGAGGTGAGACTGATAATATGCATGTCAATGATTCTTTACATCCAGTGTAGTGAGCATTATTGGCAGGAGATGAGGTTAAAACCACAAAAAAATTATATAGTGAAAGGGAAATAACACAAAGACAAGTGTTTGCCAGCAGATTCCATTATTGTGCAAATGGCATCAAGCAAAAATGATAGTCTGCAATGGCATTTCTCCTCCCTTTTTAAAATATCAAAACTGACTAATTCCTGTTATGAGCCTTTGCTGTACAAGAAAAATTTTATTTTAGAGAGAAGTCCAGCTTAGTCTGAAGTGCAATATTTTCATCTTGGGCCAATACATTTTAAGGGCAAACAAAGTTTGTTTCTGACTTTCCTATAACACACTAGTCAAATTGGATTTTAGATTTTCTCCTGCACTCCACAGAGGCTGTTTGTCCAACAGCCAAAACTGTATGTACCATACACAGTTTTTGCTAAGATCTGGTATTATTTGCCAAAACACAATATTGTGTTTTATCATGATTATTAACACTGATTAACAATTATATCAAATTTTTTGACATAACTTTTAAAACTTAAATTTTTTTTCCTATAGCCATGTGTGAGTTGGGAATTGATTTTGTGGAAACATTGATTTTGGCATTGCCTGAAATTCCAGATGATGAGCAGCTCTCAGCTCTGAAAGGTTTCTGGGAGGTATGTTTTTAAAAAAAAGACAGATACCAGATTATTAATATTTTGTGCAATTACATGATTGTATATTGGCAGATCACTCTGCACTTTATTTACTGTGTGTGCACTTCTCGCATGCTTCTTAGACATGTACCAGGCAATAATTTCCAGTATAAGATTTTGAGTTTGATACATTTTAATCACTAAATCATAATCATTATATAGGAAATGGAGGTTTTGATGGACAGTGGATATGTGCACAGTCTGGGTGTCTGTGACTTGGACAAGAATGCACTGGAAAAACTTTATGAATGGGCAAGGGTATGTTTTCACACCTTGTGTTACACTGTACATTAAACAAGTTTTTTCAGCAGAAATTTTAGACCTTTAGCATTTTCACCACATTGGCCAAGTATACTTGTTGGGTCCTTGATACTTGATGACCTGTACTGTCTCATGATGTAACTCATATTTCGTCTAATTTGTATTTTTGCTGCAGCTAGTTTAAATTTCTTGCTTGAAGTTCTGGGTAAAAAAAACTTTAAGCTTCAAATAAAAAAATTCCACCCACTGCAACCTAAACACTTGCATAGTTTATGTACACTGGCATGTATAATCCTCTTACTAACTGCTGCTAATTGTTTTTTATTTCTTTCCAGATCAAACCTGAAATCAATCAAGTTAATCTTGCTTCATGTTGTGTCATGCCGAAGGTATGGGCTTGTTGGTACAATCAAATTATGTAAATTATCCACATACTTAATCCATATACTTGTTGTGTCATGCCAAAGGTATGAGCTTGTTGATAAAATCAAATTATGTAACTTATCCATATACTTATAATATTATAAATGCTCTGATTTTTTTAGCATTTTGTTTGGTTACTTTACTGTAATTTGTTGGTGTAGGTTTTGTTTCTCAAAATTTGTCCTGTTTGTGTTGTTTCATGTCTAATAATACCTGTATACGAGGACACAAAAAATATCACTGCTGAGCTAAGCTGCTCAATCCAATCAATTTAAGTTTAATTAGACCTCCCCTTTGGGAGATGGATTTTGCATATCACACCGTCATGTTTGCCATGCACCAATTGGCTCTGTGGGACATTTTTATAGTTTAAAATTAGATTCCCTGACTCATACAGGAAGCTGCCAGAATTTTTGACAGAATTAGATATATGTATATCATGATGGAAGAAAAACAAGTGGAATTTTTTATCCAATTCATTTTTTGAATCTTAAATACTTAAATCTTCAATAAAGAATTGTATAAAAACCCCAGTCGTCATCTCCTCCATTGAGACACACTTACATGTATATTCAATTCAACTAAAAACTGAAACGGGGAGACTGGGTACCTGTCATTCATGTAACATGTTTTGAATTGTATCCTTTAGGAGCTTGTAGACTTTAGTGAGAAACATGACATCCAGCTCCTGACACATGCTGATCCAAAAGGTACTGAAAACTGATCCAAAACTTTTCGTTGAAATCATTGTTGGACACCAAAATTCTTGCAATTACAAGGGGTGACATATTACACCTTATCTTGAAGTATTTAAATTTTACTTGTCTTCCTTAGCTTATTCAGGATACATAGTGCACCGAAAAAGAAAACAAATGTTTGTCATACCAAGCTCAAAATTAACCATCTTTCTAATTTTGTTCTTATTTTTTGGTATAATTACCAGCACTGAATGAACAAGCTCTGTAGTTAAGGCTAGCGTGGGAATTTAATCCCTTTTTAAATCCAAGACTCAAAACCTCATCCTTCGGTTCCTCTTTTCAGATATCCTGACCAAGGGGAGACTCGAAGAGGTGCTGAGAGAGAGCTACGAAAATGTACCGGTCCAAGGATGGAGACCTGCGTGGGCTCTGAGGTATTCAGTGCTGGTTAAATGTCGTGGAGTTATAAAGAACAAAGGGTAGGTTGAAAAATTCATGACGCTGTGATCTCCTAACTGTTCCTTGTCTGAATTACATGCGCTCAGCCGCGGATTGAGTATATTTAGGTAGATTATTAGGAAATGATCACTAACTTACGAAGTTCCTGATCATTAAATAAATTCTCCTTTTCAGCGCCCTAGGAAGTGTAAAGAGAATCGTATGGAGAACATACATACTGATATTAGGATGTAAAGGGTTAAAACCTTTATTTCTTTCTCTTTAGGTACATAGTCTTCTGCGAACAGGATTAAATGGTCTTCAATTAGATGTACAACTTCCAAAAAAGCGATGACTGCAGAATATATATGCTTTTCTCAGACCCTCGTGCCTTCTGTAGAATGTACTAAGCGTTCACTTGATGCTCCGTAGAACGCGAATAATGGCTTTTTATTACGTGAATTCAGATCGACATTTCGAGATCTGCTTGCGGATTTAAATGATTCAAACCTCCTCGCTTCATTTCAGAACTGGCGGACAACTTTCGGAAGTTTTTTGTTTCTTTATTTGTTGTAAAAATTTAAGTGGTGGGGAAAGAGGGAGGGAATACATGTAAGGAAATTTTGATACATGTAAGTGACGTTCTTGAGAACATTTGGATTGAGCAAACTTTTCTAAGTGGTTTCATGTACATTCTAGCTGGGTAACCGCGATCCGTGGATTTTTAACTCTACAAGAAATGAGGTGTTTTGCTTATGGAGAAAGTTCAGATGAACTGTTTTTAAGGGTTTTTTTTTTAAAATTATCGACAAACAGTAATGGGCTCCTGTCGACAAACTAATGCAGTAAGCGTAAAACCAAGATGTGAATAATAAGAACGATACATAAAAAGATACTTGTGTTTGTAAATATACGTTTTGCACTGAAAGGAGTTGGTCTGCTTTGTTTTTAACCTATCCACTGAACGCCAACTCCCATATGAACAATTCGAGTTATTTTTCTTTCGTTTCATTAACTTGTTGCCACGATACGCAAGGCTGCATGCAGAATTAATTCAAACATTGATCAGACCCTTTGTGCTTCGAAAGGGTATTCAATAAATACGAAAAAGGAAACTGATGTTTTGTTGTAAATACTTGTTTATATACTTCTCATAAGTATTACTCCTCTGGATATAAGACGATCGTAAAAATTTCCGCGTATTCTTCGAGATTTCGTATGTATTTATATGCTAAACATTATAGTGGATAGGTAACAGGTCTAAATAAATAGGGAAACATTTTAAAACTTTCAGTACGTTTATTTTCTATCTTCCGTTGAAAGCTTGGTTGAAATAAGAGAAGAGAGTGATCGAATTTGTACACCGTCTTCAATTATTTCTCTTATTCAAGGTGTGACCTGTGAATCTCATACCCGCTCGTTTTATAAGGCCATACGAACACAGCGGTCAAAGGAAGGACATGTACAAGGGATCGATTTTTGCTGGCCGCGCGCCAAATTCCCGCGCAAACTTTCTGAGGAAAATGTTGTCACGTAAAATACGCGAAAGAAAGTTGAAAGAAATCTGGAATAGGAAACAAAAGTATGGAAAATGGAAGCGCCGGACTTTTCGTTTACAAAGCTTATTTAATTACGGGCTTTCTACAGATTTACCATTATGATTTTGTTTTTGAGCTTTATCAAAGCAGTTATACTGTTTTCAAGCACCGCGAATAACTCGTTTGTATGGTTGTGGATAATTCTTTGAAGACAAGTTGGCTCTTACAGCCTGAAGCGAAGTTCGCGCATGCTGGCAAACGTCTGACAGTTGAGGGACCGCTGCGTGACTCTTCAAAGTGTTGTACCATTGGAGGCCACGCAAAAAAATTGGGAATATATCCAGCTTAAATATCTTCCCGATTATCCCTCTCTCTACTCACTTAATATTACCCATTTACTCCTAGCCATCATCAGCCCGCACCGGCAAACGATAATTGCAGGGATTTATTCTAATTAAAAACGATACTCCACTTCAATAACAAAAAAAAATCACTCAAAACATTACGAGGTAGCGCCATTTTAGCTTGAACTACTCATTCTTTTAACCCCTTAACTCCCAGAGGTGATTAAAATGTAATTTCTCCCTGTAATATCCATACTTTATACAGCAAACTGGTGATGAGATTACTCAAACGCATCACTCCTGACAGGTAGAAGTTGTAATCATGATCTAACTCCAAATTCTCCTAATTAATTTATAAGGAAATGTATAGCAGCCAGAGGGGAGAAGTAACAATCAGATGTTGAGGAATTAATGGGTTAGCCAGTGGTTATCCATAACAGAACCTTTACCACAATATCGAAGGTAGCTTATGTCCATTCGAGGGAATTTGTAAATGTAAAAATGTTCACAACGACGAACCATGATTTGTTGCCTAAAGTAGCAGCAATCATCGCGCCAATGAAAACAGACTTCTCTGGCCACAGCCCCTTCTGACTGCGTAGGATGACCATTCTTTAACCAGCCAGTGGCGTGTGTTCCACAGTGAAACAACTTCACGCATCGATCTGCCATCTGAAAACCTAAGAATCATAAGACACATTAAGGAGAATTACTAATGAGATCTAGGAGTGCCTGAGAACGTTTCACGACAAATGATCAAAGTCACTCACCCGCGCCGTCTTTGAACCTGTACCATCCAGGAGAGAGGCCAGCGTCAGTCAGAGATACAAAAGGATCGTAGAATCCTTGTGATCTGTCCGCCGAATCCAATAAACCGTGATTCTCGCATTCATCAGGAACTGTGACAAAATACGAAAGGTGGAATAGCAGTGCGTTCACGTTTGAGTGTGTCAACGTTTTAAGTTATGTGTGAAAAGAGTTTCAGTCAACTGAAGATCTTTCGCTGATCATTTGCGCAATTCAAGTTTAAAATTGGATAAGAGGACTTTTATTTCTAAAGCAAGCGATTAGAACGATGAAGCGAGTTGTTGCGTCGACGCTCATTGCTCATGTGCTTTTTATCAAGTGATCAAGGATATTAATGGTGGTCATTGACCGTTAGAGTCAAGGCAAGCAGTCACAATCAGAGTATCAATTCATAAAAATTTACTTGTGTTACGGCAAGGAGATTGTAAACGCGCGGAGTTGCAGAGGTGTCAATTTCCAGAGTATACAAATTATTGTAGACATAATCTTAAATAATAATGGCCAAAAGAGTAATGATAAGTCATAAAAGAAACACTGATTACAACCAACAATCGGAAACTTGCTGGGGAGCTCAGGTAGAAACCGTGCGAGTCAAACCGAAGCTTTCGGAATCCAATCAGAGGTACTCACTTTCAGCAACAATCGGGCGTTTCTGCTCAACAGTAGGAGTCAGTTCCTCTTTGACTGTGGGGCGTTCCTCCCCCAGAATATGGGCTTCCTCCATGACAGCATCCCCGCAATACCGCATGGGACATTCGGGCGGGGGCTCTAAATGGTACACCATGAAGTTCCCACAATTTCTGATTTGGATCATTTTCCACTCCTTACAGCACTCCCCTTCGAGGTGAAAGCATATTCTCCTCATAACCCTCCCATCTTGGGGCATGGGATGGTCCCCATCCAACCATCCGGGTCCGTAAGTACCGCAATGGAACTTAGGGACACAATTTGTAGGCATCATACGGCCTGCCTGTCGCAAGAACCTGTACCATCCACGTTGTAAATGGTCGTCGCACATCTCGAGAGAGGCATTGTAGTATGTCAAAGTGCGAAAAGGGCCAGACAATTCTTTGTAATGGGTGCATTCGTCCACATTGCTGGCATCCGCAGCTAGCGTAGAATGGGTTGAAAAACAAATTCAAAAATGTGTATAACTTTTTTTTTCCATCTGTAAAAGACTATATAAATTATTTATTTTAAGATCAGGCAACAACGTAGAAGGGCAACGATCGGCAAACGGCAAAAAAACCGTGCCGTCTGTCAAAGCGGTTTTTACGCCAAGTTAAATCAATATTTTCATTAACTGTGAATAAGGTATTTTTACTTCTATCTAAGGATTGTAGGAAAAGCGAGTAAGTCAGAGTTAATTTTTTTTGCCGTTGTCATAACACTCATTCTGGGAGTCACCAGGTATCTCATCCATAGGAGTAAATTCGCAGAATAAAAGGCACAATTGTATTGAGACAGATGAGAGTTCATTAATGAACAGAATAAGAAATTTCAACTCTGTGGTAGTGTGGATAAACACGAGACTTCATAATCGTACAAAACTCTTAAAAATCCTTCTATGTTAAAGAAGAAGACGAACTTTCATTAATGATAATCTCAGTATCTGTTTGAACAAAAAAAAATTGTGTATGATTTCACTCACTTCCATTTTTTTTATTCCAACATAAAAATGAAATTGAAATGAAAATAGCACTTTCACTTAGGCCTGGTTACCCAGTTAGCATAGGAAATTTAAAGAACGATTATCTTTATTAATCAGGCGGGAGGCGCTCAGCATAAATTACAGAAAACAAAACAGTAATTATGGATGCTACGAAAAAATGCGCCCGCCAAAGAACAAAAATAAATATTTTGTTGATAAATCCTTGCTTGTGACTGATAGGGAGAAAAATTGTTAATAGCTGCACTGAAGAGTTACAGAAAAAATTAGCTTAGCTGTAAACGTCGTTTACCATATTTGATAAGAAAACGTTTTTAACGTTAAGCACCTCGGTGCCGATGATGTAAAATTTTAATAAACAGGTCAAACTTTGCATTTCAGCACATTTCTCCTTCTTAGATGGTATCTTTCCAAGTTAAAAAAATTCTATGTTATACACCATATAACTCCACGATGTGTTCTGTTCACAGTTCAGTTACAGTTAGACTTCCACTTTCCCGCCAATTGGAAAAGAATGCTTGCTGTTACATAGAGCCAGGGTTATCATTGAAAATAAACAAGTATTCTGTTTCCAGAGTCAACTAAATGCAAATGAAATTCTTGCCACGTTTTAGAGTTGAGAAATTCAACGAAAGCAAAGAGAAAGATTCCTAACCAATTTTTAAATGCGCGAGTTGTGGTAAACATGGTAAGCATTTGATTAATTTGTGTAATGATCTTAAGAAAATTGAGTCGGATTCGAATGGTTGACACGTCACCTGTTGTCTGCGAAACACGAATCAAGAATATTTCCTGACTCAGGGTCAGTATTCCAACGGCAACCAGTACAAAATACTTCATGGTTTCAAAGTCGTGCGGCCGATATACATCGCGGCTCTTAGTTAGTTATAAGTGCATATGCATCAAAATCGTCATACTTCATTAGGCTTCAATAAATAAACGAGAGTGCAAATTTGCACAGTTCCTCAGCTGTGACGTGACCGCGCTTGAAATAAGGGGTGCTGTTTTCTAAAACTTCGCTGGGTTTCTTTTCACGACATCTTTCGTTTCATCCTTCACTTTTGAACGGTGGAAGAAGATGGAAACAAAAGCTTTCACCTATCCTCTCCTTCCCGGAAATTTTAAATGTGAAAACGTAGAATTGAGGGAGTCTTGTTTTGGCGCGAGATTTTTCGATTACGACACGGTCTGATTAGCTTTAATAATTGTTCCAAATTTTGCGCGCGTTCCTCGGTGAGTACAAATAAATTCGCGTGTTGCAGTCGCATTCAGTTGAGAGGGTGTCTAACTTAGGAATTTGAAGCGGAGATGATCATTTAAACATAAAATATACACGCCTTGGTACATAAGATAATTACTTTTATGTTATTCTAAGTAAAGTCAAGGGAAACTTTTAGCTCAATTCATAAACCAAAGGTAATATAAGCCGTATGTAAATTATTTTAAATACAGATCAAAATTTATGTAAGAAAAATTGAGAGGAAGGATGAAAGAATTAAAAGTTTGGGTCTCGCCTTTAAAAGACGAATGCATAATTTCGCGAGTTCACTCACCATCGTGTTATAACAGTTGTGTATGATCTTAAAGCGTCGAGTACCTTTAGATTGTTAATAAAATAGGTGATTTTAATCAAGTACAGCCAAACGATCTCAACATCATCTTGTCAACAATTATAAATGAGTGATTTGCTCGCATGTTACTGGGCAACGGTAATGATCTCATTTGAATCTGCTCTCCGTGCGTTTCACGCGCGACATGCGCTCAGCTTTTTCAATAACCAATCATACAGTGAGGTAGAGTCGAATTTCCCTTGGAGTTATCAAACTTTAGGACATGGAAAATAGTTATAGCAGGGTCTTGCTGGTGTTTCTTTTAATTTGGTCTTGTCTACCGGTTATTACTCGACAGGAACCTTCATCAGGTGAGACATTTTTAATTTTGCGTCATACCAGCTCGGTATGAATTCATATAACTTAGCCTAAATCAACCTCGTTCAAATATGATTTAAAACTTGATTTAAACAAGTCTGTTCCTTCAAAGAAACGACTGTTTTGCTCCTTGATTTGAAAACTTAAAAAAGTTCAGGTTTGAAAAGTGAAAAAATGAGAAAGGTGATTCCAGTAACCTTAAACTAGTTTGCCGAGGGCCAGCCATGGCGTATTTGAGAGCGACTTTTCTCCGAGTACACCTATATTTTAAAACGAGTTTTCTCGTATCCCAGAAGGAAGAGCAAGACTCAAAAACCCGCTTATCAATTCGAGGTCGTCAAGAGTTTTTAAGGTAGACTAAATATATCATGAATTCAAGCATTACATAGAAGATCAGTTCCATAATCCAAAGCTGTTTTTCTCATGATAATCAATAACCTGTAAATATAAGGTCATATCGCAATCATAGCATTGTAAATACTTAAGTAAGATCAGGCAAAAAAAGATACACACGAAAAGCAAGAAAAAAGCGAAGAGAGAGAGAAGATTACAATGCTTGAATAAAAAGCAATTCAGCTTGCTTAGTTTGTAATAAAATGAATAGTTCACCTCTTTAAATGGTTTGTTTTCAGAGCGAATAAGGCAAACGTTTGCATTAAACAGTCCACTGATTGGTACTATGACAATATCGTTACCGTGAAAAAAATCCGGTTTACTTGTTTTTAAAAATCTCTCTATCAGTAAAAGGCTATCCCATCCAATGTTTCAGCAGTTTTGCGTATTTTAAGGGTTGCATTTATAATCACGATCTACAAGTTGTTTGGGAGGTGAATCGTCACCAATCGAACCCGACTCTCGAAAGCGGCGCAAATTTTGCCTAATTTATTTTAACTCTAAGTTATACGCTAATTAAAAATTCGTGTTCATCACTACAGTCTTAAGAGTAGCACCTTTAATGAGTCTTATAATGACAATTTAGTGGAGTTCTGAGATCAATAAGAAATTTCAAAGAGTCTTAGAAAGTTTTAAACACTTTTAAAGAGGCAAAAGATGATACGTAAATTATAAGGTTTAACGAGTTTTGAACTTAAATTTTACGCTACACAAATTTCTGGAATCCTATTGGTTAATTCCTAAGCATAGACTATTGGCTGCTTGGTTGCAAAAATCCCTTAAGATCAAGAATTCATAGAAACGTTTGGCCGTTTTTAGAGAAATTTCAATTTATCGTCGAAAACAGTCTGGGTCGTCTGGCTTTTGTTAAGCCTTCAGCGGTAGGCTTCCTATCAATCAGATGCAAAATTTAGAGTTCTTTTCAATCGAGTGTCGAAAGAAGTCTGGGTAGCCCAGGTTTGCATTATTTCCCTCTGTGATTGGTCCTGAAAATTTACACTACCCCCCTCAACCAATCAGACACAGCTGAAACCAATCGCAACCCGGTCACATGCGTTTTCCCGCGCTTTAGGCAACTTGTTTTTATCTTGAGTTCTCATTGGCTCCTTAGTATTTTCTTTCGCTAAGATAGGTTGAGTCCTAGGACATTTAATCGAAAAGCACTTTTAAGACCAATCACGTCTTAGTCAGTTACATTTTTGCTTACTTCAGGCATTTCTCTACTCATAATTTTTCTTGGTAGTTCATCTTTCTTTGGTCTGAGTGGCTACAGCGATAGACGATTAAATTGCACTTTATTCCTTTTTAATTCCTTCTAATCAAGATCAGACGAAAGAAGGTGACACGATGAGCTGTGAAGCTAAGTGCTTCCCCGATTGTATGACAAACGAGATCAACGAGTGTGTGGAGGCCTGCCAACGATTCTGCCCAGTAACATGATGAGATCTCGTTTGGAATTCAGTCACTGCGCGACTCGGATTGCGATGAGTTATCATTGGAAATTGTCGATAAACGTTTTTGCAGGGAAAAAAAATAACAGAACGAGGACCAACTTGGTTTGATATCCAGCCTCCCCCGGACTCCGCAAAATTACGGAAAGACTCCGGTTTCTTCACGTACTAAGGGATCTTCAGAATCTGCAGCAATATTTATTCACTGAACAAGGAAATTCTAAAAAAAGTGTTTCTATCATAATGGTGCACTGATGCACAATCAACTCGATGAAATAATTTTTTTTTCCGATTTTTTTCTGACACGTATGTTCTATTGATTGCAACGAATTTTAACTGCAAAGATTATTCTTGATAATTCAACGCCGATTTGTTCCACAAGTGGAGGTCTTCTTAAAATAAAATTAGCTCATGTCATGCAAAGACCAAAGCTCTTCAGCGATTAAAGCAGATTTTGCAGGATGAAATCCTAATAACATAAATTTATCTGTTTCGCCAAAATGAATCCCAATATAATTTCCAACCATTTCGCGCACCTCTTCAGCTTTTATGTTTTGTTTTCCGAATGGGGGTCTCAATGGTTCTTTCCTTTGTTTTTTAAATGTATGCATTTATATGCTCGTGAATAGATCGAAATTTGAAAAAAAAAAACAAAGGTCTCTAGAATATCATCCCATGACCTACATTGGGAAAAGAAAATATACAAGCTGATTCGGAGGTTTAAAGCTACCATATAATCATATGACATACGACGACAATTGTTCCCGTGGAGACAAAAAGTTTCGCGATAGAATTTTTCCCCCCCTCAGCAAAGCGAGGGATTTGTTTTGTTTAAATACTTGACACATATCGGATTCGTGAATCCCACCTTAACTTGTGAAGCTATCTCATTAACAAGGTATGTTGAGCTAGTGAAAAGGTTTTTCACTCTCAGAGAAAATTTTATCTTGAATTTCACATTTTCGTGGGATAAGATTTGATAATTTCCTCAAAGTGAGACTTCTTTAGATATACCGTCTAAGGCTGGGAAACTGCACGTAATGCTCATCTTCAGGCAACAAAAGGCACGTTCTTAAATATTGCGCCGATCTGCCAGTGATAGAGTTGACACCGTCTGGTGTAATGATGCATAAACCATCCTAGGAAGATACTATGAACTCATTCACACACAACCGCACAGAGGCCCGAAGTCATCGTCGCTGGCAAGCCGATGGTCTGTTCCAGGCGTTCAGCGAATAAAACAGGGCAATCCGAGTGAAACAATCAACGGGGTGATAGTAGCAGCAGAGCGAAGAACGAAAGGGAGATTTGGGTCCCTTAGTTTTCCAATCTTTCCGCCCAACTATAGAGCTGAGGATTACGTAAATTTTATTTTAACTCTACCAAAATCTTCCTCTTCCCGTACCGGAGTAACATGGCCGAACTTTCGTTTCCCGCTGACTATACCAACGCGTAGGGATTACCTTAAGGGGCAAATGTCTTAAGTTAGCAAATAACTTTAGCAGTACAGACTTTCTACTTGAACAGATGGCTCCAAGAAGATAATAGGGTTCATCATAAACAAAACCAACTGGAAGAGTACGGATTTCGTTTATATTAATTGTTTTCATTTTGTTTAGCATTTGGCATTTCTTACAACTTTCAGACCCGTCATAAGTGTTTTTTACTTCCAGTTAAAATGGCTCTACTTAACTTCTCAAGAGTGATGCTGGCGCTCAATACTGATATGTGCATCAGCTTGTATCAAGAGAAAATATCATTATCATATTCTCTTGCTTATACTCCTTCCTCTTGCTAGCAGAAAGCGATGTTGTTTTTTCCATCCAGTTTAAGGGTTTCAGTAACGCTTTCCATTGGCGCTGTCAGTAGAGGCGTCTGTGTCGGGAAAGGGGCCGTAAGGCGAAATCCGAATGCGAGAACTTGCAAGCTACAGAGATAGCTGTGAGAGGACGCATGGGTGGCAGAAGACCATCTGTAAACGGAGTTTAATGAAACCCATGTTAAAAAGCATTTGTATTTATAAACACTTATTTGTGGTGACACCTTAATGTTCTGACTTTAGGCCAGAGTGAGTCACAGGATGAAGTTCACGCACTTGATGGTTATCGTTGTTGCAGTGTCTTTCTCCGCATTCAACACAGGTTGGTTATACGTATTGCTCCCAGCATATGAACAATTATGTCATCTCATCATGAAGAGAGCAAATCGAACACGACAGTGTAACTCCCCAGAGATTTATGCGATTGTCTAAACGATAGGTCGTCAAAGTCAATTTATCCGATCCCGCGTAAATAGATCTGTTTACAGGCACGCACTGATTCAAATAATATAAACACACAAACTTTAAAATAAAGGAACAAAATCACACACAAATAAAAGGTTCAGACGAATTCCCCAACCAGTCAACCACGTTACGAACACTATTCAACTACCTCCCTTCCTCAGCCTCCCGAATTTTTTTAACTGAAGTTGATTCTTACCTTCTGTGTTTCAGTCCTCGCCCTCCGATGTAATGTGTGCATAAGCTCAGTCTCCTGGGATGACTGTGAACAGAACACTCAAAAGTTGACGTGCGAATCAGAGGATACTTACTGTCACCGCCACATGACGAGTTCTGAGGTTATGGGCATCACGATTGTAACTTTTTCAAAAGGTTGTGCAACATCTGACAAATGCACACCTGAAGCAATTGATCGGTGTAAAAACGCTAAAAACACTGACCTTCAGGGAATGCCTGGAGTTACAGCAGTCGATTGTGACTTGAAATGCTGCCAGGGAGATTTGTGTGATTAGCATGTAAAATGATTCACACCAGAGTAAACGATTTTCTCAGTAGGATGTTAGGAGTTTTCATGTGAAGAAAATAAAAAAAAAAGGAAACGAAACTCTGATTTTGTTTTTGTCTATAGAATTAGTTGAATGTCTGATAATTAGCTCTACTACTAAACTATTTTTTAACCTTGTCCACAGAGCAACTTTGAGTGTCAAAAGTAATTCGAGACTACTTTAGCTTCGCCTCACAGTACTTCGCTCTGTCACTGATCCAAAAACCTCGCACCCTTTCTTGGATAATCAGATTCAAAACTAACACCAGGCGCGTTTCCCCGAGTTTTTCTTTTTATCTCAAGTTCTTACTGGCTCTCTGTGATATTTTCCTTTGTTCTGATTGGCTGTGGTGATCACTCTTTTTTCCGTTTTTATGACATCACATAACCGTATTTGAGGGTATCATGGAAATTGATGCTAGTTATATGGAGAAATGTGGAAATTATGGTTCGGCTCTTCCATTTCAAATATGTATTCTAAAATATGACGTCATTGAAAGAGGAAGGAAGTGGCATAGTTTAATACTTTGGGGATTAACAGTTCCACTGCAATGCTTCAATCGATCATAAGTCTGGTCAACAATAGCACTGGTATAATGCTCTTAGGAAAGCAAGCGTTTGTAAGAGGGTAACTAGGAATTAGTAGCACCTTCTTCGGCGAATAATTGTTAATTATCAATAAAACTAGCATGTACCCTTATAATGCTGATAAGATGCTAGGGTAGGAAATCCCTTCTTTCCTTTTTTTTAACTTTTGGTTTGTTTTACCTTGAAAACACTAGCCTTTTCATAAAAAAAAACAAACCAAAGACACTATAATTTTGTGTTGTTCTTATTATTCACTCTAGCTGAAATAAGTTTTAAATTAATCTAAGAAGTTTACAAGGCATATTAAATAAAGTAAGGCATTATCAATACAGAATGGCTGTACCATGCAGTAGTTCTTTTAAATAAAGTTCTGATGATTCAAAAACAATGGACTGAAATAAAAAACATTTCTTAAATGTAAGAGGCAGATTTAGTGGGTACATCTGCCGTAACAGTTTTAAATGCCTATTCAAGCAAGTGAAATTTTTCATCTTCACACTTTTCTACAAGTTTTACCAATAAAAGAAGACATTAAGTTAAACAACAACAATAAAAAAAGGAACATTAATCTTATAAACTTTATACCTAACTATACTATAAATCCAATAACAATTTCATACTGTAACTCGTGGCGAGAGTATGAACCCAAAAGTCCTTGATGCATTATCATTCCAGGCAATTTTAATACACACTAAAGATGTACCTTCAAGACCTCACTCTGATTCCCTTGTTGTAATCAATTCTTTAGCAACACTATATGACACCTAGTCATTTTTCAATTTAAAAGCCTGTAAAACATATAATGTATGTGATTTCAAAATAAATAGACTGTTCTCTTATCTCAACTTTTTAATTGTTCCTTGTGATTTTGAAGAACAGAAAATATATTTAGTCACTGTACCTGTAATGGAAGAAATGGTTTCTAAAGAAACATTTGTGCAACAAGTACATGTACCTCAGCATACAAATGAAACATATCTAGTTATAATCAAAATGTTGGTATGGGCTAGTTATTAGCCAAATATGATTGTTACTACAATTTGTTTGCCCTTCTCAACATTATTATGATAATGAAAATAACAAAATAGAGTACTCTGAGAAATCAATGCCAATCATTTGGTAAAAATATATTCCCAAGCTGATTTCACCTTGACAATAAAATGCTATTAGCTACAGTAAAACTCATCATTTGTTTCATAGATCACAAAAACCACACTGAAAATTCTCTTTCATATTAACTAATTTTGAGGGGTCAAAAGACATAGAACTATTTCTCCATTAAATGGAAAAAAAAATGGAAGTCAGTTTACTGTTCTAATTAAATAGACATGAAGTTAATATGAATACTACCTCTAGTGTGCCAATTTGTAATTCTTACAAAATGTTTCCATACCCAATACTTAAGTGCAGTAGACATAACCTTGGTGTGCATAGATAAAACAAATAGGAAATAATAATAATAATAATAATACTAATAATAATTAATAGGAAAACAAGACAACAGATACAAACATGCCCAGTACACAACATATACTGTGTACAGCTGCACAACATGGCCAACTGACAAACAAGCTTGTGTTTTACCAACTACTCCATAGTGGATTTGTTAAACTAGCGGTATTACTTTTGGTTACTACATGCAAAGAGATTATGTTTACTTTCTCAAGACCAAACCTTGATATACCTTCATGATAATGATTTAAATCTTAACATTATTCTGGCTAACATGTCAGCACTCAAGGCACAGAACATGTATATTTATATTTACTTAGTAACCTGATGCTCTTGGCTCACATCACCTATGATATAAATGCCTCACTATGTGCACAAGTATCATGTGTTTTTAGTTGTATACCAAACATTTTCTTGTTAAGACACATCGGTAGCCTCGTCAACCTCCATACTCAGTTGTGGTTTCTCTGAACCGAGCAAGGCATCATTATCAAATTCACCAATGTCTGCACGGTATACCAGGGGAATGTCAGTAATGGGATCCAGAAGAGAAAAGTCCAGGTCATCATAGTTACGATTTGTGAGTTCGACTGTCCAGAAAGGTTTTTTCACACTAAAACGCCTGCTTTTGAAGTGCCTATAGATCAGGAATATGATCATAAACAGGCAGACTGCACCAAAGGTGCAACAACCAGCAACAATGACTTTCTCTTTTGTTGAAAATCCTAGAACAAAACATGGCATTAATACCTGAATTACATGATATATGTTTCTGGGCAAGGGTCAATGCCTCACTAAAGAAATTTGAAAGAAACCATACACAACCATCCTAACATCCTTACAGCACAAATGCATTAAAGTTGAATTATTGTGCTCTTCACGAACCCAAGTTCACAAACAAAAGTCAAATGATCAAACACCATTCAGAGTTTCAATACAGGTTGAGCAATTTTAAAAAAATTTACCTATGATCATGCAGTATTCAACAGTTAAATGTTTAATAAACACATACATGAAAGTTTAAGCTGAGATTTAGAGCCGTCAAAACAACAATCACTCTTTAATTTTCTGATATGGGTTTACCCTATACCCCAAAGAGTGACTAGCATTCAATTTCTCCTTAAAATACCACCCTTTAATCACACATTATTTAAGGTCACAAGAAATAAGGAAATGATAACTTAAGAAACTCTTGAATGTTTCAGAAATTCTCCTTGTCATAACCTAAGGGAATGTGTAGGTGATAATGCCTGCTGATTTTGAAGTGTAAAGAGTCCAGTGATTACAAAAACTAATTTTACGCGCACTCATAGAATATTCCACATCTGTAAGGAACACGTACCTGATTTTTCCTTTTCTTCTACTTTGTCGTTTCCTGTTACACAATTGTCAACAGATGACTCTGAACCATGCCCTGTGTCCAGACATTTTCTACACTCCTTCTCTGAGCCACGCGGTGCACAAGTTACACACTGGCCAGCTTTGTGGTTACAATTTGTAACTTGGATGCTATCAAAACTACCATTACACATGCAGGTGTCACATGCTTGAAGTCCAGTCTTGTTGTCATTATTCATTCCAGAGTTTCTGCACATGTCACAAAGAGAACCATCTTGTAAATGTGCTGTACATCTGATGCAGGATATAGTCCCATTGCTTAGAACTCTGCATGCTGCTGTTGAAATGTTTCTTAGGCACCAAGTGCAGTGAAGGAGTATTTTGTCTGCTAAGTCAACTGGAGTTAGAGAGAAAAATTATGAATTATGCATAGTGACACACTCAGCTATGCCTTGTTGGCCTTTTTTCTTGTTCTTACTGCATTTTGATGTTTACTATATGATATATTACTTAACAGATGTACAGCACAAGGAATCTATTGGTTAAGTACTTTTACTTCTGAAGATTTAATCATTATGTGACTAACATAAGGCTACTCAGAGATTAAAACCTAAATATAAGTAGCAGTCAAGTGGGTTTGTGGTTTACCCATATTTCCTGCACTCATGTTGCAATTTTGATAATTTTGCTCTTTTCCAATATACCTTCTGCTGCCTAATATCAAGAGAAAGTTTAGTTTATACAAAGACTTAGGAAATGATGGTGAATAATTGAATAAAAAAAAAAAACCCACTGGAATTTGAACAACTGAATAGAAAAATGGATAGCAGTGTGTGGTTGTCTACATGGTTCTAACAACAATCGAAGAGTGAATGTTCTCTTTGGAATGGTTATTGACAAAACTAATTAGTGATTTTGCTAATAAAATAAATTCAGCTTAACTGATGTGAGAAAAAGCCTCACAAAAAATTGTGTTCTACAGTAACAGAAGACAATATATTTTACAGATATACAGTGTGTATATTGCAGTACTGTAATGTAAAGACTTGGCACATTTAAGGATGAATCAGCCTGTACATTTATCATCTCTAGGATTTCAAAAACATAACATAGACAATATGGGCCCAGAACTATAAGAAAAACATGAAAAATAATGCAACAAGGTTCTAACAAATTGCGTACTCATCCCCTAGAGATCACCACATATTTCACCGGGAATTAGTCACTAATCTGATAATAGAACTGGACGAAAAAAATAAGTATTGATACTGGCGTATTACCAACAGAAAGTCCTTTAAAACTTGGAGTCGGATAATCCAATGATAAATCAAAACAATATGATAATTAAGCTTACAGCTATATGTTTGTTGAAGTGTTCAAACTATTTAATCAGACGTCTTTACTACATCGAATATAAGTTTTTCGTACGAAGGCAATGGAAACTTTTAATTCGCCACCAGAATTGCAAGATAACATTGACTGGATGCATGAAAGAAAGCACGGTTATTAACGTAGGTTTAGCAAATGCAAATATTGAACACGCACGTGAAATCTGGTGAAGTAATATTACTGAAAACAGCTACAAACTGCTTAAAACTTACTGAAAAGATCTTGGCACCCACAGTGAACTTTAAACGATTCACCATGTAGATAGAACGAAGTGGAAAAAAAAACAACTCGGCTTACCTTTCGGGGCTCCTTCGTGGGCTTTTATCAACATTGAAAGAATTGTAAGAACTAGTAATCGGACATCCACTTCCATTGCTACAACACCGTGCAACGAACGAATAAATTTCGTGATGGTAGCCTCGCGGACAAGTTGAAGATTCTAAGAAGTGATAGCTGTGATATTTTTGGCCACTTTTACCATAGCATGAAAATATGCTACCAACGGAAGAGAATCACTGCATTCTTACGACAGGATTTGGCACTTAGCGGAAAAAGCTTACAGGCCTTATCAGTCGCGGTGGTTTTCCCAGGTCTTGAAAAGAATTTTTTTTAAGGAAGCTTTGGGGCCGCTCTCGCTCTGCCAACGCTGAGAAACTGGTACGGGCCAGTTTTGATGACGTCATGGAAACTTCATTTGGTCTCAAATTCTTGTTCGACTTATTAAAAGTTATATCAAGAAGGTTTCGCGCCAAGTCCTTGCTTGATTCTGCGAATTAAGCGGGCGACGAAAGCTTGAGGAAACGGAGAATCATGACCGTTCTATTTCTGGGCCAACAATAAAAGCTACAAAAATGAAAAATGGTAATTCTTTCCCCTCTTAATCAACCTTGCATTTTCATTTTTTTTCTAAAGTAATTCCGGTTACACCCTCAATGCAATTGGGTGTACTACTTCTGTCTAGTCACGGTGGTCCTGGATGGAGATTTCCCTAAGGATTTACGAGTGGTCACGTTTTGCTGAAACCGACTTCTTTAAGACTTCAGGAGAAAATGACGTGGGAGAAGACATTTGATTTGAAGTGAGACATTTTTGTCATCAAGTTACATTCACAGGAACAGTTGAAGATGCGCTGAAGTGCGGTTGTTAGATAAAATTTTCTGAGTTCCGGTCGCCCGCAACTATTTCTTGTATTAAAGGTTTCAACTGAATCAATGGTGTTGTACAAGAAATTAAATCACGTCACAAAAATAACGCAGGTGGTGGGAAGTGGACAACTTTTTCGCGAAGAGTAAAGAAAGCTACACTCAGTTCTGGAAGAGACACGTCAGATTTATTTCATAATTGCACAATTCGTCACCAAATTGTATGTTTTTCCAATTGACACTGAATACGCATCCATTCGATCTTGAAACAGAAAAATAAATGAAATTACTGCTCTTTCAATTATAAGGACAAGAAAATGTTCAAGAATCAAACCTTGTATTTTCGTCTAATTAGTTTATTTCATTACTAGACTTCATCTATCAGTTTTTCCAACAGATTCAGGTCTAGATTTTGGGAAAATCAGATTTGTCTGCAATCCCTATCCACGCTGACTGCGCCAGGATGGATAAAGAGCAGACAAAGTTGAATTGCTTAATATGGTTTCACGAGTAAAAAGTCATATACTAAAATCTCACAAGAGTCCTCTTAACACATTGGGAAAACAAAATGCACCGTGATCACGTCCTTCTTTCTGTGTCTTAGTTATGGAATCTTATCAATACCTACTATTAGACGATGTTCAAGCTGGTGCTTAAATTAATCCTTGGCACCCTAATATCAGTACACAAGTTCTCCTCACTGTTCTCCATGCGTTTCTCATGGTACTTGGAAGGAGAATTTGTCGAACAATCAAGAGCTCTTGAGTTCACGATCACAGATGAAAGTTTTCTTTATCCTCATAACCTTATTGTTTGATTCAGGGGTGATACTTTAGGGATAAATTTGATGATGTAGGTTCTCTACTGCAACACGCGAGGCGTTGGGTATAAACGTCGCAATACGCGAATAAGAAAAAATTTAGCCATTCACTAAAACGAGAACTAACACAAAAACATCCTACTTGAAACAAACTTCACAGAATGCTTATTAAGGGATTAGAATAAGCATTTGGTCGGTTCAGTCTCCCTATTACATAATTTGTTGCAGCCTAACACAAATAATTATTCATCTTTAGAAAACAAACTTACAAAATGTCATTTGCGTTCATACGTAAAAAATTAGGAATACGAGATTATTCATTGCAAAGCGCTGTCTCACCACCTCGATGCAAGTTTATATTCAGCTTTCCGTAATTAGGGATCTTGCTCAACCATATTGTGATTGCACTAAGTTTCAGCAATTTCAATTTGGTATAAAATACATCAACAGACAGTGGACATAGCTGAATCATTTCAGCAACATATTCAGCAGTACACCAACTGCATATCCAGCTTTGTTCAAGCCCATTTTTGTTTTTCATCGCGGTCAGATACACTCTTGGTTTAATTAGATCATCACCGTGAGACTTGATGGCAAAGGAGGCAAGGTAAACACCAAAACGAAGGGAACCCTTTTGTATCATAGTTCCTCATATGTCACGCCACCTTGCACACCATCCTCGCTTTTCCCTTTACCGTGCTTGCTACGATGTTTCTTTTTCTTTTCGCCTTCGTCGTCTCGACTTCTCCTCCTGTCCTTTCCTTCGTCGGTTTCTCGATGTCGCGATTTTCGCCTCTCTTTATCTTTCTCCTTCTTTTCACTATCTTCTCCGTCTTCCCCTTTATCTTTATGCTTTCGTTTATGTTTACTTTTAGATTTCTCGCCACTCTGAAGAAAGAAAACAAATACAAAGCTGAGACTCTACTTAATAAATAGATTTCGAGTTGCCGTGCTTCTGTTTAGCAATAGATCAGAGCGGTACACGAGGCGCAGCCGAGTGTGTCACTGATGTTCTTCACACATTTTGACATCCTCCGTGATCTATCACTGTACAGACCCACGGCAACACGGAACCTCTTTGTTTTATATAATAGTTAGGAAAGGGACTGCTCGTAGCTCAGATATACTGAAGACACTTACCACTATGTTTTCATTTCATAACGTGCGAGCAGATCGAGCCGAAAGCCGTGCACCAAATGTTAAATTCATTTTGCAGTTCTTTTATTTACATATATATATAAGTCATTTCAGTCACCATCATATATATTTCCAAGGAGTCAGTTCAGAGCTACCGAATACGGGAAGTCATAAACAGAGAAAGAGAGTCCTTAGTAGCCAGTGAGCTGGACCCTACAGGCGCTGAAGCACGAGCGGCGAACCCCGCGTTAGGTCAGAGAGGTGTCTGTTACAAAAAGAGAGATTAACCCAAAGCGATCGAGCAACAAAAAAGACACGCGTAGCGCCTCACGCGTTTAAATTGATATGTTTCCTTATTCTCGTCACTTATCTGGTTAATATCGTATTGATATTGTAAGGAGAAATTCTGTCTTCGTCACTCATGGGAGTTAAAGGGTTATAGGGTTAAGAAGCAAAAATGCCAGAAGTAGAGTATATGAGCAGATCCTTGAACAAAAGTACATACCTTGTGCTCTTTCTTTTTACGGCTTCTACTTTCTTCATCTAAACGCGGATAGGAAGGAGAGAAATGACAATTAGCTTACAGCAGAATCCTAAATATTAAACGTCGTCGATATTCCTCAACTTCTCTCAACAGTTTTGCTTTAAATTACATGAACACAACGACTTCCGCTTCAGACCAGTTTCTTACTTCTCATTAAGACCACATACAATTCGATGCAAAGAATGCAGGGAGAAAATCAGTGCCGATCATTACACAACAGTTGTTCTAAGGTTTCTTCACTTACTTGTATCTCCATTGTCTTCTCCATCGAGGTCCATGTCTATTAAAGAGTTAGATGCTACAACGAAAGAAAAAAACAGAACAACTCAAAAGTTTATTAGTAGTCTGAGGAAGAGGCGACCTGACTGTTCTCACAGCGCTTCTTCACCCAAGAGAATAAATGGGTTCTGGCGAATTGTCAGGAAAGCCTGATGAAATGCCGGGGCGTAACTTTGCGATGAACTGGCATCCTATCCAAGAGATACTCCTTGTTGCCTCATGCTAAGGAAACTGGGATAAGCTTTAGCTGGATGGGCCACTTGGCATGAGTGCAGAAGTTCCCTGTCTTGCTACCTGGGGAAAATCCTTTTTTTACGAGGTTAACTCAAGCTACAGTGGAATGCAGTACAGGGCAGGAAAATAAAAAAAAAACGTAGCTGCTTACCAGTGTTTGCTACTCTGGTTTGTTGCTTCATTTGTGAAGCCATGAACTGTTCCCAATCATCTGCCGGTATGACAGGAATGTCGCTTTTTCTAACAAAACATAATTGAACACAAATCATTTTCGGTTCTTCTTGTTGTATCCACAATTAGAAAATAAGATTCAAATCGTAACACAAATTCTCTAGTTAACCACATTTATCAGTAATCAAACGTATAGCGAGCAATGCAGGCGTCTTATAAGGACGTATTTGCGTTAAAATCTCGCGATTTTCTATCCAGCCGGCCATATTTGATTTAGAATAAGAGTGGACGGTTGCCCTCCTCTGCCTTAGTTCAAATTCCTTTCTCTCCTCAGCCTTCCGCGACTATAAAAGTCAAAGATGGTAGCTATGGTAGCTATGATTTTTACCAAGAAAATACTAAACACTCGCTAGCCAAAATCAGACTGCAGGCTATAAAACGCTGGGAATTTAATTCACTGACCTTGTATTGTAGTCTTTGTCAACACGGAACGGAGTCTTTGGTGCAGAAAGAAAAATACATGACAAGAAAAAAAACATAAGATTTTCAATCATACAAATATCGAGGCTGCAAGAAAATAAAGAACCTTTTTGAGCCTATAAATTCTCACGATAGGGTGAGTAAAATCCCCCTCAGTTGTCGCTACGTCACAAGAAATTCGAGACTTAAGTTTTGAGTACAAATAGTGAGCAAGCGAGCGCGAGTCATTGTATTAGAGAGAAATAAGAAGCAGCCGCAGGGGGGCGTAACTTGAATTTTTAAGACAGAAGCGGAGAGGCGATCACACGTATGGGCCAGTGTAATATTGCCAAGAACAATGCAGTGACCGTGTCTTCAAGTTTGTGGAAGTATAAATGAGAGGACGACAAGAAGAAATTAAATAAATAAAACAACAAGGCTGAAGTAAGAAGCAACTCTCTTATTTCCCTCTTAACTATAAGGACTAAACAACGAGTCATTTTTTTTTTCTGTCGGTCGGGAATCTTAGCTCTAAGGTTTCCGGAGTCACAAGGTTATAACATAAGCCTACAATTTGTAATCAACAATACCTTGGGATCTGTATCAGGCGAGTTCAGCCAATCATCGACGTCGTCTGTTGCAAGACCAAGACCATCTACAACAGGTTCTTCTGTCATCAGAGACTTGGCTGGTATTTCAAAGCCTAACTTCATGGATCCACTTTCCCTTTTTTGCGTTTCTTCAGTCTTCAGTTCCTCCTTCCCTTTCTTCATTCCATCATTTCTATTTTCCACCCCAACTTTGTCCTCTTCGTCTTCTTTGTCTTCCTCGCTTGAAGTTAACTCAACAGTCAAGGCTGTGTTGGATTTCTTTGGTGTTGTAAAAGGATCATCATCGAGTTCTTCATCAACGTGATTGTTGACAACAGGTGTGATATCTTCATCGTCGGAATCTATGTCCTCAGCAAATCCTGCCACCATTGGGTTACGTCCTTCACTGTCACTAAAGAGAAATGAACAAACGAAATCTTAATTAGAAAGGAAAAAGGATGAAAGATAAAAATTTGTGGAATACCAACACTATTTCATTGTATACTCTTGAGAACTTTTTCTTCAACAATTTTCCTTGGCAGTCTGACAAATATGACATGCTTTTTCTGAACGACTTTTTTTTATTTCAGACCATGAGAAGAAAAAATCTTCAGAAGAAATGAAGAAGAAAGAGAAAAAGGAAAAAATAAAAACAAAAAATGAAATAAAGGAAAAAAAAGAAAAAAAAAACAAGTGGTAATAGCAGCATTAGTTAAACTTGTAATTTGATTCTTAAACTAGACTTCTTTAGCAGTGAAACTAACATGACATGCCATTCTGTTCTGTTGCGTTTTATTGTATATTTTATCCAGGAGACTCCTCAAGAAGAAAGTTACGAGTACATCGAAGATACAATTTGAATCAGTAATGAAAGACTTGGCAAATACACTTAAAATTAAAGTTACACATGCTTTCGGAAAATTCAGCTCCAGTACATTTGCCTCAACAAGAGTTATTAATAGGAGCTTAAGCAGTCAGGACGGCAACGCCAAGGAATACTTAGATTAAAAAATGAATTTCTGCCTTTAATTAGAATTTAAAAAATGGCTGCATGTGTTTACCTTCTCATACGGCGTCACACCTCACCTTCAGCATAACGTATAAAAGAACCGTAGAGTTCCAAATAGAAATTAACATAATTTGCCGTCGCGGTTTCGGTTCGCAAACGACGCAGATTGTGGTGATTTCACGTTGTTGTTTTGCATAGGATGGCTAAGAAATGTACAAAATTTTAAATCGCACGTGCTGAGCTCTTGTTCTGCCAATTAGATCTTTTGTTTTTCCATGTCCTCGCTGCCGTCGCAGTCGCCGTCGCCGTCGCGGTTTGCTTAAGGTCCCTAATAAGTTTTTACCGCGACGGAGGAGCGAACTATCATTTCCTCTTGATTCATTGAAACCTGAAATCCAACCTCACCTTTCACTATCGTAACTCTCGTTCTGTTCCACTTCCACAGGTTTCGGCGGCGGTTTCTTAGCTGCAGATTTATTTGTGCGCTTTTTACCTCTTGACCCTCCGTCTTCATCTAAAAACCCTGCGTCTAATTCATCCTCGGGTATAAACTCGTCGATGTTGGTGGAGGAATGTGTCAAGCCATTCTGAGGCAGAGCTGCTGAAGTTATATCGAAAAATTTAGGCTAGGAATGGAATAATAGAAGGGAAAGACTACTTGGAGTTGACTGACGACGTAAATATAATCGCTTACCTTCATTATCAGGTTCCTGACTCGTTGCTGACGGCATTTTCTGCGACGCCTTCTCGTTAAGAGAACTTCCGTTAGAGGAGGTACCGCCACTCGGAGTTTTCCCTGCAAGAACATTACAAAGGAGGAAAAAAATAAATTACTTATCAAGAACACTTCGATTGAGGGTCGCAAACCCAAAACCAAACCAAACCAATCACAGTAATACATCGTAATTTAGGAAGATAATGAGTAAAAGAGGATAAATAAGAACTTAAGTAAGCTTCCAAAAGCGCGGGTGACCAATGATCTGATTGGTTGGAAGGGTGGAAAGAGTTTTTTTGACCAATCACAACGCGAGTTTTGGGTTTTGGGCACAGCTAAAGCACTTCTGAATTATTCCCTAAAATAAATTGAAAATTGTTCTAATATTTCAACGTGAAACCTGTTCTGTTATCTTCTGAAGGAGAACCTGGTGACACGGTCTTTTCACCATCTGCTTCTGCAGCAGCAGCCGCGGCGGCAGCCTTCTTGGCTTCGTGTTCTTTTCTCCTTCGGTCCATCAAACTCACAAACCTTTGAATAAAATCAAATTTGTGTTTGAGATAGAGTGTGTTGCGTGAGCGACCGATAAGGAGCGTGTTGTGTTTGAGATAGAGAGCGTTACGTGAGTGGTGCTAGAGAATGCGTGTTGTGTTCGAGATAGGGTGTGTTGCGTGAGTGATCGAGAGAGAGCGTGTTGTGTTCGAGATACAGAGTGTGTTGGGCGAGGGAGCTAAAGAGCACGTATTGTTGAGTCGTCAGCAAGGGAATCAGCTGTCACATCATAAAATTGTGAGTAAAAACTCTTTTTGCAAGACATGTAATTCTTTGGTATGGAACAGCGTTGAGATGTCTTCAATTACAAGCTAACAAGAAGCAAATTCCTTATAAGCAACTCACTTTTCGTAGTTCTGCTCCTCGGATTCCTTGTGAATCTGCAGTTCTTCAAGAGTTGACTGCAACAAAAGTACCATTATTGAGCGTTTCATGCAATTGTTATAACTGCCTAAAGCGCGGGAAAATCCGAGCGACAAGTCGTGATTGGTTTTCGTTTTGTGTCTGATTGGGTGAGAGGATGGCGGGAGTATTCTGGACCAATTACAGAGCGATTGAAAGTTGCTCACTACGGAACAAAATCAGAATTGTGTAAAGTCTTTTCAATGTCTCTTATCGTAATACATTACTACACCATAGGAAGATCGAACAACTTATCTTAATTCGCACAAATCTTAGTTCTTTCTCAACATACATGAAACTGAATGAGCTACTACTGACAACGAAAAATAAAATAAAAACAAAAAAAAGGAAAACTAGCATATTAAAACAAAACGTTAACATTGAGGTACCTCGGTGTCTTCTGCATTGACTTGCAACTGTTTCATAAGAGTTTCTCTCTGTTCAAACACATAGAAGATATTATTGTGCATTAGGGCATTCATGTGGTCGTATCAGACAAAAGGTTACATTTCAAGGTAGAACTTAGCCTGTCCCAGACTTTCAGTTAGTAAAACGAAGCGCGAAAGTAAACAGCGCTGTAATAGCGGAGGAGTGAGAAAATGAGAGGTATGGGTCAGGTCGTCCCAAACCTCTCTCGTCCTCGATCTGCCGCTACCATCGCGCCGTTTACGCTTACTAACCGAACGCCTGGATCAGGCCAGGTAAAATTTTCCACAGGATACATACCTGTAACAATAAGAAAGGTAGATTAAGAAACTTGTGAATGTATTTCAGTCCAAAGCCGTTCTTCATGGAGGTCTCAGCATAATGCACAGGAGGGCACCTGTCAGGTCTGATTCAAAATTCGACTCTCGTCATAAAAGAGTAAAATAACATATAGATGCAACAAGGCTGCAAATCAAATGCGTCCGATACTGATTCTTGCGAGAATCAAGTCTCAACCACACTCAACTCTTAACTTCAGACAAGCCTTTAACCAAATCTTTCTTTTATACACATGTATGTTGACATAAGTATGTTTTTTTTTACCAGAATGTTGAACATAGCACGTGGTAAGGTGCCGATCAGAAGAGAAATTAATTCCACAATTACATTTTAATAATTCAGTCATCTTTGTTTCCATACGGAGAATCGCCGGACAGCTGCACTGTAACAGTATCTACAGCTTAATTAATGAAGTAGAGAAGAGTTTACGAGGTCTGGCTAGAGAGAAGGACTAATTTTTAATAAGTCCAGAGGAAAACTTCTTTAGCTACATGTTAGTTTAAACATACAATACTGGAACATATGCATTACTGAGTAGATCTCACTTACCTCTCCATATGTTCAATGAATGCAATGACCTCTTCCGAAGGGATTAATCGATGTTCTTCCATGTCACGGTGGTTAGCCTGACAAATGCATTTAATTTAAAAATTACAATTATTTTACAACAAGAATTGTTGTTGTGTTTTCTACAAAAATTCACACTGAGAATTTCTCTAAGCTTATTTACAGCAATCTTTTTTTCAATGGCAATCACCACTTGATTGTTTGTGTTACTTGCTTGTCTTGATGACTAAAATATAAATTTTCACCACCAAAAGTTCGTAAACTTTCTTCAATTAAAAAATGTCTTGAATTTCTGTGACCATCAATTTAGTGGTAAGCACAACAGTTGCAAAGATCAAAGTTGACATACCTTTGTCACAACTACTGTCACATCATCACATTTGCAGTGTTTCATACAAATTTTCCACACATCACTTAATTTATATTAAGACTTTGATGATTACCCAAAAAAAATGGCAAATCAAAATAATTCCACATAAAGAAATCTCACAAACACAGTCGTGATCTGAGGCTTACCAGAACAAGGACAGGGATATGAGCTGGTACTTTTGGAAGTTCTCTCTCCAAATATTTAAAAGTCCTAAAGTTACATAAAAACATGGATCAGTGGCATTATTAACTGTCAACTTAGCCTTTGTTTACCAGAACCTGGTAAAAGCTTTCAGCCTTTGACCCCTACAACTGACCAGCATCTAATTTCTCCTTACAATATCAACCCTGAATCACAATTTAAGGTCTTAAGAAAAAAGGAAATGATCACCAACTAAACAAGTTCTTGATTGTTAAACAAATTCTCATTGTCAGCACCACAGGAAATGTGCAGAGAACAGTAAGGAGAATATGCATACTGATGTTAGGGTGGAAAGGGTTAAATGACACTAAGAGACACGTTAACTGCATTAAACATGACTGGAATTGTGTTATGCAACAATTGCCTGTGAAGAAATATAATTTATATGGTTATCAGAAAATTTATTTAAAATGGTGAAAAAATAATGTAATCTCATGAAACTAAGGGTCAATTTTACTGGAAAAGTATGAAAACCAATTTGGATCAAAAGGTGTGGTCCATAACCTAATTTTTTTCTTATCAAAAAACATCAAACATCAATCAATAAATGTGGAAAATAAAACAAACAAAACAAACCAACCCAGCCTAGGAAGACTAACCATGGTTTGGTGATGTCCATCACCATCAGAACACCATGAGCTCCTTTGTACACATCAACAAACTCTGCATCTAAAACTGTGCCATCTTTTTCAGCCTGACAATTCAAGACCATTGCATCAATTAAAGGATAAATTTATACAAAAATCATATATAACAGGGCTAAGAACCCACTTTCATCAGCCACTCAAATGCCAGAGTTTTGTACAGCACAGAAAGTTTAAATACAAAATACAGCATTACACAATAACATTAACATTAGACAGGCACAGAGATGAATTTCAAGGGCTTAGTTTATGGAATACGATGCCTCATGCTACTCACTGGCAATTATTATGTTGTGAAATATAGGTTAGAGCAGATGACCTGTCAACTCTCAAGATCAAAATATCAATTCTCTGCATTGTCTGCCATGCTTTTCTTGTAGCTACATGTAAAGATACATGTATGGGATAGTCCTTTTTGATAATTCCTGAGCATCAAAGGGTCAAACAAAGCAAACAGAGTTTAAACAGTTGCATTCCAATAACTTGAACCCTTGACAACTCAAACCTCACACTAACTTGAACCAAAATCAGTTTCCCTAGATTTTAGTCATACATTATTGCAATGTTACCCTCAGCTCTGTGACTCAACCCTCCCACTAATAAAATCAAAGAAACTTTTGTTTCCCTTCATGTCATATTCTCTCTATATTTTTACCCTCAATAACTCAAAACACTTCAAACCACCTCTGTCAATACAAGACAAATAAAAAAACCAGTATTGCAGTCTGAAACATTTACATCACAGTGTGATTTCTTCAGCACTTGTACTTTAACTCCCAGAAGTGATTAAGATGTAACTTCTCCATATGGTATCCATACATTATCCAGCAAACAGGTAGTGAGATTACTCAAACTTATCAGGTACCAGATATTATCTTGATTGAACACCAAATTCTCAAAACCAATTTACAAGGAAATGTGTAGCAGCTAGAGGAGATAATTAACAATCAGATCTTGGGAGTTCAAGGGTTAAGAATTTCATTTTAAGTTGATTTCCCTTATTAAATTTGATTAAAATGTATACTGTATGCGTAGAAAAAAAAGTAAACACCATTTTTCCCTTGTTTCTGGTCATTTGTTTTCAACTTCTAATAACTCAACCCTTATTAGTTTCCCTTGAAGGTTAGAGTTATTGGGATTGGACTGCAGTATATATTTAGTAATTAGATGTGATTACTATTATTAATAAAGTTCTGGTCAAACAAATAATTGGTGTGAGTTACAGTCTTAAAAACATGTTAGTCAATGATAAATAAAGGGTTAAAGGAAACTGGAGTGAGCTACAATGGTAAAATGTGCTCACACAGAAGAATTGATTCAAAGGAAGGACATGAAGTAGATAAAAGAGCACTTGTGAAGCTAGCTTGCCAACCAAAACAAGGGAAGTGAAACCATGATGCAGAAAAATGAAATGACAACTAAAGAGAGACCCACTCCTGAGAGTCTAAGTTTGCAAAAGTGGACTTTGGTCAGGTGACAACACTGTAAAGATGTAATCTTTACATGGATATAGAGCGGATGAAAGCTTATCAAAGATTTCTAAAAGAAGTCAAATCCATAGTTAGACCTCAAAAGTTTCTCCATCAATTGCTAAAAGAAAACTACCACCAGTGGAGAGCTAGAATCAGGAGAGTAAGAGAAGAAATCAACTTTAGCAGAATGCTCTATCTAATAAATTGCACTGACAGTAAAAGCACAAATTTTTATCTCTGCATACACTGTAGCTGATAATTACTGATTAAATCAACACCCTTCTCAAAATAGTTAAAGTAAAATTAAAAGTCCTTTTCATTTATCAATTGCCCAAAACAAAAAGCCACCTTCCCTTGCAAATATTTACCAACCCCACCCCTCCCCCACCAACCTGAATGCCACAATATTTCCCTGAGCAACACCTCAAAATATATATTTATTAGTTGACTTTTTTCAACAATATTTTCAATAGAAACAAGATTATAAGGACTAAAAAAAAGACACTTAAAGTAACAACCAGCTAAATGTGTATGTCAATAGCCTGATTTCCTTCTAACAACATCCACTGATCTTCCTTTGATATATAATTTTTTTTTCCCAAACAGAGAATGCAAACATGAACCAAAACTTAGAGAAATTAAGGCAACATTCTGGGGGAGAATACAACTTACAGAAAGAAACATACCACTATCCCTATTTGTGAAAAAAAAGATTTGTTTTGAATTCACATACCATTCAACTTATTTTAAACATCTTAAAATATTGCATGATCAAATTAAAGAAAAGCTTTGATTCAAAAAATTACTTGTTAATTAATATCAATGGCTTAAAAAAAGTGATAGGGAATATGTTTTTATCACCTTATCCTTTGTATCATTCTCTAGCTTGAGACTGCTGGAGTGAGATGTTTTTCTCTTCCCTTCAAAATCAAAGCAAAGGTAAAATGTCAAAAACATTGACCAAAAGCTATTGATCACTTGCAATGTAACCTTTCTTCCATTCAGCTGTACAAGGGGGCATGTGAATCTTCTGATATATGTTAATTTTAAACAATTATGTTTCTGATGAACAACCAATCATCTCAGTGAGGTAATAGGTTGATTAAAAAAATTTAACTGATTTGTTGATTGTATAGGTTCTGTTAGGTCTCACATAGAATCATTGGTTGATTGATAAAGAACATAACAACTGTTGGGATACCAAACTGCTTAAATCTCAGAGGGGATCAACATGTAAGTTCCCCCTGTGATTCCACTATGTTGTCATGCAAACAGGTTATGACAACCAACCAGATTATCAGCTTAATGGTACTGCCTTGATTAATTTACAAGGAAAGGTGTTGTTCATGTAGTCAGTATCAATGGGAAATTATTGACCATTTAACTCCCAGAAGTGATCAACATGTAACTTCTCCCTCTAATATCCTTACATTATCCAGCAAGCAGGTAATGAGAATATTCAAACTTATCAGGAAGAAGTTATCTTGATCTTACACCAAATTCTCATAACTAATTAACAAGGATATATACAGATTATAATTATTCTGCAATGATGCAGCCCACATAAGAGCTCTGTTTTACGAATTGCTAATGGTAAAGTTTACTCCAGTCAGGTAAACTTTACCCAGCAGGAGACCTAAGGAAACAAAGCGCTCTGATTGGTTCATTTGGGTAAAATTTACCCTCATCTGGTAAACGTTTTTAGTGCATATTGTTTTTGGTAAGAACACAATGTTTCTAATACGTGTTAAAAGCTAGAGGGGAGAATAAAAAATCAGATCTTGGGAGGTAAAGGGTTAACAGGATCTCAGAAATGAAAGTATCAAAGTTGTTCTTACCTTTGTCTACAACATCCCAGACTTCCACCTTCACAACATCATCAGTGGCTAGAGAAATTTGAAAAATAGCTTATCAGTTAATGCACACTTGTATAGTGGTCAGTTTTATATCAACCCTTTATCTCCCATGAGTGACCAAGACAGAATTTCTCTTTACAACATCAGCACAATATTAACAAGATAAGTGATGAGAATAAAGAAAAAGGTCAATTTGGGGATAATTATTTGATCCAATACTTAATTCTCTCAACTAAAATTATAAGAATTTTATGGTTGACAGTAAAGAGAATAACAAATTTGATCTGGGAGTTGAAGGGTTAAACAGACATGAAAGTTTCTGACAAGAAATGGTGTGCAGATTCAAAGTGCTTTTGATTAGGAAACTAAGATTATACATGTAACTTAAGACCTTGTCAATAAAAAGAATGAGGAGAACACTGGTAATTCAATATACAGTCTCCACAAGTATTTTTATTAATAGTTCAACTTACTTCTGTAATTCCAGTGTATGCTTGCAACCTACAGGTTGAGACAAATTAAAATATATTGTTCATTTAATCTGTATATCTTCAAAAATCAAATAGCTGAACAATTGTGATTTATTACTATCACACTTGAACTCAAACATGTCTAATGCCAACTTTTTTATCAAGTTATCCACAAGGTCCTCAGTTATAGAACAAATATCCCTTGCATTTGTACAGGGTGCTACGCTTCTGAATAAAAGTAAATTGAGGAATGTCTATACTGGTTTGGCAAGCTCACACCATCATCTCTGCCTATCAGATAAAGAACCAAAACCATATTGCAGCTAAGTTATGTTCCCCTTATGCCATAATCACCTGCATAACTCTGATTGGTTTTTTTTGTGTTTTAATTATTATCATTATTTTTGGATTACGACACCCAATTAAAAGCACCACTAGACAAACCTGAATTTCATTTGTTGGAATATACTGTTCATTGAATGGTCTTCCTTGAAGTCTTTGAAACAAACAGGACTTTCCAGTGTTTCTGTCTCCTTTTATAACTATTTTCACTACAAAAAGAAAGAAAAATTTGGGAAGGTCACTACTGAAATAAATTTTTTAAAAACAAAGTTTGTATTAGTGTGTTCCTTTGCATGGTATAATTAATCAGAATCAAGACAATTTCACATGTAGTTTGATTTTCTTTTTTTTTTTTTCCACATATACAAATAATAACTACTAACATCAATCAGAAGTTTTGTTCCTATTATAGCTGAGCATGGATAAACTTTAACCCTTTAACCCCTGAGAGTGATTAGTTTCTAATTTCTCCTCACAATATCCCCCCTGAATCAAACAATGAGGCCACAAGAATAACAGAAATGATTACTGACTGAAGAAGCTCTTGATTGTTTAAAAAATTCTCTTTGTTAGCACCTTAGAAAAAGTGTAGAGAACAGTATGGAAAATATGCCTACTGATTTTGGGGTGTTAAAAGTTATAAACATCAATAATTTTGAAATTGGATCCTGGTGACCATTTTAACAACAATAATACAATAATCTTTCATGTTAATAATATAATGATAATGATGATGATAAACTCCATTATATAAATTTGCAAAATGTGTCGTATATATGCGACCCTCCACGGGAAAACGGGCACTAACACTTTTCCGTTTAAGCTGCAAAACCGTTTACTAACTGTTTATATCCATTTAAACGGTTCATGAAAGCGTTTAAACGGTTTGCTTATCCGTTTAAAAAAATTTGCATCCGTTTAACGCTTTAGCTAAAACGTTTAAGTGGTTTGCTCATCCGTTGAAAAAAATTTGCATCCGTTTAACGCTTTTGCCAAAACATTTAAGCGGTTTGTTCATCCGTTTAAAAAAATTTGCATCCATTTAAAAAAATTTGCATCAGTTCAACGCTCTAGCAAAAACATTTAAACGGCTTGCTTACCCGTTTTAAAAAAAAAAAAGCTATCCGTTTAAAGTTCCACAGAAAGCTTCGGACTGTTTGCCTATCATTCTGTTATAGGCAGTTCGAAGTATCAATCTTAAGTTCGCTCAATACTTGCCGGTTCTTGAAATACAGAAAGATCGTATCTTATTTTGGTTTTATCTTTTGCGTGATCATAGTAAGCGAGTTTCTGTCGCATCCTTTGACAAACAAGTTAAGTTGAAATATCTGGGTTGGTATATTTTGCAGACCCCCAGTCGATGGACTGCTAAATCGGCTACTCTCTTTCTGTTTATATCATCTTGATTCATCTTTCTTGGTTTTATTGACAATCATTTTAACGGCCCCGCTTGGTGCACGACACCGATTCAACCTTTTATTTGCAATGGAACTTCATTGCGTTATTTGACCTTGAGACGTCTCGGCTTCAGATAAGGTGGCGGCATTGCATATGCAACTTTGTTTTGCGAAACTTCCGAACAGGAAAAAATGAAGTTCATTTTCAATAATAATAAGAATAAACAAAGGAGAAGATTATGAGTTTCTCATAAACTATTCTCTGTAAATTGCACTTATTTCATGAATGTCACACGAAAGTGGCAGTAATTAACCTAGAAATAAAATGCGCAAGTATATGCTAGTTATTACTTTTCAAATTATCATGCTCAATATTTTCGCTTTAAAGGATAATTATCCGCTGTCACTCTGAAAGTTTTTCCGCAGAAGATCTCGCCGGCTCAACCACAGCCGTTAAACATTAATTTTTAGCTCATTGTTTGTCGGTTTAAGCTATCCGTTTTTGGACTTTGGTCAACTGTTTAACGTTTCGGGCTGACCATTTTTATTTTTGGTCAACCGTTTAACAGTGTGAGCCATCCGTTTTTGAACTTTGGTCAACCGTTTAACATTTCGTGCTATCCGTTTTTATTTTTGGTCAACCGTTTGAAGGCCTAAGCTATCCGTTTTTGGACTTTGGTCAACCGTTTAAATTTTTTGCCATCCGTTTAAGTGGTTATGGCATCCGTTTAAACACTCGAGTTAGCCGTTTACTATCCGATTACAACCGTTTTTCGAGACCGTTTAACGGAAAAGCGTTAGTGTCCATTTTCCCATGGAGGGTCACATATATTTATATATATCTATATATATACATTATTCCATCTGAAAAACACATGAATGATTTTTATTCACAAGTTGCTATATATAAAAAAACAAACAAGTGAATACAGTAAACAAATGAGTTTTTTTATGCATTGCAACCAGTGATTAAAAATCATTCAAGTACTTTCCATGGTATGATGTTTTTTAATTTCATACATACTATGATTTTTTCACACTGAACGATACATTTCAAAGATTGGAAGCCGTTTGCTGCCCTGAACTGTGAAGCACTATCGTTCGTATCTCTGATTGGATGAACGATACATTTTGACAGTCGTTCGTTCAGTATGTATGAAATAAATATTCTTTTATTTACTGCTCTTAAATTAAATTTCATAACTGTAGAGACAAATAAACAAAAAGTGACAGACTAAGGAGAAACTGAAAGGTATTCATATTGTCGAAAACTATTCAGAAAGATCACAACATTCAGTGTCTGAAACAAGATAATAATAATGTGATGATTTTTCCAGAAACTGTTGCAAAGTATGGTAGATCAGAAACAAAATCAGCGATACAAAAATAACATTATACAGTATAAGCAGTTAGTTGAATGAATTTCAGATCTATGAATTACCACAGGAAATAGGAAATAATCAAATTTTCGTGGCAATAATTATAGTAAGAGAAGATTTTTGTGTTCTAAATTTAGAAATTTTCACACAATAGGGGCAGACGAGAAAAAGGTCAACAAGATTACAGACACCATCTGGCCAAAGATCAAATAAACGATCAATAAAATACACAAAAAGAGGTAAGTGAGTGACTTTTTAATCTACATAACTTTTTAATCTACATAACTTACTATTATACTGAACGCCCCGGGCAAACTTTCGTTGTAACGCCTGGCCCATCGCACGCACTCCCAATGGAGTGTTGAGTTTGGAATCTTCATTGCCCCCTTTCGCCCACTTCTTTAGCGCGCTAAACATTTTCAGATGGCGATGGCGGAGAGACCCTGATATAGTACTATCGCTTCACCAACCACGATCACCCATGTTTTCTAAATGGAATACAATGAAACATAGCAAAAGCTCACTCGCGGTATTGCCATCAAATTCGTGGCCGAGATGATGGCTGGCTTGGTTACCCAGCCAAAACATTTGTGCATATCACTGAGGATTCTGGGTCATTCGATTTTGTCACGCACCCCTTCAGGTACATGTAAGAGGAGCCATTTCCCTCGAACCTTCGAAAACTAAGCTATGGATCATACTTTGAAAAATCCCATTGGTAAGTTCAGTTTCATATTTCATCGAAAAAAAAAAAAAAAAAAAAAAAAGAAACTTGAATTGCCTTGACTGGAAGTGTCTTGCGATCGATTTTCAGATTTACAGAGATGGCCTGTTAAGACAAACAAATTTTACTAATGGAGAAAATGATAGTGAGCTCGGAAATAATTCGCATCTTTTCATCAGCCAACTACTACTATGGTAAAACAGTAGCTTTATTAGGATTAAAATTGAAAATCATCCTGTGTTCAGGTGTGATGCAGTGATACTTACCCTGATCCTGAGAGAGTCAACCTTGTAGATGCGCGTGACGCGTGATGTCAGTTATTTATAGACGTCAATGGCATCTACTGCTTTATTCATTAGAGTTCTTTAGTTCATTGGCAGAGTGTTTGACGGTAATTTAAGAGTCTGGCCGGGTTTCAATCTATACCAAAAAAATCCCCCGATACGGTCGCTAAGCTCGTTTGTGATGTTACTTTACCTAGATTTACCTGTCTTCATATTCAAAGATTGAAAAAAACTCTTTTGTACGCATTTTAACTGTCACTGAAGTATCTGGCCTTGCGTGCGTTAGCCACACCAATCAAAGAGAGCGGCCTGAGCTCTCTACACGCGGCTTGTATTGAGGGGGACATCGAGACTGTGAAGACCATTATGGAATGCAGTCCAGACAAACTTTACAGTGCCATAGCTTTGAGGTCAAAATTGCTCCAAATGCGTTAAATTTTGGAGGCAAATCTATTTTAACGGCCTTGAGGTAGAAGAACTCTCCGCAGTTTAAACTGATCAGCGAACTTTTGGAAAATGTCACAAGGAACGTCCAAGTTCAATCCCTCCTTTCCTTGGCTGCTATGGAGGGCCATTCTGGACATCTTCGGTGGTTACTATATTTAGGCGATATGTCAATTCTCGGTTGCCTGAGAGCAGCTGGATTGAGGACAATCCAAGTCTTCTAATGCTTGCAGTCAGGTTTAACAAAGAAGAAATTATATATTTTCTAATCAAGAGTGGCGCCTTTCTTGAATTTCGTGATGGCGACGGCTTTACTCCTGTTCTTTGTGCTGTAATGGGTGGTAATGTGAGAAATACACAGCGCTTAATAGAGTTTGGAGCTGATGTTTCTAAGACAAGCTTTAAGAATGAAACGGCGATGCATCTGGCGGCAAAGAATGGACACACAGATGTAATAAAACTTCTGCTTGAGTATAATGTTAATGCAAACGCCTTCGATCGGGAGCTTCGAACTCCGCTTATGTTAGCAGCACGAGGGGGTAACTTAGAAGCCACTCGCTTACTTATTGATAATGGAGCAGATGTAGATGCTTGCGATGAGGACAGTTGTAACGCTCTAGATTATGCTGCTAAAGAAAACCACGCGAATGTAGTGCAGTTTCTTATCTCAAAAGGAGGCCCAAGGATGGATGTAATAACAAACAAAGCTCTGACTATGGCGTCTAGTCTCGAATTGATTAAGTTTCTTGTTGACGGCGGAGCCGACGTAGACTTAAGGCACTTAAGTGGTGATACACTGTGCATAATGCTGTCGCAAAGGGCCATTGTGGGACAATCGGTTACCTTTTAGATCACGGTGCAAACGTTTACGCAGAAATTGGGATGACTAAAGGTGATGCACCAATTTGGTCTGCTTTGACTTGTGGCCAAGCTGAGGCTGCAAGAATTTTATTTCAAAGAGGGTCCAATCCAGATTTACTTGTCCCCTCTTACCTGTTTATAGCTGCTGAATAAGGCTTTGTAGATGTTTTGACTCTCCTTCTCGACCTGGATTGGCCTGTAGATGCCCTGACGCACACCGCAGAGAAACAGCTCTGTTTTCAGCTCAGGGAAGGTGCCAGGGAAGGTAACTTTCAAGCTGTCAAAGTTCTTTTGGACCGAGGTGCTGACGTTGATGGTCATGTTTGTAGCGAGAACGATGATGATGACACTTACAACCACGAGAGGGAAGAAAACAACTATGATGACTATGGTAGCAACAGTGATTATGATTCTGACTCATATTGCACACCCGGCCATTCAATAACTCCCCTGTACTGCACCTTAAAGACAGGAAATGGAGAAATTGCTATGCTTCTGATAGACAGAGGAGCAGATACTACCACCCCGGAGGGTGTGTTAAGGTCACTTGTATCATACGCTGTCAAGCACAATCTTAAAGACATTGTTGACAAACTTGGCGGAATCGATCTCTCTGATGATGGAAATGTTATTCACGAGATCAAAGGAGACGATACCTTACTGAAATCAAAAGCTCTAATCGGGGACGTTGACTCTATGCGTGCTATTTTAAAAACGGGTGTGGAAGTTAATTTTAAGGACATGAATGGGGACACTGTCCTTGCTTGTGTTCTTGATAATAGATAATAATTGTTAAGGTTCTTCTTCAGTTTGGAGCTGATGTTAATACCAAGAATGACAGATGGGAGACACCTCTTCTCATAGCTGTTAGAATGAATTTAGAAAATGTTTCCGAACTTCTTCTTGAAGTTGGCTGTGACGCCAAGGCTAGAGACTTGGACTCCTGTTGTTCTCTCCGCTATGCTGCCCAAAATGACAACGGTAAACTTACAGAGATGTTGCTTAAGTTTGGTGCAGACGCTAGTTTGAAGACTGATCGAGACGAGGTGACGCCATTACACATAGCCGTGAGTTCAAATAGCTAACATGCAGCATTCACGTTGTTAAAACACGGTTGTGACTTGGAAGTCACAAATTCATTAGGTCGAACAGCCAATTCAATGCAAAATTAATGGCAATGGGTTATTGTGTATAAGTCACGTCGGGTTTTGTTCACCATCTCAGGGCTGCGAGAGTGGCACGAGATTTCGAGACAAATCACAGGTCGATGTGAAGCAAAACTATAAAGATCCAAAATTGCTCAACTAATTTTCCCTGTCTCCACAATGTTCTCACTATATTTCCTATGGAAAAATCATGGTGATTTTGTTTGACAATCAGGGGCTACTTGAACCGGTGATCATTTCCTTTATTCAGTCATGACCTTCACGTTTAACTTAGAGTGACACTGAGGAGAAATAAAAAGGAGGTCAATCTTACGGGTAAAGGGTTAAACTACAAATGGTCTCGTTCCTTCCGGATAAAGCCATAGAATAGAGGAGGTGAATTGCTTCTGTAAAAGTTATTTTTATTACGGAATAAAGGCGGACTTCAAAGTCGAGTACAGCTCCTTTTCAACGATTTCAAAGCTTTACAATTCAATAAATAGTCATGGAAAAAAGCGTTTCGCAAACCTTGTTTTATTTACCAATCCTCCGGTAAGAAAAAAAAATAACAGTAACAAAATTGTAATTAGGATTTAATTGTTAATCAAAAATCAACATTTTTACTTACAAGGATGTACTGCCATAAAGTACAAAAATGAATTTTATCTAATGAAGCTATCGACTACAGCTACTCTGCATCACAAATCACTTTGCCTCGACAAGATTGAAAAAAACTTGCATCAAAACCATGTGTTTCTACGAAAAGGACCACGTCTTTACCTAAAAAAATAAAATCAACAAAACATCAGAGAAGGGAGAAAATGCAATTGCTTAACGACCCTTCCCTGTCTCAAAATGGTTTCGTAATTTTTTTTTTCAAAGCAGACTCTTTGATGGATCAACACTCGTCGCGGGGTGCAGTACTCAGCCGAGGGTGTTTCGGTGGAAACAGCTGTCAAACATCTGCGCATGTGCAGATGTTGTAGAGGTCAGGCTACGGACCGAGTTATCTTATGAACAACCATATGAGCGAGGAAGCTTAAGTTGATTTTTTAATTGTTGTGAAGTAAATTATAACTAATGAGGAAACCTGTACCTTTAAAAGTGATGTGTGTGAAAAGTTTCGACTGTTCTATTAATTTTTCCTTAACGCCTCTCCGCTTACAATTTTAACTGAACGTTTAATTTCTCTTTTTCGCATATTTGGCGTTACAGCGGTTGTTTTCATGTTTTCCTTTGAAATTTTATGGGGGAAACTGGCGCGTACCTGACTAAAATTGATTCACTTGCGCATGCCTTTCGTTTGACCGCTGTGTTGTTTCGGTGAACCGGCAATCCTCTCTCGCGGGCGCACCGAAACACACACGCCAGAGGACTGAGCCTAATTACATCATAGTGTTATGAAAAAAACCAGGTATCAATTAAATACCCAGTGATGACCCAAATAGCTTAAATTACGCAGCATTATAGTCTATGGTTATTATGCAGCATTTAAGTCTATGGTTTATTTAATCTTTTGTTGTTTTAAATCATCGATAGCAATGACCACTTCTAGACTCATCTTTGAGAAAATTTTCGAAGGGGGATGTTTTTCAGGAGCTCAGAGTCATCCCCTAGAGTTAATTCATACCTATTTGCATCTGTTACAAGCCGCTGTGCACATCTTGTTGACAAACATTTTATAGCGATTTTCATTTATAAAAAAAGCGGGTTGGTCACAATACGCTTTCCATTGTTCGCAGTACGCCTTGTTTTCATTCTCACAGAGTCCCCTGCCGTATATGAGCTCTGAAAAATGAAAAAAAAAATGTGTATTGAGTAGTAGAATGCTTGTTTTTGTTTACTTTGCTTTTTTTTCTTTTGTGTAAAATATCGATAACAATAATAAATTTATTATGCTGCATACTGGTCTCATCACGAGAGGAGAGTTTTTGGGTCAGGTTTGTGGCATGATTTAGCTTGGTTTGGAGCGCGGTTCGACATGTTATTCACGTAACTTGCTTTTGTTTTTGGACAACTATTTCTAATGGTTGCTACATGTTCTGCGTCGTTTTTTTATTGAGTCAGTTTTGCCTGGAGAAATTTGTCACCGTAAAAAATTTGTTAGACCGAACCGTTCCCATTTGATTAGATGTTCGGATTTTGATCAATGATGGTTGCCTGCAACTCACAAGATCACTCTTGCTTCTGCCCTTTTATCAATATTGGTGGTCGTCGACTGAATCGCGTGTTCTTATGTTGTAAACCATATCAATTGTTCCTCTTAGCATTCTGTGCCTCGCTTTGAAAGGCTATCCCTTTCGGAAAAGGTTAGGTCCCGCTACTCGATATTGCATACGTTGACATGCATGCAGGTATGAGAAAGATACGGAACAACATCTTTACCTTCACGTCGAGCAATGTACTCATCTGGAGTCTCGTCCATCATTGGCTCTATTTGTAAGGAAAGGAGAACTTGTAGAAATATTTGAATTTCAAAGACAAAAGCGAACAAACTAACAACAGCAACAAAAGTGTCTCGAATATCTGCAAAATAGCAAGTCAAACGCGCGTATGTGAGGACGCGCAAAAAAGCTCTAAATTCTCTTCCCTTTCCGCTCGCCTCTCTCCTTTGATTTTAATGACCCACTCCTTCTTTCTTTCGTTTTTCTTTACCTAGCCGTCGACGTGCGTATGCATCCGGGTGTTCGTCCATCATTGACTCTGTTTGTAAGAATTAATTAGAAATATTTTAGCAATGGTAATGATAATAATAACAATAATTATATGAAGCAGGGCAAAAGAAAAATTCTAATTAAAAAAAATACGTATCTCGTGCAAAGAATACAGCGGTAAAGATATACAGATGTTGATGCTATGCAAGAAGTATGGTTGTTTGCGGAGCAGACGCTTGGCGCGAACGAAAGTAAACGCGCGCGAGAAAGCAGATACACATTAGCGCGTGTGACTTCTCCCTCGCATGTCGCGGTTATTGTCATTCGCGTTTGGCTTAATCGATTGATCGACAGCCGGGATTTCAGAGTCATTAATTTTTAAAAAAAACCTTTAACCATCCGAACCGCTGGGTCCTTGTGAAAATTTAACTTCTGCGTTTGAGTGTTATCATATTGCAGACAATGTATTTGCAGAACACGCAGCGGACAGAGGGGAGGAGGGGACTGGGTGGAGGGGTAGGTGGGTAAAGTTCTCCTATTGAACTCTTCAAACTCTGACTATGTTTAAAGAAAGGTCCGTCCTTTCGCCTTCATTTTGCTACCCCTTGAGACAATTTGTGAGAAACTGTAGCGCATCCATCTCATGAAGGTACATCTAACATATGCAGGAAGAATGTATCGCATATGATTTATAACAATTGTTAGCTCCGCGCACTTTACGTACGCCCTGACAATATTCACATCTTGTTCAAAACGTACGTCGGTTTGGTTGAAAGGGAAAAATTCTCTCCTTATTGCACGACATTATATTTGTTGTACTTACGCATGCGCAGTCTCCGAAAAATATCGCGGTCGTACAGAGGATTAGCTTCAATTTGCATCACAAATAGAACGGCAATAACGAAGAAGGAAACTTTGGCAGTCATCTTCGTCTCTGTATGCAAGACTTTTCAAGGATTCTTCACTTTCGCAAAGCTTTACTCCCGGCGACGCTGCGAGGTAAATGACGCTTTAAACTTGCAGATGATACTTTATGGGTAATTAATGTAATCGATAAGGTAAACAATGAACTCTTTAAAATTCTTCACACAGCTCACACGATGGTTTTTGTTCCGTTTCTGGGTGTGGCCAAATGTCCGGTATGTAAAAACATTTTGTTTCCCTTTATAGTTAGATAGTGTCATATGAAACTGTACGAATCAAAGAACTTTGACCCAAGCTGGTAGAACAGAAATGTCCCCAGCTATCTTCATGAAGATGTCGCGCAGATTTAGCTGCTGCGTTTCCAAAGAGATCTTTAGAGAAACAGCAACAGTGATAGCTAAACAAAGACTATACAATTCCGGTCTTCGATCTACCCTCAGAGTTTTCTTATCTGGAGTCTTAATCCTCATTCTGTGGTTTTATCTTTGTTTTGAGCACTTTATATGTGGGAGCATTGAAATGCCACAAGTGTTTCATCAGCACATGTTTACCTCTTAGTAGCTCTCTCCTCTTTTTTTTTTTAATCAGGAAAATATTAAGTCAGGTTCTCGGGTATTTGCAAATTTCTCCCAACCCTTGCCTCCTTTATGTTTTTATTTGTTTGTTTGTTTTTTCTTTAAGACAAAAAATCGAATGAAACTATTCACCTTAAACAGGACTAAACCCGACGTGGAATATCCCTCAAAGGAGATAACGTGACAGCAATATCCTAGAAATCTCTGGTGCCACGCCAAGTTATCATATGTGTTTTTGTCGTCCAAAGTCTCTTCATCCATTGTCTGCTTCCAGTTGACGAGCCTTCGATATACCATCGCCGTCTTGAATATCGCTTTAACTGACTGCAAAATCACCAAAGGTTTTTCCGTTTGAGAAATTTCTTTTCTGGTTGCCTATTGTTAGGAACTTTAGAAACAGAAGCTCCGCTGTGTTTGCGGAGGCTTTTAAAACTGGAGAACAATACTGAAAAGGTTAACCTTTGACAAACATCATTTAAAACTAATTAGGAGTGCCATCGAAAAGTTGAGGCCGGCCAAGTCGATATGTTATATTTTTGTCTTGTGTCGGCTCCCTAATTGTCAAAATAAAATGTTACTATTGTTCGGTTTTCGATTATGATAGTCGCGGCCAGACGTGTTTGTTTTTTGTTTCTTCATTGTTGTTGTTGTTTTTTGTGTGCACTCGTCAAGTTGTATGCTCTATCAAAATAGGATGTGGTGATTGGTACAAATTAAAAGCATCGAAATTTTGATGCTGATTTACCAAATAAACAGAGGCAGAAGAGATTATCGCAAGCATAAAGCAACATTTATGGTGTCTTTATGTAATCCGAGCATTGAATGTTTGGGTGTTTTCCTAGATTGTTTTTAAATATCTGTCGCGGATATTCAGAAACGGTGTCTCGGTATCTCCCAAGCCTGGATTTTTGCCAGTCGCCATTTATAGAATGATTCATTTTCCATATGTTAAATCAAATCACATAATGGTGTTTATTAAGTACAAAAACACATCAAAGGAAACGTTGGATGTTATCCTTTTTGAGGACACTCCTTGAAATACCGAGAAAATACTTTTGTTAGATTCGATAACTCACCTGTAGAACCTAATGAAAAAGTGGGGAGTAAAATTAAAACACCCGAGTTTAAATAAAAAAAGAGGTCTTCTGTCCTTCCTTGTCTAATGTTTGCGTCGTATTCCTCTGGGAATGGATAAGGAGGGGGGGGGGGGGGCAGGGGACAAGGAAAGTTTGAATGAGGGTGGGGCACTGAAGCCCTCTTCTTCACCGCAGATGTGGTATATATGACCGGGTTGCACTCGGAAAAAATTGTTTTCCAATGTTTTGCGGGGAAAAGTAAAGTTTTTTCCAATTTTTAACGGTGGTCTGGTCGCATCCGAACAAATATATTTCTATCAAAACTTCACTTATAGGCAGACATGTCAATCACAGAAGTAGCCATCAAAAGAAACTAAAACATTTCCCCCAATATCTATTGTGCAAAAGTGAATCGTACATTCACCACTGTCGGGTTTTTTTGTGGAACTTTGCTTTTCAGTCTCACAAAAAAAAACAAACAACAAACAAACAAATAAACAAAAAAGTGGTTTTAGTATTGCTGGTGCAGTATCAGCAGGCTTTTCTTATTTCTGCAAGAGCTGGCGTCTGTTTTCAGACGTCATAAACTTCGCTTGAATAAACAATGGTAATAGGACTAAGTGAATTCAGCCTGTAATCATACAAGTAATATTAAAATGGAACGACCGCGCAGCGGGAGTCTGAAATTGTAATTTTTATGATAAAGGTTATTATTATTGCTGCGATCTTATCCAGACATGTCTTCCATAGTAGGACAGTTGAAACAGAATTTCCTGATTTGCCAAAATTTGGAAACCTCCATGTATTTAGACAGAATATTTAGAACAAAATTTCATTACAGTTCAAGCAGCCTGTGCTCTGTCAACATCAGCATCCTACTCAAGAATTGCGTGCTCCTGGAAAGACGACCTGATTAAAAGGTGACGTAAAAGGTCATAAATTAGTGTCCGACTGGGAACACGAGTGTTCCGAAAACCCTACCTTGTTTAGGGTCACGAACCTATTTAGGAATACAATTGTGTGACCCCTCAGAGTATTATTATCCACCAACCCCATCCTCTCCCCCCCCCCCTTCGCCTCAGATGGGATTACAAGCTTGAATCAGTAGAATGTCTCTTTGTCTCTGATAAGCGAATCCTGCTTCAAAAAGCAAGACTTTCCTTTTGAAAGACCCCAAATATGAAGACAATGGAATGATTCAAGTTAGGAAAGAAACGTTGCCATATGCTGTAACTATTATAGAATTGTCATCTACCCCTGAAGACGTTGATCGGCATAATCGTTCATGGAAATCTGGCAGGTCGAACAGTCTGTGTAAACTGAAATATCAAACAATCCATTAATGAGCACGCTGTTCAGCTATCAGCTCAGTTGTATGTAGGGCAGCCATCGTCCTTTCTTTTGGATTTATCAGGTGAGCAGAGGCAGGCGCGAGGTGAGTGTGAAAGGCGAGTGACGCGCGAGAGGGGCAGGACGCAACGCGCTCCTCGCCCTCGCTCGGTCTAAGACCATAACAGACCCTCAGTTAGTTATAACGAGCGGAAACAAGAGCGCAGGAAAAGAGATGAAGAAGGGGACGCTCTGTCGCATTTTTCTTCACTTTCCCACAAATTTCGCGTTTTCGCACACTCTCAATTTGCTTGACACCACTCGTGAAAACCTAGAACACGCCTGGCGTTTGCTTCCACTTAAATGAAATGAATATGAAGTTTCTTTTCAATACAAATTGTGAATCTCATGCTTATTTTATTGTTCTAAGCCATGACAAGTCTACGAGGAGACAAGAACATTTTTCCTCGACAAACATAAACTTTGTCAATGACCTCTTTCAATCACACCCGAGAGTAATGGTTCCACTACGCGCGCGCGCAACTCCGGCCGTGCCTCTTTAACGTGTAGTGTGAAGTTTCACTTCGGCTGAAAATTCACGTCGAGTTTAGCCGCGAGGTTTCATAACTTCCCAGATTGTTTTGCCGTTCTATCTCGATTGAGCCAGACCTTTTGGAGCTCAAAATGAAAAGAAAATATGCTAAATAATACTCGTTTCAAAAAACAGTGAGCATGTAGCTCTTTCAAACGACAAAAATTAGTTTTGGAGTTAACGATAATTCATGATAAGTGATGCGAATTATTATGCTTAAATCTGACTTCAACTGAGGCTTTGCGAAGTTGGGGACGCTTCATTAGAACAGTAAATATCATTTTGAGGTGTTGACATGTCCCAAAAGTGTTGTTTAATAGAACTTTTTGTCTTGAAATCGTACAGTTTTAATAATTTTCTACTCAAAGCTGCGCAGTTTTCTGCTCGTAAGTTTTAGTAATTCAAGCAAGGTAATCTCGTAAATGCAAGAAATTCGTACGTTTTTGCTTCGTTTTTGGAATGGTTGATGTTATTTTTAAGTGTGGATATTTCCTATAAGTATTGTTCAATAAGAGATTGAGCAGTCCCTTCTTTTCGGTGAAGTCTGTCGCACGAGTCCAAACAAAATCAACAACCACAAAATTGATGTTGATGCGGCGCAGGAGCTCAAATTTTCAAGCGCATCACTCCCAAAGCTCTTGTAACCCTTTAAGGTCAATTTTTTTTCGCTGTATTTTTTTGTTTTTTTTTGTTTTTTTGGCTCGCTCAAAGGACTTCGCCGAAGGAAAGGGACGTCTGCTCACAGTCTATGTGCACAGCAAGATGCGAAACAAAGTAAATTTCATGCATGCTGGTCTGTTTCAAATATCTAAGATTCATTCATGACATCTTCAGCAAGTAAATTTTCACATCATGAGATTAATAACCATTAAATAAGTCCCAATTCTCCATAAAAAAAAATTACGCCTTCATGTTTTTCTTGAGTGTCTCAATCATCTCCTGTACTTGAAATGCAGTTTCACGAACCAGGGCTTTTGCATAAACTGTGATCAGTTTTGAAGCTGAAACAAAGTCCAGTGTACTAAAGATGGAATCCCACAGTGCAAACCCAAGAGTGGAAGGAACAAAGCCACGACCATATTCCACCATCCATGTTCTGGCCGAAAATTGCACAGCAGCAACCTCACCCCAGCCATGAAGCACGAGGTCTCCTGCACCATAAACCTGACTTTCAAGGGTACCATCCTTCCACTGACGTAGGGAGCCAGCTAGTACCGTGTCAGAAATGTTTGCCCAGTAGAGTCCTGAAATAATAAAAGTATGATAAATTATCATCATCATCATCAACATATGCATTAGAGTTCCTTTTTTAAATTCCCTTTGAGGTATGAAGCTTCTAAATTGCCGTCAGGAAGTATTGTAATATACTGAGGAATGTTCGAGTACCTTGAGTTTAAGTAAATGAGAAATGGGAATGACCCCTTCATTCCAATATGAGTGTGTGTATAAGCTTAACCAAGAGAGTTGTCACTACTAACCCTTTTAACTCACAAGATCTGTTTGTTAATTCTCCCCTCTAGCTGTTACTTATTTCCTTGTAAATTAGTTACAAGAATTTGGTGTTAGATCAATATAACAACTTCTACTGGATGTGTTTGATGATTCTCAGCACCCGTTTTGCTGTGTTAAGTCTGGATGTTACAGGAGAAGTTACATGTTAGTCACTTCTGGGAGCTAAATGAGTTAAGAGATTTCAAATTTATGGAATGAATAAATTTGCTGTTGCTAACACTGATCTTGATTTTTGTCTTAACTCAAGCAGCCAGCTCAACTTCAAATGACGCTTCAAACAACAATCAATGTCTGCAAGCTTGTTTAAAGGGTTCTTTCTGTTCTTCTCTCAAGAAAGGACCCTTAGAGAAAGGATGTGCCAAAAACTACAAAGGGGAGAGTGAGTCCTCAACTTAGTTTTGTAGTGCTATTAGATTTGATCTGTAAGAGAAAAGATCAAGTGCGTTTTCAAAGTTTCCCCTTCCCTGTCAAATAAGTGATGACTAAATTTTATGCTTGGGTCCCTCCCTCTATTTGGTTTTTTTTAATATTTCAAATTCTGGGAGGCTTGTAATCCATCACAACAATGGTCCTTTCACAAGAGAGGAGGAGGGAATAGAGAAGACCCTTGGAATGAGGTTGCAATGCCTAACCCATGCTGCTTACTAGCAAACTTTTGCATTATACAACTTGCATGTAAAAATGGTTCAACTTAGCTATAGTGCTAATGAAAATGCTGTAGCTCATGTTATACTACACCTGAATGTCCCTGTGTGTCAACAGCTGTACCAAAGAATAGTACATATTCGGTCAGAGACGCATGCAGTAAATACATCGATCCCATCCAGCCCCCAGCATTCACAAACTGCCACTGTCTTGACTCTTCAGGTAGGATGTGACCTGGGTACTTTTTCTCAAGGTCTAGAGCTATCTTTGTGAACATTGCACGAATGTTTCTGTCTACAAAAAATATTTACATCTCCATCAACATATTGAAGGAGAAAGATCACCTCTGAAAGCCAAATTCATGGCAGGAATAATTTGTTGTTTATCACCAAGATATAGGAAATATGCATTTCAGTATCATTATTTCGCAGTTTCTCTTCACGGAAAGTAAAATATGATAATATTTACAATTATTGTTATAAAATTTGTCGAGCACGCGTGTCTGCACGCGAATACCTGTGTCAAACGTAACATATGCTGTATACAGCCCGGTTTGCCCTTGGGTGAGGGTTTGGGTACAACGCAAACGTCATTGTCCTTTCATATTCGTGCAAGAGAAAGATAGGTAATCAAGATAGATTGTTCGCACTGAGTTGTTGAGTAAATAATTTAACCGCTATTTTTAACTTCGGCATAGATACATGCGCTAAATGATCTGTAAACAAAGTACAACTTTAAGTTACCAGGTTTAGAAATGGGTTTGCTCTCTAACAGAGGCCAGGTGTGAAAGTAGGTCCAGAAAATGGCATGTTTGGGGAAGCGGAAGGTATACTCTGTCCAAGAATTGCAAGGAGTACCTCGCTTGGGAAAATACATGTAAATGCCGTAAACTAACCGTTCCCTGCATGGCGTTTGGCTATCCGCGAAACTTCTTCATGCTGGAAAATATAACTTTTAGTTTGCAGCCAGAAATGAATTCCAAAGATGGCTAATCCGAAGAGAATTATATAGGAGGAAAGAGACATCGTGGAAAAGTTGCCTGGTCGTTACTTCCTTCGAATCGCGTGACACCTAAAATCGCCCGCGATCAGACAGCAGTTACTCACTCTCCCCAGCTTATTTGCGGCCGTAATAAAGATGGCGGATGGACTTGCGACTTGAAGGTTTGCATTTTTAAATCGATCTGATTGTCCTTAAGAACGAGATTCTCAACTTAAATATGAAGTCAAGCTTAAGAGGTAAATACTTATCGACCATTAGTCGTGTATGGTAAATTGAGAAAAGGTAATATTGAAAAACTGGGGGCAATGGAAGTGTTTATTGTTACCACGTGCACTCATCTGGTTCGCAGTGTTTGGAACGCTCAGAGGCTAATCTGCCATCGATTCTTCCCTTATCAGTGCACATGTAGTTCTAACCCTCTGAAACCAAGAGATTTATCTGTGTTAGGTTGTTTTGATCTGAAATGCGCCAACAGCAAAGCGCATCGTGATCGTGAATCAGCTGATGCATAGCTCTAGTACATTTTTGCAGGTGCAAACTTCAAGGCTTCAAGGCTTATGAAGTTCACATTACCGTCCAAGTTTGACTACAAGTAGCCAATGATCAGCTTATGAGAAAAATGTGGATGCATTGAATTGGTAGATCACTGAGCTGTGATTATTGAAACATACCGCAAAAAAAAAAAAAAAACTTTACTTCTGTAAATTTACTTTGATTTTAAGAATACCGCTTTTTTCCCTTTTTTTGTTGACTCAGGGATTTATTCCAAGTTAAAGGACTCTGCAGTAGCATGGGATGAGAGGCTGTCATTAGCAAGGCATGCTTGGGACTCTGATGATTGTGTGATTCCAAATAAGCAGCAAGTTCTCTTTGACTGGATCATCCAAGAAATTACTCTTGGGTATAAAAAAGGAGCAAAGTAAGAACTTTGACAATCATGTACACATCAGCAAAATCAATTCAGAACAGACATAGAACTAGTTATATTTATTCAAAAGGAATGTCAGTAACCTGTCTGTTACAAGGGTTGTATAAGAGATTGCAGTCAACATATGTCGCAGGGCTCGAACTTAACTTTTTTGTCTACTAGCAAAGTTTTGCTAGTAAGATTTTTTTTACTAGCAAAAGAAGGAACCTAACTAACAAATGTTTGCTAGAGGATATTTTTTAGACTCGCAACTTCGAAAAACCACTCGCATTTCACGAATTTGCGAGTGCTAATTTCGAGCCCTGTGTCGATCACGATGAGAAAAGAAATGGTGACCCTGGAAAGGAATTCTCTTGGGTGTTGTGGTTATCAACTCAATCTGTGGTTGAGAAGTAATCATCAGTCATCAAAAAATATTAGACAAGAGTTGTAAGATGTCTGACAAGAATTTCTTAACCTTATAACTCTCAGAAGTGATTAACATGTAACTTCTCCCTCAGATGTAACCCAGCAAATAGGAAATGAGAATACTTAAACTTATCAAGTAGAAGTTGTTATCTTGATCTAACACCATACTCTCACAACAAATTTACAAGGAATTGTGCAGCTGAGGGGTAGAAGAGAATTAACCTTCAGATCATGGCAGTTAAAGGACATCAGATAGTACATACGAAGTATTTCTTTGGTTATTTTAAAATAGGTCTGTCAATCACGAGCTTTTGAGTGGACTTTGGCTGCTGCTTCTTCATACTCTCCAGAGTCAAGAAGATCTTTATAGTCCAGGGAATCTGCCGATTACTCTAAAACCTCAATTTATACAGGTTTGTCTTGATTTGTTTGCATCAAAGATCCATTCCATTATGACCTCTAATTTAACTGTTACTAATTCACAATCTGTGTCTAAAGGTGTACACACACTATTTTGAACTTTACACTGTAGTGTTAACATTAATTGACAATGGAAAAGCTATCATCATCCAGCTTCTTAAGGTGGAGCATACACAGGAATTTGCAATACTTGGTGTAAAACAATTACCTATAATTATACTAAAAAATGCATCCTATATATGTACCTGGCTGCCAAAGATTGTCAGTAATAGTTTGTAATAAATACATTTTTCCAATCATTAAGAAAATAAATGATTTTTTTTCTAGAAATCCCATGTTGATAATGTCATTATTTGGGTCATCTATGAATTTTTCAAATATTTTTTGTGGCGTTTTCACTGCTATGCATGTTACTGGACAGGATGAGTAACAAGCCATTTGGACTCCTTACATATATGGTATTTCTTTCTTGTAAAATGATACTGTATCAGTGTTTTTTGCTCATCGTGATGATAGTTAACTTGTGAAAATATTATTTCGAAATTGGTACCTTTTTTTTCTCAGGTATTTACAGATGTGTTCATGTTTAAAGATTCTGTACAAAATGGAGCATCAATCAGCACCCCTATCAGCTGTTGCTATGCCATCATGTCTACACCTCACCTCAGTGCATCTATGGTGGCCAAATTTGAAAGTTATGTAAGTAAACCAATTTTTCTGAGCCCATCTACAAAATTCCATGAAGTCTCTTGCTAATATTAATCACTGGATTTCAAGTTATGTCCAGAAATTCATGCTGGCAATAACACAAATGGTGAAAATTCATCAGAATTGTCAATTCCATGAACATTCCCTTGGTTTGACAAAATTTCATCTAATCTACCATTTTTGTTCCTGGACTTCTATAATCTTACCATGTAAATCTATATTTTAGGCATCCTTCCTTTCAGCCTTGGTGACCTTGTATCTCCAAATATGCAGTGAAAGATCAGAAGAGTTTCACTTACTCTTAGAGATTTGCTTACAAAAATATCTTTTGGTGCAGAGACAACAAGCAAATCAGCGAAAGGTAATGAACTATGACCTAGTTGGTTTATACAAAAACGCAGGAACAATGTATGATTAGATAAGAAGGCTCAAGGTGTGGGTGAATTTCTGAATGTTATGGACTGGGTCTGAATGTGTTGGACTGGGGCTTTCAAATCTGTTTTTGACTGTCTTGAAAAAGTCCATGTTTTCCCAGGAAAAAAATTAATTATTTGTTTTGATCAGAATGGATAAAATCGTTTTTTTTTTTATTTGAGGTCTGTTCAAAGATCTGTCCTTTATAAAGTATTCTTCAATTTATTAGGTGTTCACGTCTATGTGCCACCAACTTCTTGAACCATTAATCAAACTGCGTCACATGTTGAAAGGCTTTTCTAAGATCTGTCAACCTATGGTGCAGTGTGGAGATCAACAACCTGAAGATAGTTGGCAAATTGGGAAAATGGAAAAGATCTCTTGCCTGTTGGAGTTAGCAGTAACCAGATGCCTCTTTCATAAGTATGCAAATAATTGTGATTATTGGTTCTATGACTGAAAATCAGTAGGTCTGTGTGATCCTGAGGGAAGGTTTCTTCCCCTCGACCATTATATCTGTGGGTGTTTTAACCACTACCCTTACACCAAAATTCTTGTCAGAATCAAAAATTGTTTCACTAAACTGGTTAATTTTTTTGGGTAGCAGGTACATTTAAAGAATGTAGCTGTTACCCAAAAAAATTAGCAGGAGAAGCAGGAGATGCAGGCATAGGCTGGCCAAGCAGTAATTTTGGACATCCCCTGTCAAATTAAACTGCCCCTGAATTTTAGATTATTAGCTTTCCATATGCAAAGAAATACAGTCACACAGACATGTGGATCAAAAGAGTGAGAGGCTTGCAGTAACGGACTCAAAGACATTTGCAGACCTACAGATGTGCATACATACAGAGTTACAGTCTTGTGGAATTATGTTGTCCTAGAGACTAGTGAACTTAGCAGATTTTTGTGCAAGTGTCCTTAAAAATAATTCTTGCAGAGATCACATGGCAGAGTATCCACAGGCTCTCAGAGGGCAAGAGGAAAAACAAACTGAATCTGATGAGCCTGCCAACAAGAAAGCAAGAATTTTTAGTTATCCCAAGCTTTTGTTTGAGAAGATGTGGGAGATGGTGGAATCACAAGCAACAGTAAGTAGAATGAATGTTACCTACAAAATAATGTTATGTTCAATAAAAGATGTTTTTTTTGTTGTCATGTACATGGGACAAAGAAAAAAATTTGAGTTATCATGAGGAATAGAACCCCAGACTTTTGGATTCATTGCTCCAATGCTTTATCACAGAACTATACACACTCCCTATGCTGGGATGAATATTACAAAGGTGGTGAATTTTTGCTGAGCACTGCATGCATGAGGAACCTGGTAATGACTTCAAGTTCAGTATATATAGACAATATTTGTCTGTTTGTTTGTTTATTTGCTTGTAATAACTTTGCCATTTTACCTCAATTAGGAAGATGTTGACACAAAAGAGGCAGCTTTGGATATTCTTCCTTTTTTATACAAGGAATTTATCAAATCAAATAGGTTAGTGTATGCACAGTCATAATTATTGATGAAGAACCCAGTCCACTCTCTACGCCCGAGTTGGCATGAATATGCATATTCTCCTCATGGTTCTCTCAATATTTCCTATGGTTCTGAGAAGGAGAATTTGGGTTTTTACAGCCAGGAGCTTCTCTGGGCAAAGATCATTTCCTTTATTCTCATAACCTTAATGTTTGATTCAGCTGTAATAATGAAGGGAGAAACTAGATGCTGATCTTGGTGGTATGTCCTTGTTTACTTTCTAGAAAACCAAATTGTTCTGCCTCTCCTGTGGAGTTTGCCTTTTTCACAGAAATGTGTCAGTTGCTCGGTGTGTTGAATGGAAACAACATAACCCCCAGTGTGTTCACCTTACTTCATCAATTGCTGGAAAGCATCCTGCACTATGATATTTACCAGGTACATTCATGTACATTTTGTTATTAAAAAAATAGATTCCATTTAATATGTAAACAGAATAAAAGAGATGGTAAGTTTTGAGCTCGGTAAAGAAATAGAGAAATATGTTTTTGTCTTGTCATGAACATGGGACAGAGAAAAAATTCTGAGTCTCCATGAGGAATCAAACCTCAGACCTGTGGATTCCACTCTCTGATGCCCTACCACTGAGCCATAGGGATTCTATGATGAGCAAGGACATTATGAATGTTATTCTTCGTGGAGACTCAGAATCTTTTCTTTGTCCCATGCTCATGACAAGATGAAAACATCTTTCTCTGGATTCCATTTTGCCATGTGTCTGTTCAGTAATAGATTGCACACGACTTCAGAATATGGCAAGAACATCAATGACACACAAGATGTCAGCAATAAAAAGCTATGGAATTATAATATTTGGTTTTATCTTTTTTTTTTCTTTTTCTCTTTCTCTCTCTTTTTTTTTCTTTCATTATCGCAATGTTGTCCCTTAAGCATGTTAGGTAAAGACATTTTCAAGCTGGGTAAGCAATCCTTTCACCCTTTTTTTTCAAGAACTTCAAGCAATTTTATACAGTAATAAGACGCTCTGTAGTTGGTAAGGTCCATTTACTGCCTGAGAAAGAGAGCTCTGTAAACTCTCAGGGTTGCATCAGTCTAGGGAAGGCAGTAAAATAGTATCAAAAATAAATTTCCAAACAGAAATTACTTAGTAACATATAATAAGCTAAAGTTTTTGCCTATTTTTTTTTGTAATTCAAGGTATCAGATGACAACCAGAATGGTTTGGTACAATTCAACTCTTATGACAGTTTGGTCAAGATGGTAATTAAGACAGAGGAACCAGGGTAGGTGTTGAGTAGTAAGTGCTGTAGCTGTGTAGAATACATGTATGATGTATGTAACAAAATGGTTTGTCACTTCAAGATATGCTGTACTTGAATTGAAGTTTGAAAGATGAAAAGTGTGGAATCTGAAGGTCTGATGTTTGATTCCTCATGGGGACTCAGAATTTTTTCTTTGACAAGAGTTAGAGACATCTTTCTCTATGAAAATGAATGTGAACAAATTTTAAGGTGCTTTGATTGTTATGAATTTGATACTCAAAAAAACTAGGTAATTGGGTATTTGAAAAGGCAGTTAATATTCTGATGTCTTAAAACCGTCACTATCAATCTGGTGCACCCTCGGCACCAACATCAGTATGCATATTCTCCATTCTGTTGTTCATGCATTTCCTAAGGTGCTGACAAGGAGAATTTGTGTGGCAATCAAGAGCTTCTTCAGTTGGTGATCATTTCCTTTATTCTCATGACCTCAATGTGTGTTTCAGTGGTGATATTGTAAGAAGTTAGATACTAGTCACTTTCTGGGGTTAAAAGGTTGAGCGAAAAAAATTGTTTTTTGTTTTTTTGCAGGAGAAAGATCATTTTGAGTTCACAATAAAGGCCTAATTCTTAAAATCGGAGGCATGGAATATTTCTAAAATAACTTGTTGCTCCCTGCTACTTTCAAATTTCCCGTTAATGTCAAGAAAATCTTGTTACCGTTATAAATACTCCTCTTTTTGTGTTGTTACTTGCAGCAAAGCTGTATTCCAGTGTCTTGATGTTCTGCTAAAACTGAATCACTCCTTGGTTGAGCCACACTTAGATGTTATTTGGAAGATGCTGTGGAGAACGGAATGCAGTGCTGGTGATGCACACAACTCTTTGATGAATTCTCTCATCTCCACGTATGTTAAACTACGACAGGTACAGCACATACCCTGCACAGTTCACGTGTCTCTAATACAGAAGCTGTATTGAAGACTGGTTGATATTTTGGGAAACTGTAATTTTCTGAGCCATATTTTTTTAGTCCGCAAGTATTCCCTCATAAGGAGCACTCCGAACCGAGTTTTTCTTCGCCCGTAGGAAAGTCCGGGGCCTTATTAACGATATAACTCCCAAAAGTGATTAACGTGTAATTTCTCCCTATAATACACATACGTTATCTAGCAAACAGGTAATGAGGATACTCAAACTTATCAGATAGAAGTTGTTATCTTGATCTAACACCAAACTCTCGCAACAAATTCACAAGGAAATGTGTAGCAGCCAGAGGGGAGAATTAATAATTATCTTGGGAGTTAAAGGGTTAAGCGACGCGAGCCGGCGAGAGGCCTGCAAGGGGTCTAGTACTGATAATAAGGGCCTAGGTAGACGCTCTCCAACTCGACTCAAATCTTCCCGCGGGCGGAGGAACGCGCGTGCCGGCAGCGCCAATAATGAAGTTCTGCTCGCACGCTTTATTATTTTGTTTGATATCCATTATAGTTGCTCTTCCTTTTTGTTACAACTTACAGTTTGATAAACTTGTTTTGGCAATTCTGGATTCTTTGAGAAGTTTGAACCCTTCAAGTTCTGGATTAACGTCATTCTTCAACCAAAGGTTGGCAACAATTTTTTTTCATTTTTACTGGTATAGTATCGCTCGCGTGTATTGCAACACCCAACACGCGTTTAGCGCGTATAACACGTTTCGGGTATACGAGATCATATAAATGAGCCCGCAGTCATAAGTAAAGGATTCCCGTGCTCAACGCCAGCATTCTTTTGTTCAGTTATTAATAGACTGATTGTCATAATCGATCCTCTGATTCTGTTTCAGATTTATCAAGGCTATCCAAGGTCTTCCCCTCGGCCAAATTACCACGATATGGAACATATTTTGTAATGAAATCACTGAAAACTACCTTGGAAATATTATATTGCAAGGATCAGAAGCAGATCCAGGAAATAAACTGAATGTAAAGGAAAAACTCTCGCCGCAGTTAGCCGTGTGGAAAAAATTGGAATGTGTTTCAAGTGTCTTCTGTTCGTTTCTTCTCCACACGAGTTTTGTGGGGATCGGAGAACATCGAAAGGGAAAAACCTCTTTATCCGCAGTGGGAACATTGTTAAGTCGTACAGTACAGGAAGTGCTCGACCCCATGGTAGAGTTTTCATCAAAAGTTCAACATGACAGAGTGAGTGTAGTGTGGAAATTTGCCCATCGCAAGCGCCTTGAGCACAAGAAGCCCAAGCTCGCACAATGAGCCTCCGTGAAGATGTAAATATTTTTACGTTGCGCTATGGGCGAAATATAAGGAACTTTATACTAAAATACGGTTTCTCTCAACCTCAAAATCTGAACTAGTTTTTGTCGTGTGAGTTTCCTGGGCTGATTTAAGGTCGTTTAGCTCGGTTTTAATTCATATTCTGTGTCCGCTATAATCACAGTACGGAGGCTCCAAGTGCGAGCTTGAGCTAACTCAAGCTCCGTATGGGTGTGTGTGTTATTTCACACTCTTTGCCAAGACACAGTATCGAAATTCAATAACTAAACTGATTTATTTGATTTTTTTCCGCTCCAGGTAAAAGAATCGGCTTGTTTCTCTATTTTGTTGTTACAACGTGCCCTAGGAGATCTAGCACTGTTCTTAGGAGATTTTAAAATTGCCGACTTAGACAATGAAACAACCAGATTACTACCATCAGTCGAGTGGATAGATGCGATGAATGATTTTGTTCCCGGAAAGCGGAACAAAGAAATTCTCGCCGTTCTCTCTAAAGACAAAGGAAGACTTCGTTATCTTATGGTTTGTAACGAATAGTTTGTCTTAATTTATTGTTTGTGGCCATATTCAGTTCAAGGCGACATGTAAATGTTTATTCATGGGCATACCAACATCCTATGTGAGATTTTTCCCTAAGCAATTAGAGAAGAACTTACCCTAAAACTTGCTAAGCCAACTCCTTACTAAACGCCAACATCAGTATGTTGACAGTATCCATACTGTTTTCCATACATTTCCTAAGGTGATGTCAAGGAGAATGTTTTATAACAATGAGGAGCTTCTTGAATCGGTGATCATTTCCGTTATTCTCATGCCCTCTATATCTGATTCAGGGGTGATATTGTAAGGAGAAAGTAGACGTCAGTCACTCGTAGAGGATGAAGGGTTAAGATTGTGCGCGAGACAAGAATACTTGGTAAAGCATAGTCAACTCGCCTAGTTCTGATAGCGTGTCCCGATTATTGTGGAATTGAGGCAAACGTCTAAGATTTCATGTACATCCTCGCAGCTAACATCATTTGTAATGGACAATGATTTGGTAAAGTAAGTTTTTCAAGCGAGAGTGACTCGTATGGCAACATCAGCCTATCCTCCCAACCGTCGTTCGAAGCAAAGCGCTTGCGAGGAGGATTCCTATTCGATTCAGATGTAATGCTGCCTGGGCACGTTACGCTTATACTTACATCAGATTTTTCTGACAGTTTATAGGCTGAGAGAGGATTGGAGAGGGGTGTAGTTGATAGTCTAGCTCGAAAGTTACCAGGCCACTATCTTTCCCACCTAGAGCATTTAGTAAATGTCTCTTTTCTGTTTCTTAGAGTGCTCTATGTATTCAGAGCATCAGATATGCATTACTCCACGAGAACAAAACAGCAAAGAAAAAGGGTGAAGGGAATGAGCTCAAGAGATTGGTGTCTAGTGTCTGCAGTTCCGTCAACGACACTCTGTGGTGCAGTGCATCTTGGGATAGACAAGTACGTGAAAAGAAGGATTGTAAATGGTTTCTTTTTTAAGAATTATTTCTAGAATTTCAAGAATATCCCAGGTCCTTCGAAGGAATATATGGGTAGTTGAACTTGGGTTATAGGGTAATTTCATAAAATATCTTATTTTATTTCTTCTTCTTTTTTTTTCTTTTCTTTTTGTCTTTACGCAAAAAAGGAGCGGTCAATCAGTCAAGGGAATACCCTAGTTGCATTATGGGATTTGATCAGCAAACATGCGGCGGTGATTCTTCCTCTGTGTACCGCTGACCAGCAATTACAGATTGCTCATTTGATCATTAGGACTATAACTGAGGAGACGCAAGATGCGCGACAAACACAACTAGGGTATGTTACGAAATGACCAGGAGAAATCTGTAGAACCAAACCTTTTTCCCGATAACAGCAGTGTCAGCACATTCGTCACAAGCGATGAAAAGCACCACTTTGTTTTTGTAACAATCACAACACAATTGCACGAGCCCCTAGGGCTAATGCATTTTTGTTGCCTTTGAAAATTTTTCTTGCTTATTAAAACCAAATTGCACTCGAAATCATGTTATTGCCCAGACTAACTGTACTCATGTTCTTTCATTTCTTTATCACTTGATTTGCTTTCCTTGTAGGTGTATTACCATGCTTGATGTATCGATGGAATTGATTCAAAATGCGAGCTTTCACGAAATGCTTGCCATGCAGTCCAGTACAGTCTGTGCCCTTTGGGTTCGCCTTAGACATGCTATCGATTCTGGTGAATGGTAAGTATTCATTAACTAGCTTATCGGCTTTTGATGTCTCAGAGGGCACTAGAAACACTTTGTCTATCATCCTCGTTCATCAAAATAAATTTAACTGCCTTGACGCCAAGTTTCGAAATCTCCACGTTTAAGCGTTAATGCTATCCCTTGAAGCTTCGCCTGTACATAACTAAAACGGATTCACTCGTTTAGGAACTAGAGTTACTTTTTACTTGCTTAGTATGGGAAGTCTCCCTCTATCTGTGAGAACAGCACACACGAGGAGCCTGCGAGGGGACATGCCTCCCACCTTCGCGTGCACGTTTTCATCTTGCGCACATCTGTGTGGTTTCAAAGGGCTAACCCAAAAATGATTCTTACTTGGTGACTTTGTTCGCACAGTGGATGGACAGTCGGGGGTTTTTAGGAAGAATTCGCGCAATTAAGACCAATACTTATGTAGCTTTTTCTTATCACTGAAAAGTAATATCAGCGACTACTTAAAATATCTTGTGGTATTCTTATACTGGATAAGTTTCGCCATTACAAATTATTCATCACAAAGACATCGTTTGAGTCTTTTGACTTTTCTCCAGCAGTACTAATAATCTAGAAGAGAAACTGATGAAAGCTCTATCCAGTATTGCAACGTTAGCCGCCTCAGACGATGGAATTTTGACAGAAACGTGCGATGATGACAGCGCCAATAATGGCGAACAAGAAGAAAGTATTGAGGATTCACAGGGCGAACAAAGTGGTAATTAAAAGTGTCTGCTGATCGATACGAGGCTACTTCTCTTCCTGCCTCCCCCCTCCCCCCTTCGTCTTCTAATCTACGTTTTCATTACATTCAGCACTCCGAGCTGTGACCTTTAAGGTCAATATGGCGAGTAGAAAAAAAGGTTGACGACTAAGTTTACAATGAGAATCGTCAATTTGGTGACCTGTGTGTGTCGGTCATGTAGCAAGGTTTTATTGTAGTGTTAATAGTCTAAAATAAAAGGGAGATGAACATTTGTATAAAATATTATGTCAATGACGCAAATGTCTTTTTTCTATTTTTCTTTTTTTCGCATTCTTTCTATTTCTTCTTCTCCATTCTAGCCACTGAAGCCTGTAAACTGTATTTACTATTCTTTTCATTGTCTTTGTAGCGGAGGAAAGTTCCGACGACGATAAAGGCGAGAATGAAGATAGCAGAGCAAACGAAACTCGTGAGAGTGACAAACCACGAGTGGATAACTTGCAACCCTTCCATTCTCTCTGTTTTGACGTAACTAAGATATCCAATAGTGTTTTATCTGCTGAAGTGCACAGTACCAACTGGTCGGCATCAGCTGAAAAGATCCAGCAACATATAAGGGTATGGCTGAAAACTCTACGCGTGAAATAGTAAACGGCGCCATAATAGCGGCGGAGTGAAAAAGCGAGAGAGGTTTACTACGGGTCATGTTCTCCCTCGTTTTTCCACCACTGCTTCTATCGCGCTGTGTACCATCATACTTCGTTTTTCCAACTGAACGCCTGGTGCAGGCTAGAATTCTGGGTTTGATATGTGTAGAGTGTGCTCATTTGTCTTTCTCTGAAGTGAGCCTTGTCACGCAACACGTGGTGTGATCAGGCCCAACGACGACTGCTTTGTCGGCAATGGAGGGAGCCGTATTCTACGATTCTTCCCGGTGAATCTCTTTTAATGACAACGAAATATACTTTTTTGTGTATTTCAGGTTCTGGGTTTCCTTCCTCTTGATTGGCTGTCTAATGAGAACCATGTTCGCTGTTTGATTGGCCTGTTTACTTGTGACGTGCTTCTGGGTTCTAACGTTTTCCAGGTGAGGACAGTAATTTCGCGGTGTGATTGGTCAGGAAAATTCAATTCATCCTCTTAACTAATCAGAAGCAAAACAAACAAACAAAAAAACGCGACTCAGTCATCCTCTTTTTCCCGCGCTTGAGGCTGCTTACGTATAATTAGTTCGAGTTCTCATTGGTTCCTTATAGCGTTGACCTTTATCCTGATTGGCTCGATTTCGTTCCTAGGGGGCGGGGGAAGAATAGAGACCCTGATAGATCGAGGTAGCTGATTTTTTTGATGTGATTAGCGTTTTTTTCATTTATGACACCTAACGAAAAGCGTTTCATCATAAAAGCGAACGCTTCTCCATTTCTGATTTGACCTTTGTAAAATTTTCTAGGATTGCTCTCCTGACACGTTGAAGCCTCTCTCACTAAGCCGCCATCTCCTTAGTGTTCTATTTGATGGCAGCGTCACAAGACGAAAGTTTGTAGCGCACCATGTGCTCGACTTGGATTCGCTACACTCTTGGCTTATTGGTTCGGCTACCAGACTATGGCGACAGAAATGCACGGTGAGAATGCCAATTCATGATTATATCTGTGAATTACATAGTATTACGTATTGCAAATTATAGCCGTGTGCAGCACCACCAGATCAACTATTTTCGTATCTTGGAGTAGTTGGGATCGCTTTATAGACCTTCGTAATTTTCATGTACTTGATGACATTTGATTCCAGTTCTTTTTAAATTAGTTACTTGAAAAGATGACATCAGTCAATTTGAATCATTCTAGTATCAATATAGATGTCTCTTTCAATATTTTGTTGTGTGCAGGCAAAGTCTCCCTCGGGATGTAGGTTATTGCCCAATTTAGGTAGCTTTTAAAGCAGATTTCTGTCATGTTTGCGCAAGTTGTTCGATGTCGATTTGTCTTTACCGAGGTAGTTTTTGATAACCAGAGCACTCGTTTTAATTTTTATTAGGCTTAAAAACACCTAAATGCAGGAGAATTGATTGGACACCCTGTGTATTACCCTTTGCACGGTAACATCAGTATGTATATTCTCCATACTGTTTTCTATACATTCCCTGAGGTGCTGACAAGGAGAATTTGTTTAACAGTCAAGAGCTTCCCTTGTCGATCATTTCCTTTATTATAGTGACCCTAATGTATGATTCAGGAGTGATATTATAAGGATAATCTAGATGCTGGTCAGTTCTTGGAGTGAACGCGTTCACTATTCATCGCTATGAGTATTCGATATTTCAATTAAGGATTTACACTTTACTTCTTGTGTGTTCCCCGACAGAATCCAGCTACTGTGACTGCTATGAACCTTATGGTAAGGCAAACCCGAGATCTTTTCTTCTTTACATTCAAGTACCTCCTCAGAGCTCCCTTCCAAACAGTCAACGCAGTTCAGAAGACTACAGAAACGGTAACAATCATATATGTTGAGCCTTGTGATACTCTTTAAAGGTGGTGGTTTTAGCTAGTCACACAGGCACACTTGGAAAGCAGGAATAGAACCTGTGACCTTGTGAGTGCTTATTCGGATGGGAATATAATGGGATATTTACGGCCCCAGTAGTGAAGGGGTATGCTTCCCTTCTTTGGCTTGAAAGATTTGTGTTACCAAATACAGTGCGGTTTTTCGATGTTTTGGTGTAAAATTTTACCACGTAGCCTCTTGGATAGCGTAAACATTGGGGCCTGAAGTCTTGAACTGGGGGAGAATTTTGGCAGTGGGCGATCTATATCTTAAATAATAACTCTTCTTTCTTAAAATTGTAATTCTAAATATTCTCCCTGGATATGGTAGACGTGGGTCCACGAAATCAACACGGTACTATCCGAAGTAGTTTTTCAATTTGAACAAGTTTTTTTGCCCTGAATAGGGTCAGGTTAGAGACTGGCCCGGTAAGCAAACCCTCTCTAAAACTTTCCGTGATGAAACCTCTTCCCCCCGCCACTCCCAAACGGAACTCGTTGAAGCTGGGTTGCACTCATTTATGCATGCCTTTGTCAACTCTATTTCCCAAACTTTGGCTGTTCTCGGTATGGTCACGAGGATCATACTTTGATGTTTAATTGTTTGTTTATTTATTTATTTTACTTTTTACAAACTTTCCAGTTAACAGATGAATTACAGGCTTTCTCAGCAGAAGTGCGGGATGCGTCAGTAGACTCTTTGGAAAAATCCCTCACCTCTTATCATGTAGTTTCAGTCGTTGTAGAGGGAATTTTGGCGCTGTGTAAAGAAGTGAGTGTATTATTTCTTTCTGCCTCCGATGTTTTACGCCCAATCTCTTACCAGGTTTGGGAAAAACGAAGACACCAAGCTTTTTCCCGCGCTTTGCGCAGCATGCTCAATTTTTCTTTAAGTTCTGATTGGCTCCTCGAGATGTTCCCTTTGCTCTGATTGGCCCTGTGTAACGTAAATCCACTCTTTCGAATAAACCCGAAGCTTGCAATAGGATGAGTATTTTTGTACCTGGGTAAGTTGGTCGACCTTAAAAAAAACGTTAAGTAAACACAATTATCTTTCTTATCTTTCTCAGGTTGTTAACAGCAAGATAACCTCAAACAAGATGATCAGGATTTCGTCCGACGTGGTGATAAAACTTGGCCCAGTTCTACTTGAGCTACTGAGAGGAATTGTTCAAAAGTTACGGCGGAAGCCGAGAAATAAGCACCCAGATGCTCAGAAAAGCACTTTATCTGATTTTTTCTTTCAATGGCCCGACTATATTGACTCGTTCACTTCCTTGCTTCATATTTACTCCGTTTCCGAACAGTCCAGGTAATTATATATGACGACTTTTTCCCTTTTAACTCCCAGATGTGCATGTATATATGGTCTTTCTTCTTAAAATATAAGGTGTCATTCATTTAAACGGTGGTGAGAAAATACATGTGTATCAGGAAATTGACGCAATTGATAGACAAACAAACTGAACCGTATCTTGAATGAGCCGAAGGATTTATTCGCTGTCGCACATGCAATGCCCTTTTTTGTCAGTATTTTTTCCATATATCATGGCAAATGAATTGATGCGTTATCCTGAGATACTAAAAGCCCTGTCGTGAAAATCCTGCCGTTTTTTTTCAAAACCTGCGTGTATTGGTCAGAAAATAATTTGTAATTTCATTTTTTCGCCGTTCATTTTAAGCTTACCTTAGTTATGTACGTAAACTACCTTTGTCGTTAATTCCGCTTTCAGAAAATTGATTCGTGTAAATGAAGCTTTCAAGCATTGTGAATGGCAAGAGGTATTTGACGTCATGTTGGCGGCAGTCGTGCATAATGTTTTCGAGACGGACCAGATGGAGTCAGCACTTCCAGCGAATAGGCACAAGGTACACTTCACGATGTCGTGGGGCGAACAATTTGGATCAATTCGCTTGGCCTATGGGGGATTCGCCCTATTACAAGTTTGCCCCCCCACCAGTTCGCCCTCATTACGGCGAACGTACCACACCAAATGGGGCGAAACTTCCAGATTCTGCTTGTTCAGAAGAAAACGATTATCTTTCTCTGGGTCTTTAGTGTTTCGCCATTGAGTACGAGAGTTATTCCTTATTTTTTTTCTCTTGTTTTCCTGCGCGCTTGTACCAGAAGGTACATGCACAACTTGGGAAGCACCCTCAAAAGGATCAGGTCCCAGACAAATTGCTACTTGTGAACGCTACATGAGAGTACACAAAACTACATTATGATAATTGTGGTCATATCGTTTCGTTAATTGTAACTATGAATGGTTTCGAGGATTACATACTATCACTTTCCTTTCAGGATCGAATCGTGCGTGCCTGTCTGCGTTTCCTCAGAGTGGTGTGTATATCCTGTGTAGCGTTACATTTACCGGTAGATTTTCGCGTTCGACTTCTGGCTTCGACGCTCTACTTTTTGAGGAAGCTGGAACAAAATAAGAAAAATTGTACTGAAGATCGTAAAACAGATGACCGCCTTCGTGATATGAAGAGTGGCCTCCATCAGAGTGAAAAGATAGAACAGTCTATAAGAAAGCAAGGCAGATTTTCTGATAGTGAAAGCATTACAGAGGAGGGGTATCTTCTGGCTGTGTCACTGCTCGAAGGATGTGATCCTGGTCTTCTTCCGGAACTACTCGAAGGATTAGGAGACGAAATTGTGAGTAAACTGCCTTCGTCTATGAGCCATGGCAGTGGGTCAATCTTTTGCTTTTTAACATTAAACACTTTAGGTTGAAGATCCTTGCCAACTTCACCGTTTCTTGGACAACTTAAAGTCACAGCTGGATTTTCTTTCCTCTTTTTTTATCAGACTATAAAGAACATTGGTAATGCTTGTTTTGAACGACTTACTGTTGTTCTCCGCGTTTGGCTTCGTCTGTTGAGTGGACGATTTACCAAAGACAGAAGAAAGGAACTTCGCCCAATATTACCCAAGGTTTGTCTGACTCACCTTTGATCAATGACAAGCATTGTATACACAGTGCACTGTATGAAAAAATACTTTCTTAGTAAAGGATCCCTTACGTTTTAAATCAAGGATCGTTGCATTGAATTTAGCATGTTGGAAAAAACCAAGAGTTACACCTTATTGGAATCGGACTTACTAGGCCGGTCATTACAACAAAGTTTAGCCGTTGTTTATCAAAACCGCGTCCTAAACAATCCTCAATTTAGCTGGATCTTTTATCTGAACATATATTTTTGTGAACACTGTCAAGGGGGCTGAAAGCTAACAGTGAATGGACGCTTATTGAATATTAAATAAACCCACTTGTAGAGAAAGCCCAAGGCCCACTGATTACATAAAACCATGTACCGACCCACTATGTTTTGTTTGCCGGGCTTGACTATTGGCTAAGGAAAAAACATTTCGCGCATAAAAAAATATCAAGTAAACGAACGTAGCAAATTTAAATAATTTCTCTAAATGGTTCAATTCTTCTGTTAAATCTGCGCCCCCTGCGCTTATTTTTAAGTTTACAAACGTAGTCAGTGGAAACCAGCGTCGATTATTGACTAGCATCTCATTTTTCTTGACCAGATTTTACTTGCAGTACAGTCTGTATTACAAGAAGTAAAACGTGAAAATCTCATGGTTGTCAATCTGGCTACTGAGGTCATGGAAAAAATTCTCTCCCTTGGAAAGGTTTGTAGACTGTTTGTCGAAGTACAGTGTTATTTGTTCATGCTTCAAGTTTTTTTTTTTTTTTTCGCAATTGCTTAAAAATACAGTTTACTTTGGAGGATTATTTCTTCGCTTGATTCAAATATGATTCAATCCACTTCAGTTGTAATTAGGACAGTGAAAAATATTGCGAGGAGCCAATGAGAACTGCCTTTAGCGTAGGCGATCAGGTTGTATAATTGGCTCAACGCTTACGTCTGATTGCATATGATTGCATCTGCTGATTGTATATGATTGCATATGATTGCATTTGATTGCATCTGGCCCCAGTTTGAAGATCGGATAACGCTATCCACTGGATAAATCTCTACCCGGTGGATAACTCTGTACGCTTTGCTACTACTAATCCGCTGGATAGCGATTTATCCTTTGGATAGCGTTATCCGCCCTTTATGCAACTGGACCCTGATTGCAGCGTGGGTTTCTAGAACAATCGCAGTGTGCGGTAACGTAAAACCACCGTGATGTTGTATCAGGGTGTTTGTTGAACTGAGTCAGTCAAGAGTCAGTCCGAACAAAGGCAATTACCAGTAGCGAAAACTCAAAATAAAAACGGGTAAACTCCCTAATGCGTACGAAAACACAGGTGGCTAGCCCGCGATGAGTTTAAGTTTGTCATCGGATTTGTTTAGGAGGTGTTACGAGTTTTCTCGACCCATCGGAACGTAACATATTGAAAACAACGAAATGCCAGACTATATTCAGCACTGAACGGAAAATTATTTTAAGAAAAGCGGTTTTTTGTTCTTTTTTTTTGTAAAATCAAAGGGGCAAATGACTAGTGGTTTCTACTCATTTTTTATTCAACGATCAACCTATATTTTCATTCTGAATTTCAGGGAATGGTTCTTCCCCATAACGCAGTCCTTGTCCTTCATAGTGGTTTAATCAAGCTTGTAGCTAATGACAAGAGTTTCCCACGACTGTTCGAGTCCCAGTACTCTTTATTGAGTACTTTGCTCTTTCAACACCCTGAAGCAGTCTATGGAGCTGTGCACGTGTTTATCACGTGTGTTCGGAGTATCCTTTGACCGCGTGATTGTTTGAACTTCGCATTTGAAATGGGTGGAGGGAGAAGTGGTTAGAGAAAGAAAGGGAAGAGAGAGGAAGTACACGAGGGGGGGGGGGGATGAAACTGGAGGAGTACGGGAGGAAAGGGGAGGGGGGAGGGATCATATCTACCCGGGGAGGACACGTTCTTAATCACGTATCGTGCGCATGGTTACGTTCTAAGAATTTTGATATCGCATGAAGCCTTAACTTGTTCTTAGATCTTTTACTGAGTTTGATACAAGGATGTGATGTTCAAAATGACGCTGCTGTGGAAAGAAATGTGGATAAAACGTCAGCGGAACGACTGAAACCGACTGAACTAGTGCAAAGCGCACAGAAGATGGCAAGGTGCGTTCTTTAATTTTGTCAGTAGATTGAGCGCCTTAGGTGCCGTAAAACATAAACCAAAGTAATAATAACGGCCAATTAGGAGAAGGGAAAATACCCCGAAGGGCCAATGAGGACTCAAAGGAAAAACACGCAAACTGTCTAAAGCGCGAGTTTTCTGGACCAATCACAGTGCAAAGTAAAGCCGAGCTAATTCAATCTCGGTTTACTTTCGACACTCGATTGAAAATTGCTTCGAAACTGCCAGAGCTTAATAATCATCAGTTTGGACAGGTGAGCAAAGTATCGCGGTTTGTCATGGGCGAGGAGATCGTTAATTGATCTGCGAGTCTAACAAAACACAATAATTTGCGATGACCGAGTTCAGTATTCTTACTAGTTTACTTTTAGTTTATTCTTACTAGTTTTTCCTTTCCGTGATGATTCTTCCAGAATCACTCTCTGGTAGCTTAGCGAAGCGATCTGCAGTTTTTTAGGAAAGAGTGTGAACACGGTAACGCATGTGCACCAAAACACAGTTTTGTCGGTATTTCCTATAAGAGGTCTTTATTTGTAAGCAGTTCTTTGCGACTCAAATTATTTAATCAACCATCGCACAGGTTAAAACGATCTGACAATTTTAAAAGCATCTTTCTTCCGCGTGTGTTAAGGCCTTGAATTGCTTTTTCATTTTTTTTTAGATTATATCAAGAAATATCTACGCATAAAATCGCCTTTTCCAAGGTATGATTACATTTTGTGTGATTGTTTGTTCCATCTTGTTCTTCTGCTTAACACTTAACACCTGGCATTGGTGTTCATATTCTCCACACTGTTTTGAGAATTTGTTTGACGCTCAGGAGCTTCCTAAATTGATGATCACTTCCTTTATTCTAAAAACCCTTGCATTTGTTTCAAGGGTGGTCCTGTAAGTAGAAATTAAAAGCCAGTCACTCCTAGTGGTTATAAGGTTAATGACGCCAAGTTAAGACAGATAGTAAGTAAAACAAGCAAAATAACGTCATGATCATAAAAAGAGGAGCTACAGTTTATGTTCGAAGCTCCCTGATCGTGCACAATTTTAACAGATGACTCAATAGAGTCTTCAAGGGGCAAATTAAAATTTCTCGCATTTTCTGACTTGCTGTTATTTTCCTTTATAGTATTCTCCGTATATGATCGCTGATTACATTCATGGCGTTCAAACTGTTGCTGTTCCATCGGTTATCAGGGTAAGATAAACTATGAGAGCTGTTGGGTAAAATTGTTTGTTGTTAGAAGGTATTGAGCAAATCAGTAGTCACCAGAACCGGTTGAAAAGGGAAAGAACTGGTCAGAACTTTCTGCTCTCTACCTGCTGTTCTTTTTTTGCAGTTCTTTGTTCTTTCTTTGCTGTTCTTTGTTTGTTTGAATAGAAAATAATGTTATATTTCGATATATTTATTCATTTATTCAGGGTTAGAGCAAAATCAATCGAAGGGAGAGATAAATGTTTCCGTTTGCATCAGCAGTAAACTTGTTACTTAACCACTCTAGCCTTTTCAGTACGCCTTTTTTTTCCTCTCTTAACAGGATGCTCTCACTTCTGGTGTTTACTGCTTGTTCGAATTGTGTGGTGAGCATGAACTGTCGCTGTTACACGCTGTCCTGGAAAAAGGATCGCGGGAGCTTTTTCATTCCTTGCACGCGGACTACACCAAATATCACAAGTTCAAAGGCAAAGTTTGATTTTGACGAGGAGTAAAATAAAGCGCTGATAAAGAATAGGATGATAGCATCCGCAGTAGTATGTTTTTTTTTCTAAGTAAAGCTTGCGAAAGCGAAAAGGCACTTTAATGCTATTTTGCCCTCAAGTTAGCATCATCTGGCGTTTAACAAAGTAGAAAATGTTGTTATGGTTCTGTTGCGGTGCACAAGGTGTAATGTTTTCTGCTTACTTCAAGAAATATATGTAGTAGCAATTTACTTGCGGAGACTGGGAGGCAAATGAAACAAAGTAAATAGCTGATTAGGGAGACAGCTTCAGAACATTTTGAGTCGTTTTTAATGTCACAGAGAATTAACTTGCCTATTTGAGAAAAATTCTTCACTTAATCATACCCCCTCACTCGTCGAGGGAAGGTGGATCGGGAGATGTAGGTCAGGCGTATCCCTTTTCACCCCTACAGATCGCTTCATATTCACTCTTCACACTTTTCTTTTTAAATCTTCCTAAAGTACTAACATGAAGAATTTGTTTCACGTTCTTAAATTGGTCAAGGACGATACTGTGAGGAGAAATTAGACGCTAGACTTGGGGGCCATAGGTTTACGTCTAATCTCCCGCTCCATCTACTTTGTTTTTTTTTTTTTCCTGTTCGATCAGTTCCGTCAATTCTCCTTCACTAAATTCTCCTTCACTAAATTTTCCTGTTGCAGATAGAGCACTGAATAACGACGTAGTTCATTGCATTGAAATGCAAACCAATTGGCCGTCAGCTAAATAATCTCGGGCATCTTAGCGTTATATAGCGGCGTGAAGGTGAAAGTTCATAAACTCTTATTTTTCATACCAAGCTACAAATATTTTGGTACTGAATAATCGAAATATAGCCCGATACATCTAAGATTTTCTCAGCTACACGAGACGCCCTTTCAATCGTTAAATCCCTTAAATAGAGTTATTTTTCAAAAATATAAATAATTGTGTCGCAAAGATTCCTCCTTGTTAAATATGCCATCGGGTTGTTATAGCGCGCGAAGCGAGTGCGAAAATGCGCCTGCCCATCCCCAGTGAATTCAAGAGAGCAAAAGACATAAAAGAAAAACTTTCATTCTTTATTTCAACAACATTATCAAAACGATGATAAAGTTTTATTTCATCAAAGCGTAGCAAATTTACTTAAATAAGTTCAGGTCTTCAGGTTACTTTTCTGATAATCATCCGCTGACTTCTTAGCTCGTCTGTCTACAGATCTACCACCTTTTCTCTTGTATCCTAATTTTCTATTTGTAAATCAAATGAAATCAACTTTCAGCACCCAAAAAAACAAACACAGTACTTGTCCGACAACGTATTCGATTTTATTATTTTAAAACCAAGGTTACTGACATAGTCTTTGTCCTTTAATTATTTATTTTGAGTATTATCTGACTATTTTACAAACAAATGTAAAAAAAATTACTTCTGTACCGAATTAACTCAACACCCTACTCTTTATAAGACTTGAATTTCACATTAAATCATGCTTGTCAGTAAGTTTAGAATGAAGCCTCCAAATAAAGTCAGCCGGTCTCAGCTGCCAAAGTACAATATAGAGCAGTGTAAGGAACATTCAGAACTCTTCATGCATCGGCTTGCTGGCTTAGTAGCAGTTATTTGTTAGCATTAGAAAGTACAGCTGTTAGAGCAAAGAGTTCAAAATGTTCCAAGTGCCAATTTCCTTACCGCAGTATAATTTAATTTTTAAAGAGGAATTGGTAAAAAAATTACAGATCGATTTATAATAAATTTGAAATTCAAGTCTTGTATTTATGCTACTTTTTCGTTGTCCTTGAATTGCTTTTCTCTCCGTGAATTAAAAAAATAATCTAATTTCCTCCATGGACGTAAATAGTAAATAGTTAGACTTCACAACTTGTATTGTTGCCGAGCTTTCACGCAGATGGTGCGAAATTTACTCTTAAAAATTCCTGACCTTTCCTCTTATAATAACCTTATAACCTTTATATGTATGGAACTTCTGAGTCATTTTAAAACAGCATTCTGATTGAAAAAAAAAGCAAAATGTTTTTTCAAAAAATGTGAGGATAAGATGAGATTGAACTTCAGAGAGACCACGAAACTTGACAACATTATGCGCGCTCGATTTCGCAAAACTGTAAATTTAATTGGTTCTAACATCTGCAATTGTGTTTGAATGTAAAAGCAAATAAGCAAAATAACAAACAAGTGATATCGGAAATTGCTTGCTTGATTGAGGACCGGGCCGAAAAAACGAGTCCTAAGCCATTAGGTAGATCAATAAGTGCTCTCATTCTGCCAAATCAACTGCATAAACTAGAAGTTCCCTTTTTTAAATGTTGTTCAAAGGCAGATTTCGGGAGATCTGGAGGCAAGCATGAGCCTTTGAAAAGTAAACTACTGAAGGTATTACATTAACATGATCTCATGGCAGAGGGAACAAAATTTAAATTTCTAATAGACGAACAAGGGATATGAGCACATTAAATCATAATCATGAACTTTACAAATAGTTTTTATGAAGATGGAAGGATAAGAACTTAACAAGAACTTAAATGGAAAAGAAAAAAAGAAAACATAAGAAAAGAACGTCAGAGAGATGGATTATTAACGCAGAAACTGGATGGAACAGAGGGTGATGATCATATATATATGACCTCATAAATGAGAACTTAATCTTACCTGTGAAAAAAACAAACATGATATGGATGGATTGATGTGGCAGATTACGAGCAATTACATTTCTACCCAGAACTAACCTCGATAGCTTAGGTAGCTATTTGATTCAATTCATCCGAAAATTGACAACGAATAAAGTTTTTTCTCCAACATTTTGGCAGTGCAAGAAATTAAGCTTCAAAAAACGCTTAAAAAATTTCCCTTGATGCGTAATAGGAATGAAACTAATGATTGAAATTGTTTGCAGCCTCAGTATACTAGGAAAAAGGACCGTGAAAGAGGTTGCACTCTACAATTTTCTCTCTCCGTAAGAATCCACAATGCAAAAACTCACTAAACACGAAAAAAATTGTAAAAGAATTTCAAATATTAAGTTATCATGTCAAATTCACACGCTATTGTATATCAGCTGTATGGTCTCGACCAGACAGAGTTTTCATCGGAAGTTTGATGTATTATATGTCTCACTAACTAAAGATTGTCACTCGGGTCATTGTCTTTGTTGTGTTATCCGATGACTCCATACGTGGAAGCTTGACAATTAACCAAACTAGGTCCAGTCCTCTTTCACATTATGACAGTTCGACACTTCCAAGTCGGTCTTCAACTGAGGGCTGAAAAATGACGACAAATCGATGCAAAATTATCGACAACACCTCTGAAATTTGCCTTAACCTTTCTTTTAATTTCTAGTTACCCAGAAATGTAATCAATACCTGTGTTTACGCTGCGTCTTGGTCATGGATTGTCCTTCCAGTAGAAGCAGAGCATGTTTAGCGATCATCTCGTAAAGCACTCCATTCCAGGTCTACTGACATTCAGTGTTATCAAAGTCGACCAAATTTTCCCGCCAACACAACGTTGGCTTACACATGTGCTTCGGTCTCTTAGTGTCTTCAAAGAGATGGAGTTGCGAGACAAACCTGGAAAACTTCTTTGACAGCATTGAAATCTATTTCGATATAACTGCTAATGATAATTCAATAAATGTCATAGTTCCTATTAATTATGCAATAATTTGATATTTATTCAAGTTATGAATTGAGTTATCAATCAAGCTTACCATTGTTATCAGATTTTTATTGTTTGGTTTATACTTTTTACTTGTTATGCTATCATTTGTATTTAGTAGGAATTACTTTTTATCATTTATTTGAGCCATATATGTATTTGTTTAATGTTTATGTTTATACATTTCTGTTTAACTGATGGATTCATAAATTCAAACAAACAGAAAGAAATACCTCACCGAGCAGGAAGCAAGTGGACGCTCACTGAACGGGACTGGACTGGACTGCCTAGAGAGGACATCGCAGAATGAATCGCTGGGCGAGATGGTGCACTGACG